ATCAGCATTAGATGCTGTTAGGACCGCAAGAGAAGACATTACTTACCTGACCACTTGACCTTGCCTTGCTCAGAGTGTTCCTTCGCCTGCTTCGTCTTGCTGTTCGGAGCCTCCTCGTCGCCGAGCTTGCCTCTGGGACCCTTGAAGCTTGCAGCACTGGCACGACGCAGAGTGCCCATGCTTCCGGTTCTCCTCTTAGCAGCAGCCGACGAACTTCCGGGACCAGGCTTAATGGCCTGAAGTGTGGTGATTCCTTCTTGTGCTTCCTCAATTTCATCCTTCTCCAGGCCAGCTTCTGCCTCGATCACCGTAGAGGTCTCGCTATCGCTACCATTAGGGGAAGAGCCACTCGGTGAGCTGGAACCGGAATCGTTCTGACCGGCAGACTTGATCAGTTCGGAAACGAGACCCTTCATGGCTATGAGCTGACGATAAGTGCCCTTCTCGACAATCTCGCCGTCGCTAATCAAGCAGATGTAATCGGACTGAACAAGGACAGGGATGGAGTTGGTGGCCAAGATTCTGGTCTTGGAGGCAAGAAGACCCTTGGGACCGAGGACATTGTTGATGATGTGGCGTCCAACGTGGGAGTCAACGGCCGAAAGACAGTCGTCCAGCAAGTAGATGTCAGCCCTAGCATAGACAGCTCTGGCCAAAGCCACACGCGCTTTCTGACCACCGCTGAGAGAAATACCACGTTCTCCAACAACCGTCTCGTCTCCATCAGGAAGCTGAGCAAAGTCGTCAATGAGAGCGCACGCCTTGACCGTCTTGTCGTAAAACTCTGCATCGAACCTGTAACCGAAGACAATGTTCTCCCGCACCGTGGCATTCATAATCCAAGGGTTCTGGGCGACATAGGCGACATTTCCGTGAACCTCGACTTCACCCTTAATCTTCCACAGATCGCCCAGGATGCTTTGCAGGAACGAACTCTTGCCTGCACCAACACGGCCCACGATGCAGGACAACTCACCCTTGTGTGCGCGGAAGTTAATATCCGTAAGAACGGTCTTGTTCTCGTGACGGTTCCATGAGAAAGTACCGTCACGGATGACAACCGTCTCTTCTCCAAGCTCCTCAGGGGGAGGCTTGACGATGATAGCGTCAGGCTGAATCTCCTCAGCGGTGAGGTAGGAGGTAAGACGACCGACAGCGACACTGGCCTCAATGATAGAGGTGATGACCATGGGAAGAACCGCAAGAGGGAAAGTGAGCAAGTTGAACAAGGCAAGACAAGGGAAGACGATGTCGGTCGTCAAAGGCCTGTCCTGGGTGAAGACAAACACAGCAAAGGTCGAGCATGAGACAAGGAAGGGTGTAGAAGACCAGGTAAAGTTGGCGACAGCCTGGCCAGCACCGATCTTGCGCAGGTTCTTGAGCTCCTGGTCGTTACGGATGTAGTTCAGCTTGTTCATGAAGGCCGTGCCCCATGCATACAGCTTGATGCTCTTCATGTTGTTGACAATCTCGGCAATGAGACGGCTTCTGGCGTCTTTGTTCTTCATCTGCTGCTTTTGCAGGTTCTTCATGAACTTTGCGATCATGCCGTTGATGGGAATCATGACGATCATGACTCCGATACCCGCAAGCATGGACCATCCAACAAGCTGGTAAAGAGAAAGCATGCAAAGGGTGATCTGGAACGGAGCAGACCACGCCTGCTGGGCGAATTGGGTCAAGTCCTGAAGACGCTGAGCATCGACAGCCATGTAGTTGACAATATCTCCGGTCGTCTTGCTGGCACGGCCTTCGTTCGACAGCTTAAGCGCCTTCCTGTAGATGGATGAAGTCAATCCACCCTTGATCCTCATGCCAGTCTCAAAAGTGAGCTGGAAGTACTGGTGGATCATGGTGGTCTGGAAAGTGGCAACCGCAAACATGGCGAGGGAGATGGCAGCACCCTTGATCACGGGTTGCGGCTCCTGTCCCTCACGGTACGAGTCAACAAAGCTGATCAGGAACCTAAGAAGCTGGGGCTGCGCGAAAGCCGAAAGATCGTTTCCAATCTTGAAGAAGGCAGCAAGGATGTAGGGACCGCCGTAGGCACGGAAAAGAGCGAGCCACAGGGAGGGCTTCTTCCTGTTGTTCAACTCACGATCCCATGCCTTGGCAAACGCTCCACCGGTAGTCTTTGTGGTATCGCTCTTTGCCAGTCCCCAGAGATCCTCCTCGGTCAGGTACTGGGCATAGCCATGCTTCATCATGGGAGTCATCCACGAGAAAGTCAGTCTGGAGAAAACGGTCGCATAATCCACCGGGCATTCCGGCTCGTCGATCAGGGCCTCATAGGCATTATCCTTCTTGGGCCACAACCACTCGACGAAAAACTCGACCACAGAGAGACCGAAGCCGATGCAGTAGGTGATGAAGTAGGCCTCGTTCTTGACATAGATTTGCTGAGAAATGAGGGACCTGAGCTTGACTGCAAGGGCGATAAGGAGCAACAGCCAGTAGAAGAGAACGACGCCGTTAGCATTGCGGAGGCGCGAGTGTTCGAGCCACTGGATGGCGAAGATGACGAAGAGCGAGAGAATGGTTCCGGCTGTGGTCCAAACTCTGAAATCGCCATACCAGATTTTGGGGTAGCTGACAATCTGGATAGCCAGTTGAACGGCAACATCGGTGATAATGAAACCTAGGAGTACCTTGACAAAGAATGTTAGACATATGCCGCACTTTTTGTCTTGCTCGACAGTTGTAACGTACCTGCTTCAACCAGAAATGCCAGTCCTTGGCCACTGGTGTAGGCGTCTTCCTCTTTGCTAGCCACCATACCGCAGCGGATCCTGCAACCAGACCAAAGGCCGCAACCGACGCCACCCACACGTCGATAAAGCACGGCGTGAAATCATATCGAAAGGGACTCATCGGTCCCCATCCCTCCTCGTTACCGCATAGCGGCTGTTTGAAATCCTTTGACGCCGCAAGATAACCGCTGCCCAGGTCGAGAACGGAAGGGCGATAACCGGTAAACGAGCCGCTCTCGTAAAAAAGGACCCTCTGCGAGGCGAAGCCGTCGTCGTCGTCTATATATTCGAGCCCCATTGGCGCAACTATACCCTCGTGGGAATGTCCAAACGCGTCATAGCACGGGGGAAAGGTTGTAGATTTTGCAGGCTCTTTGCGCTCGAGAAGATGCGACGGAAGTTGAAAGTTATGCGACGGGATGTGTAAGTCGCGATTCGGTTCTCGTCGGTGTCACACGCTGAAAGACCTTTCAAGTTGTCCAAAACGGAATCACAGTCGTTGTCGATGTATAATACGAAGAGGTAGTTGTAGTTGTAGTTCTGCCGGCCGTGTGTCGTCTCCAAGTGCGGCGACTTGATCGGTAATCAAGAGAGGAACCCTTGAAAAAAAAAGATAAGATGAAAAGAAGAAGCAGGGCTGTCGTCTGTCGGATCGAAGGCAACAGCAATCCGTCTAATCCCTGACGAGTAGGCCGAACAGAGAGACGACAGAGAGATGCAGAGACTCGGAGTCGGAAAGAGAGAGAAGAGAGAGCCTTGCACTTTCTGTTCGTGACTTCAGTTTTCGCTTTCCTTTGGCTGCTTGCCTGCCCGCTCTTTCCTCGCTGGATGCAGCTTTCTTTGGCGCATGTCACAGCAGGCCGGGTCGGCAAAGGAATTGGCCCCGACTTTCCAATGCCCTCTCATAGCGCGGTACTCTGCTCGCTGACAAATCCGCAGCATCCGTAGCGGAAGGCAGGTCGCCGGTCTCATGTCCTTTTCTAACAGCCGTCGTTGCCATCCCTGCCGATCCCCACCCGAAAGTCGGAGCTGTGCCCCACCAATGACCTCTTTGCCGCTTGCCGTCCACTTATAGGCTTCCACAGCGTTCCCACGTTGCAAAGTCGGGGCACGAAGTACAATTCGTGATTCTCGTCGGATGCACCGTTGAAATGTTTGATGTGGATGGAATCGCGATACCGGCGGTGAAGACGATCCAAACTCGACACGTAGGTTTGCCTAGGATATCTAGAAGACGTGTTCATGGAGTTCGAGGCCGGAAACAGACATGAAGTCAACCTCAACTTATCGGGACGTCCCGCTCACGGACATCGTCCGCTAAGGTGCGTTGGCAAGTTGTCACGATACTGATGGATGGTCCAGACTCTGTTTCACGAATTGACATGACAGCGGTGAGACTGTGTTATGGCAGATAACGTGAAGCATCCGATATGCTCAGATGACTGGGTGTCTAAAATCCATGTCCAACATGAACGTATATATTCTGTCCCTCAACCTTGATAAAAAGAGGTATCATCACTTACATGAGAAATGGGGCACTCATTGGACAATTGCAACATCACCTCAGAAAGCCATCAGATCGTGAACTGTGATCCGGAACTGACACCCACGATGGATTCCGTCTCACTGCCCCGCAAATAGGGCTCGGGTGTAACAACAACTGAAGGGCAGCACAGCAGAGCAATGACGTTGCAGCTGAGGTAAACTGCTGAAGCACCGAACGGCCCTTGTTGTCATCGTCTTCAACAAAATGGAAGCGAGACGGAATTCGTAAATCATAACCTCTTCTACATCGGCTCGCCTACCCTCCACTTCACCTGACCCAGCTGCTTCCCCGCCCCGCCCCGCCATCCCGCCTTTCCTGCCTACATTACATACACAATACAATACATTGCGTACATACATTACCTAAACAGAGAGCTACCGTGACAGCTTCTTGGTACCTAAAATTGACTCCATCCATCTTTTTGTTCGTTCCATGCAGTAATGCCTCCACGAACCGCCCCCCAAATCTCCCAAAACACCACCATCCTACTTTTCCTCATCCTCCTCGTCGCCTTTTTTCCCGGCAGCTTTCATTACCTGTGGACGCTCCCGCTCAAACTCTTGGTTTTCCCTTTTACTCTCTTGTCCTCCCTAATATCGTCCTCGTCAGGGTCGACATCACCACCGACGACGTCATCGCCAAATACTGGGGGGCAGCTACCATATTGCCAGCAGCAACCATCACACGCGCAGCAATCAACAATCATGTCCTGGTCGCAAAAGACTTTCTCACTGCCCGCTCAGTCCCGCGGGGCTTACCTGATTACGGACATCGTGATGAACGAGGTGCCGGAGATTAAGCAGTATAAAGTGGGCTTGCTGAATTTGTTCATTCAGCATACGAGCTGTGCTTTGAGTCTGAATGAGAATTGGGATCCGGTGCGTTGATGACCCTTTTTTTTTTTTTTTTTTTTTTTTTTTCGATGACGCGTACCTTAATCATGTGCATGTTCTTATCCAGATTATCTGAAACTTGGATTCTATATCACCTTGGGAAGGACGAAGCAAGTATGTACGGTTCCGTTCTAACTTTTCTGTGTGTATCATTCGTTTTAGGATGTGAGACTGGACATGAGCGATACCCTCGATCGCATCGTGCCCGAGGCGACGGACAAGAACCCGGACTTGTACCGTCACGCCGACGAGGGCCCGGATGATTTCCCTGCTCACGTCAAGTCTTCGCTGATTGGCACTAGCGTTACGATTCCCATCAAGAACGGGAAGCTGGTATGTCTCCCCTATCTAATTTCCATACATGACCGGATATCTTCTGTCTGAAGAAACCTTTTGTCCCAGTCAACAAGTCTAACACAGTTAATCCCAGGCCACCGGCACATGGCAAGGCATCTGGTATCTCGAGTTCCGCGCTCACAAGCACAGGCGCAACATAGTAGCCACCATCCAGGGAGAAAAGGAAAAGTAGTAAGGATGTGTTAAAAAAATGATTATTTCTCTTCTTTAGACCTAGTCTCAATACCAAGGAGCAAGAGCTCTGTTTTGTCTGTCATGCTTTATCCCAACCCAGTCAATCACTGTCTTGCCTAACCTCCTCACTTCGCCATCTCTAGTCATCTTTGACCTTTCCTCCTTCCTGCTGCATATAATCTGAACAATGGAGGAACGGAAACGCTCCCGTTTGTGCAGACATCGCTGCTCCTCCTGTAGTCTAAACACTCGTATCCTTAATCTTCATGCTCCTCGTACGGACGCGAACCAAGTGACTTGTACGTTGAGCGATGCCGTGACAGTCAAGGTTCCTCGTCTCTTTCCGTCTTGATCTTCGTGATTTGCCTCGCCTCATGTATGCGTTTCAGAGAGAACAGCAGACTGCCTTTCTTCTGCTAAGGACCGTTGCCTTCTTCCGTCTTCATGTCCACATCATCGCCATTCGCAAGGATCTTTGTCTTGGGCACGTAGCCGTCTGCCGGTCCGTCGCCGGGGGTAACAGCCACCACCTCGCCGTTCTCGTCGACGAACTCAAAGTTGTAGCGGCTCAGGAGATGGGGGATGGCGGAAAGCTGCGGGCCGTATCTCGCGGTGTTGTCGTAAAGCTCGAAAAGGGGGACGGCCAGAAGCTTCATGTTCTTTGGCACGCTGAGGACCTCTAGGGTAGGAGAAAAAGACGGGACGTTAGCACGCGTCGGACAGAAATAGGAAACAAACAACAGTACAGAGATGAGGGGAAAGCGCAAACTGAAAACATACTTGACTTGGGTAACTGAATAAAGTAAAGCTTCTTGCATTCCTTCGGTCTCGTCACATGGGCCGGCACAAAGGGGTACATGAACGTCTCAAAGTTGGGCCTCCACCACTGCGCGAGGCAGTCGCCCACCTGCCAGTCGCCCGCCTTCTCGCCCTCGCCGAGGCTGCCCACGGGCGCCAGCCGCTCGTCCAGCCGCTGCTTGAACCCCTCGATCTCGTCGTCCTCCGGCCTGAGATAGTCGCCCGGTAGCTTGAAGAAGGCGTTGGCGATCTGCAGCATCAGGATGTGCGGGTGGTTGTGCTCGTGGCACACCAGGATGCCCTCGCACGTGCGCCGCATGCCGTGCGCGTTGTAGTGCTCCTCGAGCCGCTTCAGGCGCGCCAACACGCTCGGGTCCTCCTCCGGTTGCGTCTCCTTGACGCCGAATGTGTAGTTTGATAGCGGGTAGAGGCGGATCGTCTCGGGCTGGTTGGCGTTGAAGGGCAGGGGGATGGTGGGTGGCACCGAGCTCTGGAGAGCGTTGGGGGTTATCGTGGACATCTCGTCGTTCGTCGCGTTCTCTATTGCGACGCGAATTGGGTCTTGATGGAAAAGGGTGGTGGTTGGCTTGGAAGAAGAAACCGAATGGTAGAGGATCCTGGAAGACCACCTAGAAACGCAGTCTGGGGTTCTGTTTCGTTACAGAGATGTGATGTAGACCTTTTCGGTGGATGTGATTTGCTTTGGCGTCGACGATGTGCTCGCGGTAATGGAACGGTCGAATGAGAGGGGGGCAGCACAGAAAGAAAGCGGTAACTCGGTGTTGTTGGGTGTTTTGGTACGGTAATGTGCAGTTCGGTCGTGAGTTTCCCTGGGGTTTTGGGGGACGCAGCAGTTGGCGCGACTGACAATCCAGACTCGAGCCCGATCAGGAAGGCGGTCAAGTCCTAAGCTCTGAAAAATTGTGGGTCATAATTTTGTGGTGGAGCTGGCCAGGCACCCTCCTGGGCACTTGAGCCGCATTCAACTCCTTCAACGTCAACACATCTTGCCCAAACAACATGCTCAAGGATTGTCTTTACACAGAGTATGGCAATGTGCAAAGCCAATCCTTTTGAAATCATCCACTCGAAGAAGCTGGTAGCGTCATCTTGAGAAGTGTTTACACCGAGTGCCATGTTCTCCCAACGGACGTAACCAACACGCTCGAGATGTCCCAACCCGAACTAGACACTGGGGTTCACATTCATAACACCACTGGTTAAGTGAAGAATGACCTATATATCTTCAAGTGAATACTGATTGCTCCCGTAATCACGACAAATCTGCCCTGGGAAATGTTCACATACGACCAAATAATAGTTGTTGTGTTCCAACACTAACACTAACAAGCTCCTGGCCGAACTCTCATTCGATCGCATGGAGAATAGTCTGAGATATGCTTACTCCCATAGCTGCTATACCAAATCCTTGATGATATCGACACCATTATTTGACAGTTGCCAGGTTACAGCAGCGTTCAAGTCTTGGGGTTCCTGGCTGTTGCCGTTCGCTCAGGGCTTGGTAAGAAGCTCTCAAGATGGAGGTACCCAGCAGTGTCCTCGCATGTTTGACCATGGCTCGTTATCTGTTCCTTCCAAGAGTAAGGCGATAATACGGTCGATTGGCTAACGTCTTTTGTTTCGTCTCATCTTTTACCCGACTCGAATGATCTTGGCTGATAAGAAGTCCTTAGCAGGTAAGAACCTCTTTGGCTTGTTTGCTTCGTTGCCTAGGTGATAACGCGTGCTTGTCACGATCCTCGCAGGCTCGCTCCTTCCATGTTCGATCGTGGTATTCCTCCTCTTTTCCTCCCCCGCTTCTCTCCCCAACTCCCTCCTTCAACGCAATTTCTGTTTCTCCCTCTCATCCTCTTTTCCCCAGCCGTCGTGAACGGATTCACGGCTGCTGTTTGAAGATTGTTCTCAATCTACGTGTACCCTCCTCGCAAGAGGGGCTGATCAGTTTCACGAACACTCATATTTTCTTTGTGCCCTAATTCTGCTCTGAAACCAAACTCACTTTACCCTCACTTCTTGTACTCCTCCCTTCTCGTCGCGTTTCTGTGCCTCTCGCCATAGTCACGTCTTCTCAGACCAAATTCGCTTGAAGAACTGGGCTCTGTCAACCCAGTACCTTTGAATCACATAAGTTGCCATTGTGTCAGGTTGGGGTCCTCTGACCCTCGTCTCAGGATACTGTGAGTTCCCCTTGAAGATTGACAGCACAGCAGTAACTGACCGACTCTCCATCTCAAACCAGGCTCAGCTGCTACAAGCTCCTTGCGGATGAATCACAGCAATCATGGCTGAAGCGAATGCCGCAGAGGACAGCCTGAAGCTGATCCATCTCCAGCGTCTCAAGGCGGAAACCTCACCAGCAAAGCTAGAAGCGGGTTTGGAGTCGGGAATCCAGCTCTTGGATGCAATCAAAGCTGCTTTTTCAGACGCCAGCAGCGTTCCCGAAATTGCCAAATGGATCAAATCCGTCGATGACCTTAAGGGACAGACTCACAAACAGAGGACAGTTGTCGGCGTGGTTGGCAGCACCGGTGCAGGCAAAAGCTCCGTGATCAACGCCGTCTTGGACCAAGAGGACTTGGTTCCCACGAGCAACATGCGGGCGTGTACCGCTGTAATCACCGAGATTGCCTATAACGAGTCAAATAACGAGCAAGAGGCCTACCGAGGCGAAGTCCACTTCATCACCAAAGAGCAGTGGATCAGAGAGCTTCAAGTCCTCTACGACGACCTGAACGGACTCGGCGGCAACAACAACGCAAGCAGCGATGACAATGCAGCAGAGGAGCAGCAGTTTGGCGGCGAGTCCGACGCTGCTTTTGCGCTCGACAAGATCCGCTGTGTTTACCCTGAGATGCCCAGAGAAGACATCAGAAGGCTCAGGTTCACTCCTCAAGGGTTGGCTCAGGACCCATCGGTGGCTGGTATTCTCGGAACTGTAAAGGAGATCACAGCCCCCACATGCAAGGTCTTCATGGACCAGCTGAAGAAGTACATCGATTCAAAGGAGAAGACACGCGGCAAGAAGAAGGAAGCTCCTCAGATGGAGTTTTGGCCACTGATCAAGGTCGTCCGTATCTTCGTCAAGTCCAGGATTTTGGAGCCTGGTTTGGTCTTGGTTGATCTGGTGAATTACTTTATACGTTTGGTCTTCGAGCATTTGCGCTAACAGAAATGCAGCCCGGTATCCAAGACTCAAACGCCGCGCACTCGGCTATTGCGTCCAAGTACATCGAGGAGTGCACTGGCTTGTAGGTGATTACACCGATCACACGAGCGGTAGACAACAAAGCGGCACAGAAGCTTCTCGGGACGTCCTTCAAACGACGAATGCAATTCGACGGTACATACTCGGCGATGACTGTCATTTATTCAAAAGCCGATAACATCTCCGTAACTGAAGCGTTGAGAGGTATACCCGAGGAACACAAAGCTCGCTCGGACTTCGCCATAGTTCAGCTGCTCGAAAATAACAGAGTCCAGCTGGAGGAGGAGCTCTTGCCTCTTGAGCAGCGTCTCAAAGAGCTCAAGACGTTGGCGGACTTTCATGACAACAGCATCGAGATTCTGGAAGCTGCACTGGAAAGCGCTGATGGTGATGAAGTGGAGGTGACTACACAATCGCCCGCCACATCAAAGAGGAAGCCGAGAGCTGCTGCTCTTAAGGCAAGAAAGCGCCTCAGAAAGGAAAATGAGTCGAGCGCTTCAGAAACCGAAGATGATGATTCGGAAGACGAACTCAACGGCAGCGCAGATGAGGAGGAAGAGCCTGAGAAGGCGGAACCCATCTCAAAGGAAGAGGCAGAGAAACGTCTCAAGGAGCTGAAGGCCGAGAAAAAAGCCTTCAAAGAAGAACGGCGGGATCTTGAGAAAAAGGCCAGAGTTCTGAGGAAGAGCGCCAAGGAAACACGGCGGGAGTTGAAGAGAATGAAGGACTCTATGAAGAGTGCTTGCATTCAGTACCGGAACGAGCACTCGCGGCCGGTTATCCAGCACCAATTTGCTGAAGGCGTTCGCGAGTAAGTCAAGCATACCGAACTTGAGATATCTGAGTGAGTGGCTAACCGAAATGGCAGGCTTGATCAAGAAAATGCAGCACTTGAGGACGAGGAGGGGTATGATCCCACTCACGAGGTAAGGGATTACAGAGAGCTGGCTGCGCGTTTGCCGGTGTTCTGCGTCTCTAGCCGGGCCTACCAAAAGATGTCTGGCAAGCTCGACAAGGACGAGCCGACGACTGGATTCCTCACTCTCGAGGAGACCGAGATCCCGGCGCTTCAACGTCATGCTCTGGACATTGTCTCAGAGACACGCTCAGCTGGCTGCCGGAAGTTCCTGACGGCCTTTTCCAGCTTCATCACGTCTCTTGAGGTTCAGATTGTCATTGCGGAAAAGCCACTCAAGTTGGCCGACAACTTGAGGGAGGAAGAGCTCGGTTTCCTGAAGGGAACCTTGGACAAGCTTCGTAAGAGCTTCTACCTCAAGCTGGACGAGGCGTTCACGGATTTCAAGAAAACGCTGGAATCCAGGATCATCAAGGCCCTCAAGTCTGCAGTGCGCCGTGCAGCGAACAGTGCGACGGATATTGTTGAGGGCTGGGGAAAGCGAAAGGACGAAGGTGGTATTCCGTATGGAACATACCGCGCAACCTGCTCAAGGCGTGGTGTCTTCAAGGGTTCTGTTGGACCGAGAGACTTCAATTCTGAGCTTCTCGAACCTTTTAAACAAAAGATCGCTCCCACGTGGGAGCAGGTCTTCACTCGGACTCTCCCCCAAGGAATCGATGCCTTGGGGCAGGACCTGTCCAGCCTCCTGGAGGACTTCCAAGGCCAGATGCATGAGCGTCCGCAGTTGAGAGATTCATCATCGTATGAGCTCGTGCGCGAGCAGGTCAAGACGATGGGGGCTATTCTGCGCGAGACTGCCCCTTTTAAATGTCAGTGCCGGGCTGGTCAAAAAGAGGCAAATCGCTTATTTAAACCGGCAATCGAGGAAGCAATGAAAGTCGCATACGAGAAGTGCGTCGCAGAAAGAGGTACGTACAAAAGTCGGAGCCGGTCCGGGGCCTTGTCAATAACTAACATATTTGGATCTAGGACTTGGCTCCTACAAGCGTATGAAGGACAATATGCGCGAGCACATCGATCTTGTTCGTAAGGCGATGTTCAATGCCGGCACTGAGGCTGTTAACAAGCGCCTCAACGACATGCTCGACGTGCTCCGCTCGGCTTTCGAAGAGCATGTCGATCACGTCGTCGCTCAAGTCTCCGATGACTACAAATCCATTGTTCTGGATAGAAACATCTTCAAAGCTCTTGCATCTGCTCGCGAGGTCGTCAAAGAACTGCTTCACAACGCCGACAACCGTTTCAAGGCCGTTCTCGAGCCTCTCGCCGAAGCTACCCCCCCTAAGCCCGAGGACGTGGTCATGGGAGGTATGGATAACCGTCCGCCTCTCGCTTTTGCTCACGCTCCAGTCACACCCAAACCTCCGAGAACGCTTCCCTTCAGGAGGGCTCGTCTATGCCACCGACGCCGGTAACGCCTGCGTCTCAGACATCGACTCCCGGTAGCCAGTTTGCCGGAGTACTCGCTGGCCTGTCGTTGTGGTCACCGGCGCCATCGGTTGCCCCTGGTACTCCGGCAACTCCTTCCATCAAGACTGAGAATGTCGACTTCAGTCTGAGACCGACATCTGTCTCTCGTCGTCCGTAAAGGACAGAGGAATACGTTATTGCCTACTAAATCTTGCTTATACGTTTTTGCTTACAAGTTCGTTGGAACGTTACCCAGAGAGCTGTTACGGCCTCAAGAATCTCAGAAATGAATGTCCGAATCATGAATGGAAAAAAGAAAAGAAAAGAAACGAAAAAAAAAGGACTCGCTTGCTAAGGATACGATTTTGCCATGATACGTCAACTTTTGACCAAGGAAGATACTTCTTGTCAATCAGACGGATGTTAGAGATATTACAAGGAGGATTACCGCATGCTGGTTGACGAATGACAAACTGATACGAAAGGAAACGTACTATAAATGGCTAGGAACTTGATCAAACGTCATTGGGCTTGTCTCCTTGGTAGATAATTGCCCAGCGACATGATGTTGCTCATATAGTCTAGGTAGAAGAAATTCAAAAAGCTAAGAGCTTGTTGCTCACCATTGGCGTCACAATGGCATTGAATACTTGACTGACCTCCTATGATCCAGCTCGAGATACAGCAACTGGTCGAAATATTTCACTAGCAGCACGATAAGGCGCTCGCTAGCCTTAACCGAGTGTCCGTTCCGACAAGGTAAAGTGAATGCGGCTCTCGGAATATGACAAAAGGGAACACATCCGACTTAAGGAAATACCCGAGTGGTCAATTGAACTTTGAGGATGGGTGGTTTAGCCTGCATCTCGATGAGGCATACCGGTCAAGGACGATGCCGTATAGATTGTTCTGTGACGGAGTGTTGATAACATGTTGGTGGTGCTGTCTTAACAATTTTCCACCAAATATTACCTATCACCAGTACAACCCTCCCACCTGACATCATCCCGCCAGATCAATTCCCAATACAACCTGACAAACATCATCATTTCAGTTAATCCTGTCTCAGATCTTGCGTGAAGGATGTTTGGATCTGATCTTTGAACTTCATTATTTGCTCATCCCCTAATCTTTGGGGTTTTATCCCGTCCGACCGTGATTATGTTCATGATACCGATACCGATATTGTTGATATCTGCCTGTTAAGAGCACTATAGCGGTACGTACATACCTGTAAGTCGGATACCTCTGCATGCGTCACCGTGGCACATTTAACTGTCACTGCTTGGTGCTTGACGGGAATGTGTGGCAGAACCGGTCACCACACCCATTGCTACCATGATCCGCATCCAGGGCTGGTCTCAGCAGGTCTCAGATCGACGATGCCCTGGCCGAAGATACGTCTTATCCCGTCGGCTTGGTTGGGGCGGGTGGGCGGCTGTAGCTCCGGGTCCGTCTCACGCATTCCTTAATTGTTCGTTTTGTAACAGTTGTAAGTACCTTGGGCTGAATTGATTGTGAGAATGCCTTGTTCTGCCGCCCTTCATGTCATGTCTTTCCCTAGGTAAATCATTGGCACATTATGTCCTCGTGATACAGGAAGAGATGGAAATGTGCCAATTTGCTATGCATGGAGGAAGGAGTTGGAGGTTGAATACATCCACCAAGACTTTATCGCACCTGCTAGTATAAAGATCAGATATCTAGGTACCATCTGAACCGCTAATAAGCGGCGGCTACTGGGTACTTTCCCTGCTTTGCAGCACCCAAATGGTCAGGTACCGTCGCTGCTCCCGTTCCATGACTCTTCCTCACATTACTGTAATTCCTGGCTCACATCTGGGCATGGAAAGGCCCGAGTTCCGGGCATGACATCGCCAGGTCACCTCACTGCTATCAAAACTTCTCACCGCCTTCATCCGGCAGCCGGCATGCCTCCCATGTTCTGGAACAAAAGCTGGCAAAAGCCTGGAAGCTTCCCCAGTCCATCCCAATTCGTCGTGGTGAAACTTGAATTGAGATCTCTGCACCTCCGTTCGGCTGCGGCGTTGAGCGGTGGTTACCTCATTACAGTCACCGGCCAGTGCACTTCCACCTCCACGCTCCACGCTCCACGCTCCACGCTCCACCTCCACCACCAGTGTTTTCCACTTCCAGTTCTCTTTGTCCGCGGCGGCCACCTCACCTCCACCGTCTCCCACTGTCCCCCGACGACCAAGTTCCTCCTGCAACCAATTACTTCCCAAGAGGTAACCCGAAACTGCCTCTGCGACACTACACACTACGAATCCGTCAAACCGCAAGAATTACTGTCTCCAACCTCCAGGCAAAAAGGCACTCGCCCCCCAAACCTATACTACCAAAAACTCTATACCTCCGTACCAACCGCCCAACCAGATCTTCCACATCCGGCCCTTCTTCTCTTTGATCACCTTCGCCTCCCTCGAACGGTTCGCCGCTATTCTTGGAAGCTGCAGCCAACGATTCCAGAACAATCGCCCTCCGGACCATGAATGGCTGCCCTCTCGCCGCCTACCCGTTTGGTCACGCACAGTGTTGAACCTGAACGGCCGGCATCGCCTTCCCCCGCAATTGCACCACCAGCAGACGCACCAGCACCAGCACCCGCCACAATGGACGACACCGCGAGGCTTGTCTCAGATCTGCACCAAAAGCTCGCCCACCTCGACGGCAAGGTCGCTGCTTACCAGCGCGACATGCTTGCCGAGTTTCACCGGTACATGGACGACTGTCTGAAAAACTACCCAGTCCACGTTTCGTCCGAGGTCTCCCGAGTCATGGCCGAGTCCATGCACAAGTACCCGGCCCTCACCTTGATGGCCCGCGACGCCCGCGACGCCCGCGACGCTGAAAGTCCTCGACCTCAGTCGCCCACAAACAAGATCCTCGACAGTGAAGCCCTTCCCAGAGACGTTCGCAAGTCGCCTCCGCCCATTTTGTACCATACATCCGGCACCCCGAAGGAAGGCCCAAGAAGCCCCCATGAGCGCGAGAGAGAGTTCCAAGGCTTGTTCACTCCTAGATACCTGCCCCTGCTCGATAGCACCCACCGCGGCCTGCAGTCACCCCCGGAGTCGCCAGTGCCCACGCCGCTGCCGCTTCCCTTGTCTCAAGATAATGTGAAGAAAGTGGAGGACTTCAAGGAGCCAGAGGCCATGTTGAAGCTTGAAATCCGCCCGACCCCGGTCAGACGGATGACCGACCGATCCTCATCGTCAGTTGAGTCGTCGGCTTCTGGAAGCGACTCAAAATTGCGAAGGAGCGCTTTGCGACGTTCTTCGAGTTCAACCAAGGGCAGCCCGCGCCGGGTGCGTTTCGAATTTGCGGGTGAGGAGGTGTTTCCATCGACTTCTCCCCAGGACACTTCTGCCGTTACAGTCCCGCCCCTGTTCAGTGGGGATGATGGGGCAGATGGGGCGCAGACTCCTCCTCCTCCCCCTCCTCAACTGGAGGCCGCTGCGCCTATCATACCCTCGATAAACGAACCACCTGCGTATAGCGGAACATCGTTGCTTGACGTTGAAGGCGAGGAGGACGCGCTGCCGAGGCCTAAGAAAGTCTCGTCCACACAAGCACTTCGCGCGCTTTCTCGGAACGCCCCCCTAGATGCCGGAACTTGGACAGAGGTGAATGCGGACTTGGAAGAGACGCCCAAGATGAACGGCGGAACGCAAGAGAATAGCGCCCTACAGCAAGACCAGCCGTCAGGGCAGTTTTCCGGAGGAATGCCACAAGACGGTCAGCGTCACGAACAGCTTCATCCTCAAGCAGAGAATCTCACAAAACACAAAGTCGAGACCAAATCTTCCCCTCTCGCACACCATGTTGTAACGCAACAGCCCAATGGCGACCAGAGTCTCGGGTCCCCACTGGAAGAGTTGCAACGGGATGAAGACGACGACAGTTCCGACGACGACGAATTTCTCTCGATGAAACCGAAGAAAAAGCCAATCTCGCCAACTATTCGAAGCTCATTTGGGCGGCTACCTACGATCTCTGAGACCGCTCAAAACACTGCAAGGTCTTCACCCAACAACGCCGCTCATACTAAATCGCCGGCGGTGGATGAGTTTGGTAAAGGGAAGGTGGTGGATGACGTACCCGAAGATGCCTTCTTTGACTTTGAGGGAGAGGGCATCTCTACTGGTGTAGAATCCGATACAGAGAAGTACATCGCCGAAGATGATTCCGATGATGACGACAACGACGCTGCTGCGAGCAAGATACCACCCGAAGAACGCCCGAGAGTGGCCTCCATAGCCAGCGGATCTAATGCGCAGACTGAACCAGCCCCAGTCCGCAAGATTCCTCCGGCCACGCCATCGGCCGCCTTGTTTGGCCACTCGGTCGGATCGTACAAGGGAACTTCCATGCGGATGAACCCCATCAGCAACCCGAAGCTGTACGATGAGATTGCTGGCATGAGAAACGTACACACCTTTGTTGGTAGTGTCGATGGACGCAGCGGCGTGGAGGCTATTGATATGGGGAGCTACCGTGCATATTTGGTTAAGAACCATGCCAGTGCTACCCCCCGCAGTTTCACGGAGCGATTGGCATTTGAAGAGGCTATGGAGCGGAGGAGGTCAATGAGGGACTCGGACAACGAAGATGTGTAGAATCATATTAATAACGACACGCTGTGGTCTGCATGATACCCTAGAGGAGCAAAGGGGTGGAAAGGGTTACGCATGAAATTGCTGAGATAGGAGTTCATGAAACGGCATTACCAGAGGTAGACATTTCCTCTCTGAACATTGCATCGAACCTGCTTACAAGCGACGCTTCTTCTTCTATCATCACCCTGTAACAGTAAAGGCTTCATCATGATACAAACGCAAGTGGGCATACGAGGAACCTAATGACATGTTGTACCGGAGTGAGCGGCAGCCAGATGGGCGACATGGCGGGTGATACACTAATGCTCAGTATGCAATGGGAAAATGATCAATTGGACTTCTTAAATCATGCAATTGTCCGTATCACCATGCCCAGTCGTCCGCTTCGGGACCACGGACCGGCGGTAACAAGCCGGACGCTGTCCGTTGTCACTTCGGTGCCCCGGGTCCGGGCGTCAGTTCCCGAATCCGGGCACGGAGGCTCTTGCGCAACCAATCAGAAAGAACGAATTCATGAACCATGCCTTAACAACATGGGGGTCTTGAAGGGGTTTAGAAGGAGGCGCGGTGCACTTCGTCCAATCTTTGTCATGGCGGCTTGTCTCTTCACACCACTCATGCACCCCCATTTCTCCAAGGACCAAGTCTTTCCCGTCGCGATGCCAGACTCAACTTATTCCCAGCAATCTGGCTTGGGTGTTCTCCCTTGATTGCTGCAAAACCAATTGACCTGAACTTCAATTAAACAGACTGGTGAATCTGCGAACAATTCGATAACCGAGATATCGCAATTGCCTGGTGGCTGGATAACTATACACATCAACCACGTCACGAAGACAAAGGAAAGGTGGTGGCGGGCAAGGGATACCAAGCATACAGCTAGGTGTCCTCAGAGACAACAAGGTCCCCAACCAAGATCCGAGACCGCAAAAACAAACGACGAACCAAATGAAATGACACGACACTACCGCTTCGCGACCACGTCGCCGCTGCCAACAACCACGGCAGGGACAAAGTCCCCAAGACCAACAGCCATAATGTCTTCCATACCCACCCTCCTCCACCTCCTCTTCACTACCATCCTCCTCCTCGCTATCCCAACCCTCGCCTACCAACCCCTCTCCGACACCCAACTCAAAGCCGTCCCCGGCCCCATCGAGTCCGACTTCGACATCAAAACCGGCGCGCTCCTCGCCCCGATCCTGATCCCCCGCGTCCCCGGCACCCCCGGGCAAGCCAAAGTCCAAAAACACTTTGTCGACTTCTTCACCCGCGAACTGCCCGAGTGGGAAATCTCGTGGCAGAACTCGACAGCCACCACCCCGCTCTCAGGAAACAAACAAATCCCGTTTCAGAACCTGATCTTCCGCCGGGAACCGCCATGGACGAAAGAGCGAGGGCCGGGCAGGGCGGCGCTGCTGACGCTAGTGGCGCATTACGATAGCAAGATCAGTCCGGAGGGATTCATCGGGGCGACGGATAGCGCGGCGCCTTGTGCGGTTTTGATGCATGTCGCGAGAACGGTGGAGGGGTATTTGAAGAAGGTTTATGAGCAAGGGGTGGCGGAGGGGTTGGGGAAGGAAGGGAGGGAGGATCCGGGACGGGAGATGGGGGTGCAGATACTGTTGTTGGATGGCGAGGAGGCGTTTAAGGAGTGGACGGATACGGATTCGCTTTATGGTGCTCGGTGAGTTATGCTATTGTGCTTGTTGTTGTGCTATGGAAGCCATCAAGGCAAGAGACTAACTGGTACTCAAAACAGATCCCTCTCCTACGAATGGGAAAACACCCCCTACCCCGCCCTCTCGCGCTTCAAGAACCCTCTCCGACAAATCGACCTCTTCGTCCTCCTCGACCTCCTCGGCTCCGCCGACCCGGGCGTCCCTTCTTACTTCCAGACCACCCACTGGGCATACAAGAACATGGCCACCGTCGAGTCGCGCATGCGCGCCCTCGGTCTGCTGGAAAGCAAACCCAAGAACCCGTTTCTGCCCGAAGCCGGCAAGCTCAACGAGCATTTCGGGAGGGTTTACGTGGGCGATGACCACCAGCCGTTCATGGCCAAGGGCGCGCCCGTGTTGCATATGATCCCCACGCCGTTTCCGCATGTGTGGCATAAGATTGAGGATGATGGGGAGCATTTGGATTTGCCTACGGTCAGGGATTGGGCGAGGATCGTGACGGCTTTTACTGTTGAGTATTTGGAGGCTGCTGGGGGAGAGGTAGGGGCTGGGGCTGGGACTGGGAAGGAGGGCAAAGGGGAGGATACTGCTGCGAAGCAGGGGACTACTACTGATGGGGAGGAGAAGGCTGGCGCGGGAGTTGGGAAGGGGCCTTGATGTCTCTTGTTTCCTTTTCCGTATGTTTTCGCGAATGGACATGCTATCAATTTAAATGCTTCCGGCTCGTCGTGGATGAAAGTGCAGTGCCCTAGATGCTCCTATGTGGTCTGATCTACAAGGTGCATACATATGTACACTACTATCGGATGGTGGAGCGATGCCTAGAGTCTCGACTTCTGCGGATGACAGACATCGACGGAAAGCATGGTTTGCATACGTCTGTATAAATCCGTAACTTAGCTATGACTTTGTAACCACGATTGAAAACATCTGCTCGTTTATCTTTAACCAACTTTTACGTCGTAGAAGTAAAACAGCCCATTCTGGAGGCATCCAACATGTATCCTATAGGGGTGCAGCGGGGTGGCGGGGCAGGACCATATTGGCGCTGTCACAGCCGGTCCGCCTAAATCGACTGTGTACCATTCTTAGCCGACTGTGTGGAGCGCTCCCAACCAACCACATACCAGGGAACACGTATGGTTACCGCATGTTGGCGCCCGCAAAATCCTCACCAAAGTGATATGGTATGAATATTTGCATTACTAGCGTATATAGAAGTTAATACAATAATCGAGTTATTGAACAAAATATCATAAAAGTAAGTTACAGTATTAAGGCTCTTAGAGGTACACTAACCAACCGCTATACAAATACCTAAAATTATTGACTTTACTAGTTCCTAACTAGAGGCGCCCACCCATACCCCTAATCCTATCCCTTTACTAGAATTCTTCTACACACAAAAGGTTAAGCCCTCTAAAGACTGTTAGGATAGGTTTTTCGACGTTAATAAGTTCGTTAAAGAGGAAAAGCAATCCCCATTTCCCTTACCTACATCTAAATCCAAATAAGTAGAAGATAAGCCAGCAGTATCCTCTCTCCAAGCGCTTACTAAAAGAGAAAAAAAAATATCGACGCGCTAGTAAAGGATATAAACGAAGTAGCAGTTTACATTAGATTTAATATTATTAAAAAAAAGGGCTAATAACTACTGTAAAGGCAAGCTAACTCAATATAATTTAGAGTATATTAAAGGAGCAGCGCGTAGCAGTAAGAGCAATTCGATAGTTACAATAAAGAAGAGGACGACGATAGCGAGTATAAAGGAGAACTATAATTGGAAGGTGAAGGCGGTTTTCGCTAACACAATGAGTATCTAATAATTTACTCTTATAGTCGCTAATTATAACTACACTCTCAATTCTTCAGCTGCTACCTACCTACCTACCTAACGCCGTTTCTAACGTATAAAAGAAGTTATTACAAATATTATTAAGTAGGCCAAGTAACTAAAGACGTTTAATTCAAATATTACTTCCGCTATTAAATTAAAATTCCCTAATATTAAAATTACGCCTAAAAATATATAGAATGTACTAATTAGTAAGAAAGCAAGGGTAATAAGTACGCTAACTCCTTCCTAATAGTTCCTTAACGTTCTAATTACAATACCTGGCGTAATTAGTAAAATCTTTCGTAAAAGAGGTAAGGAGGAGGGACCGATAGAGAGAATCTTTTAGACTTATCTATAGTATATTAATTAATTAAAGAAGAATTTAGAAGTATAGAGTTTAGATTATACTCATAAAGTTCATAAATATAATATACCTCTCCTATAAATTTATAGCATTATTACGTTACATACTACCTTTAATATAGGGTATTATCTTCTATTTAGTAAGAAGGAGGTATACTTTATATAGATTCTGGAGTAGTTAAATAAGCTATTGAACAATTATAGTATCCCTACATTAGAAGTTATTATTATAGACTATAATAAGGTATATATGAAGGTTTGCCACGCTATCTTTACTATTACTTAGTACTAGATTTGTCTTTAGTACGTAATAAAGAATATTGCTTTTAACGTTAAGAAGAAGTAGAAGGGTATATTCGAAGGTATAATATTAGGGAATTGAAGTAGTAACAGTAGTTATTTATATAATAAGTTTCGGATAGATATTAATCTAGCTAATTAAGATTATACCTCCTATTAAGTAACTTCTAAACTTTTTAGCAATAAAGACTGCGTTCAATATTTAGAGGACTCCGCTAGGAATACCTATCTCTAACAGTTAATTAGGTTAGTATTAGAAGGCTCGAACCGTAAGTAAATTAATAACGCTAATAATATATTAGCTACTTAGACCTCTATAGTATACGTAGGCTTTGAAGAGGATTTTTAAATACAATAGAGGGTATTATTAGTAGAATTCCCTAAGTAATAGGGTAAGAATTCCGCCTCCTTTCCTTTCTTTTCCTTCCTCTCCCCTCCTCTCCCCTTACTAACTAACTCTTTTATAAAAATAATCGACTACCTCTGCAAAATTTACCTCCCCTTACACAACGAATTCGCCTACTTTATTATAAAATTGTACTATAATTATAGTATTCGTATAACTTCCCGTATAGAAGGCTTATATAGAGTATTGAAATCGCTATTTAAAAACCGCTGCATTAATCTTGACGAATTATTAATTACTATTAAAATAATATTTAATCAATTGTAGGCTAATTTCGAGGCTAAGTACATGGTATAGATCTCTAAACGCGTTACCTAATACCCCAAAGAATTAAATAACTAAATTTACTATTAGCTTTAATATACTTAAATTACTAAATAAGTAGGTTACTATAGTAATAGTATTTAATTTAAAGGACTAATATAGGAATATAAGCTTAGCGAAACTTATAGAGGAGGTTAAGAAGTAGTACACTACGTACTTTATATAGTAATATAGTTTACTTTATTAATATAATTTGATAGCTCTCGTAAAGGCAAGGGGATTTATATAGTAGGGTATAGTAAATTAGTACTAGTAGTTAAAACTAAACTAAGTACGTCCCCTCCCATTTATACTTAATAATTTCTTACTAACTATACAATACAGCCGTTGTCAACTAACTTCCTATTACTTCGCTACGAGGTTAATCCTCGCCTAATTATTACTAACCGCTGGCAGGCCCCTAAGAATAGCCCCCAACCTCTCCCTAATACAGTTTACTAGCTAATAGTTAATAGAGGAAGTATACAATATAATTCATCTTACGATACCCCTCCTAAGGCTTTATAATTTCTACTAAAGAAGAAGAGGATGACCGTAACTATATTAGTTAGTTAATAAGAGGAGGAGGTGAAGGTTGAAGTATAGAATATGAAGGAGGAGGCAGTACGATTATAAACGTAGTTTTAAGAATTAAGGGAATTACAATAGCGTAAAATATAATTGGAAGTACAATTGCAGGAATTTAACATTGAATAATAAATTTAACTACTACTAGTATACTATTACTACCAATATGGGTACTAATACCGCGCGCCTATAGCGACGGCGCTTATAGTAATATCCTTATATTAGGAGATAATACTCCCTCCCTTATAGTAATACCCCTTATAGCAATATTTGGACCCTTACTAGCCGCCACTATCTACCTAGCCGCGGCCATCTACCCAGCAGAACTCTCACTAGCTATTATATTAGCAATGGTATTAGTTGATTCAATACTACTAGTAATCGTAATAATGCATGTATTAATATAAACTCTATAGTTTCAGCACCTTCTACGTAAGTTAGTATATTAAAGTGCTTTATTTGTGTGATTCCTGGCGACTTTTAGTGTAGATGTTGTACGCATGTCACTTTGGTGAGGATTTGGCGGGCGGCAATATGGTTGTGCTATTGGTTAGAAGGGTCCTACACAGTCGGCTAAGAATCTAATACAGTCGATTTAGGCGGCCCGGTCACAGCGGTAGAGAGAGAAGCTCACAAGTGGAAGTCACAACGTCAAATTCCATCGCCTCCCCACCTACCCAACCCAACGACCAGGGCAACCTTAATTCCACTTCCACCTCCGACCTGACTTCACTTGTTTCACCATTCCACCATCCTGATTCCGACATCAACTCTTCAACCTGCGAATAACCGTCGAACGTACTCTACCGTACGCCATCTCCCGTAAGGATCTCTATTTCCAACTTGCCGACGCGCGCGCTTGTTTTCACCTTCCGCTTCGTCCGCGGAACAGTCCCCGACCGATCAAATATCCAAACGCCAGCATTTGCTTCTCGTCAAAATCAACGAATCTAACTCTCCTCGGTAACCTAGTTCACCGATTCCCACGGCGCCGTAACGTCTGGACCACATCTCCCCTACTGCCTCCTGTCGCCGGTCCCATCTTCGCATCCTTCTGGACTTGTTAGATTCATCGGCGCAGAGACTGCTTCAGTGCATCTCTGCTCTCCAACAACACGGCTTCTCACGGGCGACAGCTGCCTGACCAACAAAACCCAACAGGCGGCGAAATCCCGAATCCTTTGCGAAAGACAATCACTATCGGCTCTGTCCTTTTCAACCGCGCCCATACGACACAGCGACAACCTTCGCCACACCCGCATTATCTGATTCAACAATCCTCCATCTCTTCAACCACAGCCCACTCGGGTCCATCTTCGGCAGTCAGAGAAGCCATGGACGGCAGGAAACACCCAAGCTCTTTCCAGCAGCTTGAAAAGCTGGGAGAGGGCACTTATGCTACTGTAAGAGATCCCTCCTTGGCCTAGGATTATCTGGCTCGGTGAACGTGGGGAAGCAATTATATGGTGCAAATGGCTGACACTACATTGCTAGGTCTTCAAAGGCCGCAACCGACAGACAGGCGAGCTAGTAGCTCTCAAGGAGATTCACCTTGATTCGGAAGAGGGGACGCCTAGCACGGCAATCCGCGAGATCTCCCTTATGAAAGAACTGAAGCACGAGAACATTGTTGCTCTACACGATGTCATTCACACCGAGAACAAGCTTATGTTGGTGTTCGAGTACATGGATGGCGATCTCAAAAAGTTCATGGACACCAACGGCGAGAGGGGAGCCCTGAAGCCTCATGTCATCAAGTCCTTCATGCATCAGTTGCTCAAGGGTATCGACTTTTGCCATAAGAACAGGGTCCTACATCGAGACCTGAAGCCGCAGAACCTGCTCATCAACAGCAAGGGCGCTCTGAAGTTGGGAGATTTTGGTTTGGCGAGAGCATTCGGTATTCCAGTTAACACCTTTTCGAATGAGGTCGTCACTCTTTGGTACCGAGCTCCCGATGTGCTGCTTGGAAGCAGAACCTACAACACCAGCATCGACATTTGGTCCGCGGGATGCATCATGGCTGAGATGTTCACCGGCAGGCCCTTGTTTCCCGGCACCACTAATGAGGATCAGATTGTTCGCATTTTTAGGATAATGGGCACACCGACGGAACGCACATGGCCTGGACTCACGTCATTCCCCGAGTACAAGCCCAACTGGCAAATGTACGCGACACAGAGCCTGTCGTCCATCTTGCCTCAGATCGACCGCGACGGCATCGACTTGCTTCAACGGATGCTACAACTGCGGCCCGAATTGCGAATCTCGGCCCACGATGCGCTCCAGCACCACTGGTTCAACGACTTGGTTCACCAACAGCATCACCATCAAGCGCAGCAGTCCATGATGCAACAGCCACCGATGATGCAGCAACAGCCAATGATGCAGCAGCATAGAGGCTATGGACAACCGCAGCCCAACTACGAGGGCTACTAGACAGAGCAGCCTCGAGGAACTGGAAGGCAGACACCGCCGGTGCCAGGGTTTCCTCCACCAGTTTTGGATCGACCGATGCCAGTAGTGCCAGGGTTTTCTCCACCAGGATTCCAGAATCGCGGGCAACTGATGCCAGTAAACGAGGGCTGCTACACCGAAGAGCAGATTCTAGGAGGGCGGACAATGCTGGCGCCAGGGCAACGCCATTCAATGTCTTCTCAACCGATGCCAGGATATCCTCCCCCGGGGAGGTATCCTCAACCGATGCCAGGGTATCCTCCACCAGGGAGGTATCCTCAACCGATGCCAGGACATCCTCCACCAGGGAGATATCCTCAACCGATGCCAGGGTATCCTCCACCAGGGAGGTATCCTCAACCGATGCCAGGGTATCCTTCAGGTCAACAGGTTCAAACTGGGCATTTACCGAGAGGAAATGATTTGGTTAACCGTGGCATGGGTTCGTCTACAGATCGATTAATGGCGTGGATGGAAAATTTTAACATTGGCAATTATGGGGTGCACAGGCCACGGCGGTCAGTCCCCATGGAACCCAGTTTCAACCCGTTTATACATAATAATGGACAGCTAAATATGATGATGATGCCACATGGGCCTCGAATACAAACAGGTGTAGTGGGCAATGGACACCCAAATGCGATGCCACGACCTCAGTTGCGTCAATCATCTTTTGTGCCTTCGGTTTCCTATCCTCCACCGGCGTCAGATGAGCCTCGACATCAACAGATGGGGATTCCACAAAGTTCTCAAACTCAAACGCATGATGTGAACGATTGATCAAACACCTAAAGTCAACCGCCAGGCTGGAGAGAAAAATGAGGAGTTTCCGCCTGATTCTCAATCATTTCGGACAAGAACATACGCCGATGTTGCAAGTTCCTCAAAGGTTATACACCCGAAGCCAACCAGGCAATAACTGCGGATGCCATAAGGTGGCCAATGTCAAGCACACACGTCTGACGAGCACAAAATGATAATGGTATACGGCAGCTCATGTTTCTATCACCAACGCAGCATGTTTATGTTTCACAATAAAAGCAAAAGCAGGAAGCTTGGACGAGGATGACGGGAAAATGGCAGCGCAGGCTTTAGGGAGGATGGGGTTAGAGAAATGTTACTTGTGCATTTGCATTTCTTTCAAATAGTTGTTGCGTTTTGTAGCGGAGGTTCTTATGTATTAGATCAAAGCGAACTTTGAGAGTGTTGTCCATTATTTTTTTCCTGATGTCAATGAGTTGTCAATGAGTTTTCTCGTGAGCGGTGATTCGGGGGACGGGAACTAATCAGCAGGACTGGAGTTCTAAATCATTGAGATACCACCAGCTGATATACTGTGTAGTCGTTTCTGTGGGAAAAGTTCGGTGATAATAAAATTCTTTATTATTGTATCGGGCGTATGTCTTGTAGTCTATATTGTTTACACCAAGCGAACTCTTATCGTCAACCCAACCGGCTTTTCGTATTCGTTGACATGTTGGATACAATGACCTTTTAAGGCTCCTTGTTGGGTTATTAATGCATCTGGATTCCCCCGGACCGATCCCGTGGAGGTGGAACACCCCGCAAGAGGAGCGCCTATCGATAAGCCTTGATCCCTGGCCGGCCCAGGTGCCTGGAAGCCTGGGCCTTCTCCACCTGATTTCTTGTAGCCGCAGTGTACCAGCGCCGGACATAGCGCACTGCGACGGACTTCGACGCTACCAAAGAGCCGCTACTGGACTGTCCGAGCTTGATCCATGCCCTGCAACCGTACAATAACCCGTCCCCAACGACATCTCGATTATCGTGTCTCCTGGCCACGGACAACTCAACTTCAACCACATCCCATCTCGATTTCGGAGCATGGCATTTCGCCTTCACAACATCTAGCCGACCAGCCGTTTCTCCATCGACAAATCCCATCTTCTCACTGCATGCTTTAAACCGTCTTTCCGGAAAACAGTCGCCGCGATGGCTACCGTGGAGTCACGCAAAGGTACGGTGCTCCTTCTGACGCGCCCGCAATCATGGCGAAGCGATGCTTTCCACAGAACGACACTGACCATTCTTGTGCGAGGGAACAGACGAGGAGGCAACCACTATCAAGGTTGCCTCGTCAAAAGCGACCCGCAATATCGTCAAGCTGAAGAGACAACCAACTAAGCCCTCTAAGCCAGGCAATTGGAAGGATGCCACGACATCGCTCGATAGTATGTAGTCATCCACTCATCCCCGGACCTCTTGCCCCGCTAACCGGTTGCTTACACAAACTTAGACGAGGAAAAGAAAAGGGCCAAAGAGGCCGGTAACGCCGCCCCTCCGAGCCCCATCATCAACCAACTAGATCTCCCCGCACAAGTAACATTCGACACCGGCCGTCCGCTTGACGATGTTCCCGACCTGATCTATTGCAAACTCTGCAAGAAGGGAGTCATCAGAACCTCCGGGAAGGAGCATATCGACGAATGTCTTCGCATCAAGAGGGAAAAGGCGCAACGCAAAAAGGAGGCCCGCGAGGCACGTGAGCGCGCCAAGGAGGCTGCTCGCGAGGAGGAAGCCCGCAAAAACGACCCCGACGGCGGAGCGGGGCGCGACGATGACGACAGCGATGCCGAAGAACCCACCGAGAGGAAAGGGAACAGCGGAAAGACGACAAAGAAGGCTACCGGCAAGAAGCCCGATGTCGGCGGGAAGAAGAGGAAGGCCGAGGGAGACCTGGAGAAGGGCAAGGCCAAGAAGAAGAAGGACGAACCGAAACCGAAGACCGCCAAGCCCAAGGGTCCTGTTGACGTTGAGAGGCAGTGCGGTGTCATCTTGCCCAACGGCCAGCCTTGCGCTCGTTCACTCACCTGCAAGAGTCATAGTATGTCGGCCAAGAGATCGGTGCCAGGGCGATCCCTACCGTATGATATGCTACTTGTGGCATACCAGAAGAAGAATCAAGCGAAGCAGCAGAGAGCCGCCATCGACGCAAATGCCCCGTTGGAGGACGACGACGATCCGAATGCCGGTGCGGTGGACAGCGATGAGGAGACGGCTGCCGTTATGAACGCCCTAGCGAATTGGCGACCACAACCGGTTATCCCTCAACCTATTATTGCACCGATCAAAAGGCAGTACCAGCTGGCACGGTTGCACGAGCAACTTCAAACGGTAACCAACGGCGGCCGACTTAACATCTTCAAGGTTGTTGGATTTGGTGCCCAGAAGCTTCCGGAGGGCCATCCCGGCCTTTATCAGCAGGAGGAGGAACATGCCGGCGACCCCGACGTCTCCATGCAAGATGCATTTTCCCGACGTTCATCAACATTTAGTCTTGCAGGACCACCGCAGCGAAGGCCATCAGTGACAAGCAGAGCTTAGGATGCTCGGCCACATAGCCCCCCATCGCAAAATCGAAATCCTAATACTGCTTTATCCCCAATACTGGAAAGTACCGCGGTATCCAGTACTTCTGCCCCGAAAACGAAGCGACGGGCAGACCAACTAGAGGAGGAACCATCGGATACATCACAACGGAAACGAGTACGCTTGACCCCTGGATTGGGTCCGAATCCTCGACTGTCGCCGAACCGGAAGCCGGTACGACAACCTGTACCGCCACATGTGTCGGATGCTATGGAGAGCCCCGGGGGCCCAAGGCGCCCAAGGGAGACAACGGACCAGTACCTCAAACAGACGTTTGCTCCTAGTAGGAGACATGATAGCGTGCGATCACCTCATCCAGTTAATTCATCTAGACCTGGACCTGGTACAAGCCCACATAGGCCGCCTAGGCAGGCATACCCCGCACCGAGACCTCCAAGCCGCGATGCAGAGAGGAGTGTCACCCGCCCAGGGCCGAATAAACATCACGACAACGAATTACCCGCTCGAAAGTACTCAATTGGCATTTCGCTACGAGGAGGATTACAAGTCGATTCTCCAAGAAGGAATGACTTTGAGAGCCCGGCAGCCGCACGAACCCCAGCTCGGCATCCAAGTCGGCGGCTGTCCTCAGCATCACCCGGTCAAAACTCTTTACACCTGAGTCCCCATATCCCGGATGAAGTTCGCGCAATGGACGCTAAGAAGTGTCCAGAAATCTCACCGGAAGAGATGGACATGCTTCGGCAGATATATATTGCTTGTCAGCAGCACCCGGAAAAGCTGGACGAGTACCGTCAGGAATACAAAGCTTATCAACAACGACTGCAAGCACAGAAGGGTTTAAGCGGAGGGAAACAACCAACCAACCCCCAGTCCGCGAGCCCAGTGCCTGAGGTCTCGCCTCGTTCAGCATTTAACAAAACCGAAGTTCATCAACCTCAGCGTGCGCTGGAAGAGGCGCATTTTAGACCTACTTACTCCCCTCGGCACGGCTCTAGCGCGATTTTCCGTGGCGGTGCTACTTCCCCCTCGAATACCCCAGCAGCCGCTCGTCAACGACCGGAAGTATCATCACCGGTACACAGAACTCAGCAAACTTTGCCCGACACACCACAGACCGCCGGGAACCATCAGCGCAAACGGTCTGGGCCTATACCACGAATCATACTCAAGGTACCGAAGCGTACCCAACAACCGAATGAGGGAATTTCACCAGTGAAAATCGGTCCTCCCCAAGGAGATATCATGAGCTCGCCGAGGAAGACTCACGGCCCAGTGGGAGGCAAAAGCCTCAAGGGTCCTTCCGTTGAGGAGGGCGGTCTGGTTGTTATTGATGACTGATGGATTTCAGAAACCAGCAGATTGAGGAAGTTGGATTCCAATTGCTCTACTAGAGGCCATGGCTGTTGGCGACAACGGAGTTCGCGACCACGCAGCCTAGACCTATCTGATGAGGTCAGGATATGGAGTTCGATGGATGGCGACTACACGATGATCCTACAAGGGGGGATTGAATCTCTCCACCAATTATGTGCATGGGCTCTCAAAACACGAGCCTTTGCTTCTTTCCTCTACGCTACAACCATGCGGCTTTCATGTTTTCCATTTTGGCGTTGGAAGTTTTCTCAGGAACGGTTTTACATTGGGATACCTGGTTGGAAGGGATAGGCGTTGGTCGGTTCTCTATTACAGTTGGCACATCCCAACCTTTTCTATTTCCTTATTATCATTTTGGCAACTTCTTCTCTGGAACTTTGTGTCATCGGGACTTTGCTTAGGCAATATACTAGCTCAAGCGGGTAGGGTAGGTTCGGGGTTTTCAGTTAGTCACAGATTCCATGAAGACGACCTGGTGGTTTTGATTTGTGAACCAGCCCACGGCAGGTCTAGACTAGGGTTCGAAGCGATCACCCGGTATGATAGGGTAGTGGGTAGAAAGGGTGAATATAATCAGCGTGATACTTCAACTCTGATGTATCAATCTTCACGATGTTTGTGAAGTAAGTTTGTGAGTGTCATCCATATATGATGGGTTGTGCATGATGGAATGGACAATGGCACATGCTTCAAACTGCCGATCAAGACCCCATGTGCGCCAAGGACGGGATGACGTCGGATCGCGCCCACTCGTTCAAGTCGGTCGCTTACAGCAAATGTGGGCTAGTTCTAGACCTCGGCATCTGCCATTGTCCAACCCCAGGTCTTTCTCGCATCATTGTTATCATCATCGTCTTTTTCGGGGTCTGCGTTCTTCTCTGTTTTTTCCTTCTATCAGCGGTGCTCTGTGATTTTTGTAGTTTTTCCAGTCAAGTTTCCATTCCCATCCATCTCCATCACCAACCCACCGCAAGCTTGACCTCTTCTTACACCCACCATTTACACCCATCCTCCCACCCACTACCCAAACCCCAAACCCCAAACCTCACCACCCACCCACCATGCCCCGAGCATCCAAACTCCTCCCCTCACTCGGTCACGCCGCCTCCGGCGCCGGCGGCACCATCATTTCGACTTTAGCCACCTACCCGCTCGACTTGGTCAACACGCGCCTGAAGGTACAGCGCCAGCTGCGCGCCGACGGGGCCATCGGGCCCGAGGACGGGTACTTGGGGATTGTGGATGCGTTCGAAGCGATTTACGAGAGGGAAGGAGGGGTAAAAGCGTTCTTTGCGGGATTGGGAGCCGATTTGGGGAAGAGTGCTGCGGATAGCTTTTTGTTCTTTTTGTTTTATACGGTATGTCTCTTTTTTTTTTTTTTTTGCTTTTATGGTGGTGGGAGGTGGAAATAAGAAGGGTAGGACGGGAGCTGATATAATGACAAAAAAAAACAGTGGTTCCGCGCCAAACGCCTCCGCGTCAACGAGCCATACCTCAAAGTCCTCGAAGAGCTCGCCGTCGGCGCCGCGGCCGGCGCCTGCGCCAAGTTATTCACCACGCCCGTGTCCAACGTCGTCACTCGCCGACAGACTGCCAACCTTATTTCCTCCTCCTCCTCCTCCTCACGAAGCAACCCGTCTACCCCCACCACCGAAGGCAGCCCAACACGACCACGAAGCCCACCTGCCTCTCATCCTACTTCTTCCCAGGCACAAGACCTCTCCTTCACCGAAACCATTGTTTCCATCTACCGCGAGCGCGGCTTGTTGAACGGGCTATGGGCCGGCTACTCCGCCAGCCTGGTGTTGACGCTCAACCCCAGCATGACTTTCTTCCTGCAGCAGATTCTGAAGCGGATGTTGGTTTCGCGGGAGAACTGGGAGGAGCCGGGGAGCGCGATCACGTTTGTGATTGCGGCGTTGAGTAAGGTCATGGCTACTAGTCTGACGTATCCGTTCCAGATTGCGAAGGCTAGGGTGCAGGTTTCTTCTGCGCCTTCTCCTTCGTCATCTAGGGACGACAGTGGGAAGGAAAAGGAGGAGAAGGAGGAGGAGAAAACGAATGGGGAAGCAACGGCAACGACGACGGCCGCCGCGGCGACAAAGGCAAAAAAAGCGAAGAAAGCAGCAGCAGCAAGGGAAACTATCTTCTCAACAGTCCTCCGTATAGCGGAGACCGAGGGTGTCAAAGCTTTGTACGATGGGATTGGAGGGGAACTGCTCAAGGCGTTTTTCAACCATGGGTTGACCATGTTGTCCAAGGATATCATTCATGGGCTGATCATACAGCTGTACTTTGCTGTGGTGGCGGCGTTGAAGGATTATCGGAAGATTAGGGAGAGGGTGAGCAAGAGGGCGAGGAAGGCCGGGGGGGATGTGAGTAGATATTGTATGCTTGCGACTTTGGCCGCGCAGATGGTGAGGCAGAGGGGGTTGAGGCAGACTTTGGCGATGGCTGGGTTCCTTGGGAAGGGGAAGGGGAAGAGTGAGTAGGACGGGTCGGGAAGGAATGGTTGGGTTGATGATGATGATGGGGGGTGTGAGAAATGGGGCGGTTGCATTTAGTGGCGTATGGGCGTATGTATTAGGGATGAGCATATCTTCTAATTGTTCAGGAACCGGGACATTTGGTTCTTATCGAGTCAAATGGACAGTGTACATTCAAGATATTGGCTCGTCCGATTGATGACTTTCAAGCATTGTCATACTCCCACCATCATACTCGGACCGTAAACAGCAGAAAGAAACCATACTCAAGCTCGACTGCCGTCTTTGATACCTTCAATAAAATACAGTATATTGCTTTTCCCAACCTTGCTCTATCTTGATTCGCCCGCTTTCTAGATTTTCGCCACTAACACAGACGCCCATGTTATCAACCCGCAAATCTATATACATACAAAATACCTACACATAGTGCCTCTGCTTCATCTCCTTCCTTCTCAGACCGAGGTAGGTTCGGGCAGCTAGGTAGGTAGCCACGCTCTGGCCTACCTCGATCCCGACTACACTCCTCCTCCATCTCCACTCTCATTTTCACATAGGCTCGATAGGGTGGGTTCCCCAACGAGCTACTAACCACGGCACTCCTAATCCTGGTTGATCTCGCTCCCATCGACCCTGCTCTTATACTTCTTGGCCTTAACCTTCTCATCCGGCGCCCACGTGCCCGCCTCTCCAAAGCTCGGATCGCTCTCCTCATACCCGCCCAACTCCCTCCTGACTTTCAGCACCTGCTCCCTCATCCTCCTCGCGCACTCGATCCTGATCTGCTGCGCCTCCTCCGAATACTTGAGCTGCTCAGGCAAGTCACCCAGCAACCTCGGCTTGGTCTTGGTCTCGACCATCTCCCCTTTACTCTTAGCAGCAGCTTCCGCTTCCTCCTCCTGCTGGCGCACCCTCTCAACCTCACGCCTCCACCTCCTCCTCAAATCCCCAAACGTGCTCTCGTAATCCACCACCTCCCCAAACGCCACCCTGATCTTCTTGCCGATCCGCGGCAGGAAGCGCGGGAACCCGCGCTCCTCGTTCATTACCTGCTGCGTGCCGTCGATGAACATGGGCACCACATCGGGCGCCGGCTCGCTCTCCAGAATCAGGCGCGCAACGCCCCACTTGAAGTACCGGAGATCCACCTGCGGGTGCTGGTGGACCAGACCCTCGGGGAAGACGTGCACCCACGAGTGTCGGTTGGAGGTGTAGATGGAGGGCGCCGGGTGCGAGTCCAAGCCGGTGGTCGAGTAGGTGAGGGTGCCGATGGTGAAGGGGTCGGGGATGTCGACTGCCGAAGGGGTGGGGAGGGAGGTGATGGGGGAGGTCACCAGGGGCGCGTTGGGGGAGAAGCCCGGTTGGACGAAGGGTTGGGACGACAAGAGGCGGATGGCTTGGGTGAGCGAGGGCTGGAAGAGACCGCCGTGCGGGGAGTGTTTGAGGCGGTGGCAGGGGAGGACTTGGCCGGCTGTGAAGAAGGCGGAGAATGTTCTGTGAAGGGAAGTTAGGATCAGATGAGATGGGATGGGATGAGATGAGATGAAGACGTACGGGTTGGCGAAGCAGATGTCATGAGCGGCCAGTGTCCATCGGAGGTTGTTCGGGTTGAAGGCGTAACTTAATGGGAGGACACCCCATACTACGGGGTCATCGAGACTGAACGTTATCATAAATGTGAGCTTTGATGTTCCGAGTTGAAGTTAAGAGCTCACGGACATGAGGCACTCACACACTGATATGGTTGGAGACTGCATTTACACTGTTAGTCAAGGATTCTCTGGATTATACAATTTCCATAAACACACACCTGTGAGAAGTCCACGCTCTCTCCGTTCAGCATCTTCACGACTGTCTAAAAGCTGCTTAAACCTATCGAGGCCCTTGACTTCAATGTCGTTGAAGCCGTACAAGAACGCCCTTGAGATGACACCCGTCAAGCCCATAATCATCACCGACGCAATGCGCGACGGGAGATTGGGGCTATGAGGTGCTTGTGCACCGGACAACTGGTTGTGTATTTGGTGTTGCTGCTGTTGCTGCGGCGAGGCCATCGTGCTGCTGCTGCTGCTGCTGCTGGCGGTGGTGCCAGAGCCGGTGGCAGCATCTGCAGCCGTTGCTGGTGGTTTATATTCGGCCGACGACGTCATATTGGATGACATGCCGCTGTGACCGGAGGGTGAGAGTGACGGTCAAGGTATCACTCTGTTCTGGTAGGATTTAAAAGAGAATGCGGCGAATGGCGCGGTATAAATACCAAGTATTTTGAAATTTTTATAACGAACGAGTCAAACCCGGCTTCTTTTCATCCTCTTGCCATCCGCAGAAAGTCAACTGGAGTGGAACATGGAGCACAAGGCAGCCGATCCCACGGATAGCCGTCCCCGCGACAATCACACCGAAATAGAGAAGCAAAAGCAGACAAAATCAAAAAGAAAGATTTCTAGGTTACGTGACAATGGAAATTGTTGAGGCGAAATATCCGAATTTCGGTCCTTCTCCCGTCTCTTTCCAACAACTTTCTTCGATTGACACGGCAGGCGGGAGGCAATCGGCTCCACACCGCAGGGCAGAATGAACCCTTCCGCTGTAAAATGCGACGGGCCAACGATTTCAGCATGTGCCTGACAGGGCCGAAACAGGGTCACCACAGTGGACAGAAGTCTTCCCCACAGTCCCCTAATCCACATTGGGCCAGACTGCCCGCCCACTGTGGTTCGGGTTCCACAAGGGCCGTCCACTGGCGCCCGCGCAAACAGTGGGCCTGGGGAACTGCTGCAATTCCCTTGCCTGGAGCTTCCCGTCGCGACTTCTCATCTGTGACCTCACGACTGCCCGATTGCTTCTCCAAAACTTTCGCCAAAACATCACCAGACCTCTTGTAGAAAGCGACAGCATTTTACCACCAACAACATGTCGCACAGTAAGCGCCCCCCTCCAATCCTTCCAACACACATCCGAGACTCTAAGACTCTGACCTCCCAGGCAAAAGAAACACCAGCCGACCCGTCTTCACCTCGCACGAGCGCCAGCTAGCCAAAGCCGCCTGGACCGCCTCCTCCGCCCGCCTCTCGCGCGAATCCTTCCTGCCGTTCGCTTCATGCTCGCTCTGTCTCGAAACCGCCATCGACCCGGTCGCCTGCTTGCACGGCGATATCTTTTGCCGCGAATGCGCCCTGACGAATATCCTGGCGCAAAAGAAGGAGATCAAGCGCGCTGAAAAGATCCGGGAGCAGGAGGAGAGGGAAGCAGCTGAGGAGCAGGCAAGACGAGACGCGGAGGCGCAGGAGAGGGCGATTAGGGAGTTTGAGCTTACGCAGGCTGGGTTGTCGATTCAGAAGGGTAATGGGAATGGCAACGGCAATGGTAATGGGAAGAGGGACATCACGTTGCAAAGAACCGAGTCAACGACCAGTGGAAATGGAGATGAGAAGAGGATAGAAGACAAGAGGGGAGAGAAGCGCAAGTTTTCTCTGGACGGAGACGAGGTAGCGAAGATCGCCGAGGAGGAGCGAGCCAAAGCAAGGAGAGCCATTGAAGATGAAAATGTATGCCTCCCTCCCCTTGCTTCTTCTACCTTACATCGGTCGCACTCCATACTAACTTTTGTTCCCCTCCAGGCATCAAAACCCAAACTCCCCTCCTTCTGGTCACCCTCCGTCACACCCTCCTCGAACTCAAAAGACATCCTCCACGAAATCAAAAAGAAGGTCAAATCCCAGCCGACATGTCCCGCCGCGCCTGAAGACAAACCGCACTTTTACTCTCTCCACACGCTCGTCACCGTCAACTTTACCGAAGAGGAGGACTCGAGCACGAAGAAGAAGACAAGGATATGTCCCGCCTGCAAGAAAGCGCTGTCGAATTCCTCGCGGGCAACGCTAGCGAAGCCATGTGGTCATGTGCTCTGCAAGAACTGCGTCGACAAGTTCATGAAGCCTACGGGTCACCATGATCCGCATGCGCCAGACCTAGATCCCGATGCTATCGTGTGCTATGTCTGCGATACGGAATTGACGGAGAAGAAGAAAGAGGAGCCGAGCAGTAGCAGTAAGAAGGGAAAAGAAGGGAAGAAGGAAAAGAAGGAGAAGGAGACGATAAAGCCTGGGCTGGTGGAACTGAGGCGTGAAGGTACTGGGTTCTCGGCTGGAGGCACGAATCAGGTGAAGAAGGACGGGGTGGGGTTTGCCTGTTGAGTTCTGCCCTTGGATATTTCAAGTCGTCACAGGTATACCCATGAGAAGTTGTTTGGAAACCTCGGTTCGGTTTCTCTTCAGTTGTTAACATGATACCCAAGTGGACCATATGTGACGTTGAAAAATACCTAGTTGTTATGCTGATTTGCCATTCAAAGGATTTACTGGCCTCGTATGCCAGCCTTCCATATACCTGTGTAGGATTGCCAATCCTAGAAGATCTGCCCACTCCCACCCGGTAGCCTGGATATCCCCAATTCCTTTTGTAAGCCAAGCCTTTTCGCCGGATGTTGAATATCCAACCCAACTAATAGTACGACTCCTCCGGCCTCTCCTGATACCAAAGCAACTGCTGCCCTCCAGCAAACGGCTGCTGTGGTTGTGGAACGACAATCGACGCCTTCCTCGATGGAGGCAGAGACTCTATCGACGATAACGCCCCGCCCGGCGGCGTATCAGCCCTCTCTTGCTTGACCTTGCTGTTGCTGCTACTACCTCCGACACCACCACCATCGACAACCAACGTCTCCGCCAACCCTCTCGCCTGCAACATGCCCGTATCCGCAAAGATAGTCTCCAGCATATTTCGCGCAAACGCCGTATAATGCCTCGGCACTCCCGGCGCTGACCCGGCCACCTGTATCCGGAACAACAGATTCGGCACGCCCGCCACGCCGATGCCCGCCCCTCCACTCGTCTTATCGATATAGGCACGATGCTTCCTTTCCAGCCTCGGGTGTCGGTAGTGCGTCGGGATGGAAACCAACAAGTCGCGCGCAACACGCCGGATGGTGGCCAGGATCTTCTGCTGTTCCGCCGCCATATTATTCGCAGTCGCAGAAGAAGAAAAGACTTGGGTACAGCTCAGCGGGTATCGATCGCTAAACTCAATCAGGGTCCGACACGTCAGCAGCCTGAGCCAGCGCTGGTGGTTCCAGCCGCGGGCGACCCAGTGGTCGGCGTAGACGTGGTAGCAGTCCTCGAAGACACCGTCGGGCGGGAAGAAGCCGGGGGGACAACGCTCCTCGAGGACGGTCCATATGGAACTGGCACTCGCACTCCCTTGGCTGTTTTGTCGACGTTCCCAGGCGTCGAGCTCGGCGTCGATGGCGAGGGCGTCCCGGATTATTTGGCATGTTTTGGGCCGCCCGTCGATGAGGGCGTAGTTGTTGAGGTAGGCGTGCAGCTTGAGGAAGCGCGTGGCGATGTCGAGAATCTCGATGGCGGGTTTGTCGGAGGGCGCGGCCAGACGGTTGCAGAGGTCGAACCAGCCGCTGTAGGCGGGTGGGAGGGTGAGGTTGGCGGAGTAGAATGGGTTGAGCTGGTGGATTATGTTAGTCAAACTGAGAGTCGGTAAGATGGGTTTGAAGTCTGGGGGTTGAGGGTAGCTACCATAGAGAGACATAGTTGTAGGAAGCCACGCATCACTTCTCGAGGTAGGTTGGGAATGTGTAGAAAGTTACTGAGTAAGGCGGTGGCACCCATCATATGGGTTCGCACAGCGTCGGCTGGTCGACCCTTGTTTCGAATAACCTAGGAAGACAGACATGTAAGCGACACCGTTCAAGGATGAATGGCTTGAAAAGAGGCGATCCTCACTTCATAGACGGCAAGCATGACGACCGTTCGTACTGATATATCCATGTTCATTGCCTGAGGGTTTGCTAACCAGGATGCCGTATGTTGAAGTGCCAGGCCGTATTTCTGCCTCGCCATGGTGTCCAACACTTTGTCGCCAGTGAGGTTGGACATACTTGCCAACCCCACAGCTGCCATTATGTCTCGAAACTCGGGGGCATGAATCCAGTCCACCATCCGCAGCTCATGTGTCGCAGTAGGTTCGTCTGGATGTCCCACCACATAATGCTCGACGTAAAACTGGATGGCCTGGTCGTCCTTGGTGGCGTAGATCTCTTTCGGTATCCTTGTCAGGCTGTGTTCCGGTGATGCCGACAACTTGAACCGTGGCCTCTCGGAGAAGGAACTTTGACTGGAGACGACGCTCTTGGGAGAGGGAGTTGACGATGAAGGTGACGATGACGATGAAGATGAAGATGACGAAGAGCTTGAGGGCGAATCCACGGAATCCGGGAGCTCTGAAATCCCCCACTGAGCATGTGCCTTCTGGATAACCTTTGTGCTCTCATCTCGAAACATCAACGACAACTGGTCCCGGTAGCCAGGACAGGTCTTGCCCACTCGGATGCATTGGGTGCATTGTGGCCGAACCTTATCACACTATAAAGTAAAGGCAGGTTATCAGCAATATGTCGTTGTGACCTTGAGCTCTTGTGGGCTGGAGCTTAGCTACCAGCAAGGATGATCCCAGTAGTGTAACAGCCTCAACATGGACAAAGAGTACTTTTTCTTTGTATATGTTTGTACATTGTGAGACAGTGCTGGTGCTTGAGGGTGTTGTGTGTGTGAGCGGGAATGTATATGGGCCTGATGGGTAGGGCCGGGCATACCTTGATTCTCCTGGTTCGACAGTTCTTGCACCCCTGGGAGGCTTTGCCGCAGTAGACCATGGTTCGGTACGATTACTTGCATTCCGGCGTCGGTAACCAGTAATTGCAGAGACAATGGGCGTAGCCTGAATGACTGTCGGTCGTATCGTGAGGTTACGAGTACGAGACAGTTGTCGGATAGGGAAAGCAGATCGTAAAAAGGGTGGGAAAAGCGCGGCATATCACTGCGAACCCATGCCTTATGCCTCTACATTAGTCTCCCGCTAAAGACAGTGAGTGGCATATGCTTGCCGTCGACTCCCCCTGAACGGCCTGCCTCTCCCGCATCACAGCGAACGATGTGGGGTGTTGCCATGTGACGAACGTTTTGTGATAGCACAGTAGCTGTCAAGCCTGCAGAAGTGGAAGCCCCTGTGTATCTTTGTTAAAGCAGCCCTGGTCTCCGACTTCTAGCAGTTCCAAGGCCAAACAGCTTTCATCAAGAACAGACTAGACGGCTAGTGACGACGATGGCGAGAGCCGGAGACTTTCCGTGATATCGTATTCTATTTCGGTCATTCGGGGTTGTGTAGGTATAGCCTCTGGTGGCTGGGCAGCGGACTAAGGGGTAACTGAAGTCGTTGACCTCTACGACCCCTGATGCTGCAGCCCTTCTAGTGTACATAAAGTAGCGCACGCCTCAAGCCTTCAGCCGGAGGACATACATAGCCAAGTGAAGTTCTAAGGAGATGACCTGCTTAGCAAATGGGTTGATGCCGATTTGCTTATCACAAAATGGTGGAACTCAGATTCGCGCTTCGGACACGGCATCCAGTCTTAATCTGATCAACAAAGTCGTACACCTATAACTTGGACGGACACAAGTCAACCATGTTGTAGGACGTCTGATGGAATCGAAAATTATTCGTGGTTCAGGCCAAGTCCATCCTGAAGACACACAAAGAGGTGAATGCCACCAGCAAGTGCGGTGGTGATGAAAGAGGGTGGAAGTGACTACTGTCAGGCGTCACTGACGAGCAGGGGCTTATCATCCGGGCAGAGGCCTAAACTTCATCGTCTGAAACTCTTGAAGCTCAGATAAGGTGGAAGGTGCAAATGCGATGAGAAGGGTCTCAAGTAGAGGTACGTACCTGTTGCCTGCCAGTAGGAAGTCCTCTTCACCTTCACGCCCACGGCAACTTCCGAGTTGGGTGAGCTTGGATTGGATGTGGGGCTCTGCCAGAGGGAGGTTCCCCAAATGCGCAACAGCACCGCAACCAAGCCATAAAGTTTTCTGTCCGTTTGCTGCCACCAGCTTTTGAGGTTTGCCTTTACAGACCACAGACCACTTCATATCATCACGACTGACCTTTTCGCAATCCTCTTCCAACCCACGAGCACCCGGTCCCCAGTGCCAACTCGCCCTTCTCCACTCCGCCAGACTTACAACTACAAGAACAACAGCCATCGCCGAGGAGGACAGGTGCTCTTTCCCTCGCCAGTTTTCTACTTTACCCCCCGCCACCAATAATTTTCTGATTTCTTGTGTGGCCGCCCCGCATCGTCCTTTTTCTTCGCACATCATCCTCAACCGCCGCAGGAAGTAATTCGCTTCCCCAAGTCCGCTTCCTTCCTCAATCGATCCGTCAAGCACGAGGTAAGAGGCCCGCCCCTCTGTCAAGCTGTCAAGGTCCCGGGATGTTGTCACAGAACAGACTGACGTTTGCCCCAGGTTTAGCTCAGATCTCCACTCTTGGTTGCCCCACTCTGCTGGCCGTCCACGTTAAATCGGCAGCTTTTTCCCTCGACGCGCGCCTCCTTCTGGGATTCATCCTGCCATCTACGCCATTCCACGACACCGCACTCACATCCACATCCATCAACTCTCTTCTTGGCCTTTTCCAGAACCACCGCAATCATGGCAACAAACGGTAATGTTAATCACAGCGACCAGTACGCAGCGTCCAGCTCGACAACCGAGGCCCCCGCCACTACTTCCACCACTTCCCAGAACCAGAACCAGACCCTGCCCAAGGATGAGGTCGGCTGGTACTTCGTCGAGCAATACTACACCACTCTGAGCAAGAACCCCGAGAAGCTTCACGTGCGTCCAATTGATCCTACTTTGTGAGTCATTGCTTACTGTTTTCGCAGCTCTTCTACGGCAAGAAGTCCCAGTTCGTCTACGGTCAGGAGGCCGAGATCTCCTCCGTTTCCTATGGCAGACAGGTGAGTAGTCATCGCCCCTGCCCCTTCCCCTATAGTGGCCCCACACGTCATCACATGCTGACTCCCAAGTACAGGGCATCCAAGAGCGCATCAAGGGACTCGATTTCCAGGACAGCAAGGTCCGCATCTCGAATGTCGATTCGCAAGGCTCCGGCGACAACATCGTCATCCAGGTCATCGGCGAGACCTCCAGCAAGGGCGCCGAGCCCAAGAAGTTCGTCCAGACCTTTGTTCTTGCCCAGCAGCCCTCCGGTTACTTCGTTCTGAACGATATGCTCCGCTACATTAAGGAGGAGGTTGAGGAGGAGGTCGAGGAGCCCGCCCAGGAGGCTGCTGCCGCTCCCGAGGAGGAGGCTCCCGCTCAGCCTGAGGCTCCTGTCGAGGCCGCTGCTGAGCCTGTCGAGGAGGCCAAGCAGCCTGAGCCGGAGGCTGCCGAGCTGGATGCCAGCACTGTTGACCAGAAGCTTGAGGAGGTTGCTGAGGAGGAGACGCCCGCTGCTGAGCCCGTCGAGGCCGCTGCTGAGCCCGTCGAGGAGGCCAAGCAGCCTGAGCCAGAGGCTACCCCCGAGCAGGCTCCTGAGCCTGAGAAGGTTATTGAGGAGATTACCAGGGAGGAGGTTAAGAAGCCCGAGGAGCCCAAGGCCCCTAGTCCCACTCCTGCCCCTGTTGCTGCTCCCGCGGCTGCCCCCCCTGCTGCCGAGCCCGAGAAGCCCAAGGAGCCTCCCAAGCCCAAGACCTGGGCCAACCTGGTCGCTGTTGCTGCCGGCCCCAAGCCTGTTGTTCCTCTGACCAAGGCCGCTACTCCTGCGGTTCCTGCCCAGACCCGCGCCGCTGCCCCTGCGGCCGCTCAGCAGCCCGCCGCTGCTCCCCAGGCTACCGAGACTGCTGCCGCCCCCAAGGAGCAGGCCAACGAGTGGCAAACCGCTGAGACCAAGCGCCAGAGCCGTCCCCAATCTATGGCCGCCAGCGCCGAGAAGGAGACCGCTATGGCCTACATCAAGTATGTCACGGATAAGGTCAAGGAGGAGGAGCTCAAGGGCCTCCTGAGCAGCTTCGGCGAGCTCGTTTACTTCGACATCAACCGCACCAAGGTATGTTACATCGCTCATGCTGTTCGTTGATATGAACGGGAACTGACAACCTCTTAGAACTGCGCTTTCGTCGAATTCAAGACCCAGGCCGGTTACAACGCCGCCGTTGCCGCCAACCCTCACACCGTTAACGGCGAGAACATTGTTGTTGAGCAGCGTCGCCCCAAGTCTACTGCCTTTGGTGGTAGCAACTACGGTTCCGCTGGACGTGGCGGCGCCGCTGGACGTGGCCGTGGTGGCTTCGAGGGTGGTCGCTCTGGCAGCCAGAGCGGCGGCCGCGGTGGATTCGGTGGCCAGTCTCGTGGCCGCGGCGGAGCCAACCGTGGCCGTGCCCCTACTGCTCAACCCCCTACCGCTTAGGTGGCGTGAAGAGTTGACTATAACGTCACAGTCGGTATTGCCTGAGAACTCGTCACATTGCCCAGTGTGAGGAGTGATAAAATTTACATAAAGATATATATGGTTGTTCGTCTCGCTTGCGGATGGGCTGGAGTTGTTTGGAAGGTTAGGAAAAGACCTGAAGACAAAAGGAGGCACAAAATTCGACTTCGGTGGGAATCATTGCCGCAACCATAAACGGGAAATGACTTTCATTTTTGGGAGGAGACAGGCCAGGAAGAGAGGGCTACAACGCATCCATATTTAGGCTTGTTTCTTATCTTTTTTGTGTGGGCGGACAGGGTCCCAATACGGTTGTGTGGTGTTTGGTTGCGTTTTTATGCTTGGAGTTTCGGAGCGATCATGCATATACAAAAACTACACCACTTGCATTTCTTCCCATTTCAGCATTCCTGGAACGTCTTCGTCTGTGTTGCTGTATTCTGACCTAATGCTTGAGGGTTGTTCAGTAGTAGGCATGTATTATTCATTATCCATTCCCGAGAGGAGCAATGGCGTGAAGATAGGTTAATAGAGGCGCCAGTTCCAGTTGGAAGCTTCCACTACAAATCATGACCACAACAACGAGGTGGGAGATTCAAGAAGCCAGCAGGTGGATTGTGTCTGCGAGCCATCGTGCACTTGGGTTTTCCGAAAACACCCCTCCCATCTGCCGAAGCCTATTAACGATATGACGAGTCTATTCACCATTCCCTCTGCAATATTCAGCATGGAGTTCAGTCTGACATCTGACCCTTAGGTTGTGTTCGTTCCCGGCTGTACCACGGTAGGGAAACCCAGTTTTGGTGGCTGTAAGGTGCAGTCTTACAGCTGCACTTTTTGTGTTCGGCTGGATTTCAGTAAAAATATGCAAGTCGCTGCATTACCCCAAATCCATGCAAGGCATGCATCTGACCAATTAGAGGCCCAGATTCCTTACTGAAATGGCCGGATTTTTAACATTTTTAACAGTCCCAGACCCCATGTATAAGGCTGTAAAAATTGGCACCACAGTGCCTGACCCCCTATAAATATAGGGCGTCGCCACCTAAAAAGACAGTTGATAAAGCTATTCCCAATTGAAATTTACCATCTGAGCTGCACAGTGTTAACAACAGTGTTCAGATTATATATACTGTACTTTCTAACAGCCTACCTTAACGTTGCAGGAGTGCAGCTGCGGACTATGTAGGGGGTCGTTATCCAGGTCCAAGAAACTGGCCCAAAAGGGAAGTTCTCTAGCCGTTTATCGTTTTCTGACATGTCCCTCCAGCATTTTCGCTCTGCAACCTAGAATGCAGTAATGCACCCAAAAAGCCCCCTTTTGGGGCCAGCTGAGTTGCGAAAACAAATATTCAGCACTGCGTGAGCGTGTCAATGAATTTTTTTTCTAGTGATTTCCTTGCTGAAAAGTGAGAAAACTTGGATGATTGTCAGATGTTGGGAGGTACTTCAGAGGGGATTTTGCTGCGAGGTGCTATTCCCTTTTGGGCCAGTTTCTTGGACCTGGATACCGCTCCCCGACTATGTACGGTAATGCAAGGCCTCCTCTACCGTGGTACAGCCGGGAACGAACACAACCTTATAAAACAGATAGAGCTCTTGCCCAAGTGCCCAGGCACCTTCCACTTGGGCCTTATAAGGTCCCGCTTCCGCAGCCTCCAATAACTCCAAGTTCCCTCGTGGTCAAGCGGTATGTGGCGGAGCCAGATAAACATTGCTCGTTGCGTGGTAACGGTGGTACAGTTTTCGTAGGCGTGTCTTGAGTGGACGTGTTCGACCCTGCTCTGGCCGCTGAGCTTTTTTTTTTTTTTTTTTTTTTTTGGTCTCTTTCTTAGAGTTTGAGTTGCTTCTTGTTGATCAGTGTTCGAAATGCGTTTTCTTTCACGTCTTTTTTGTTTGGTAGATGGCGTTTTATTTGTCTGCGACCATGAATGAATCTTGCGATGATTTCGGTGTCGTTTTCGGTGTCGTTTTAGGATGCAAGTTGTAAACACCACTGCTGCTTACACTACTCAACTCTGCCTGTTGGTGTGAAATTTCTTGGCCGGCGTTTCTACGTCTAGTACATTCAGCTCGATGATCATGGGCGCAAGAAACGGTCCTGACTATGTGTGAATTTCTGAAGCTCAGGTAGGTTGGTTGGGTTTGTTATCATGAGCATCAGGCTGAGGCTAGGTAATCAACATGTAGATTAAAATGCGTTTAAGTATGACGGGTGTAAGCATGCTCCATAATCTACCTATACTCTCCTCCTAAGTCTAGATCTCACAACGTGACGTTCACAAAACGTCAAATGTCATATCCCGCAATAACTTGGCTGTCATGATGGAGGTGCTTAGTTAAGGTATGCGCAGTTTCCGAAGTTGGTGTCACAAGAGATGGAGGAGATGGAGGATGGTTTTTTCAGCGGAAGGGGAAGGGGAAACGCGAGAATTGCCGTCGTGGGTACCAACCAGATTGGAGACCTGGTCTTTTACCGTCTTACTACTACGTGATTGAGAATCGCAAAGCCGGGGTGGACGAGCGGATTCCGCTGTTTACGCCCTGCGGGAAGTCCGGCTCGACGGCGCGGTGGAAGTCGTGCCGACTGAGTCGCCTTATGTACTGGGACTGCGGGGTTTTTTTTCTGGTTGATACGATCGAGGGAGTGTTCGGAGCATGTCTGGTCGGATCAAACGCTTGAGGAAAACGATCACGGTGTTATAGCTGAGTATTTTGCTTCTTTGGAGCGTTTGTGCCGGCTTTCCAAAGACAAGCAGGAGAAATATCCCAGCAGCCAGCCGGCGGATCTACGAAACAGATGCTAGACAGAAAGAAGCCCTTTGTAGGGTGGCTGTGGGAGACCGGATGTTTTGTTATGGAGGGGGGATATCAAAGGCTGACTGCCGAAATGGTTCAAGTCTTCAACGAGTGGCTTGAAGGTTGTCGCTCAAAAGCAAAAGCGTCGTTATTGCTGGCTACAAACCACCAGGGCCACCACCATCAGAAGCGACAAAACAAGGAGGAGGAGAAAGGGAATGGATAGATGACGCGGGTTTGGCAGCAGAACTCGCAATGACTCTGGATCAGATGAGCAACAAACGGCCATATCTGACTGAAAAGGGATACCTTGGGATGGCTCAGTTTCAGGCGCAACCGGGTGATGTCGTGGTGGTGTTTATGGGAGCAGAAATCGCCTATGTGTTGAGGCCCGTTGGAGGGAAGGATACCTCTATGGATAATACATACGCCTTTGTGGGTGAGGCTTATTGTGATGGGGTCATGGATGGAGAGATCATGTTGACGGAGGACAAGAGGGAGTTTTTTCTTGTTTGAAAATACTGGTTTCTTATTCAGATACGGTTGATGTGCTTTTCACTTTTCACCATCACTTCAAATACCAGGCGAACTCCGGTCCTTTGGACATATGACACTAGAGTCTTTCTTGGTTCTTGATGACAGTAGCGGGTGGAAAGATGGCTTTCGTCTCACTCTCATGTGAGGAGAGTCCATCGAGGGTATGTATGTACTCAACTGGCCCGAGGCTTCCATGCGCTTCTATATGGACACGTAGTTGACTCGCTATCAAGAAGCGATGTAAGCCTATCAGAAAGCCGATTACCCATTCAGGAAGGTGAAGAGAAAGTGCCGTAGTCCGGTAGCTTGGTACAGGTGGACTCCAGTCTCCTCAACCTTCTGAAAGTTGGCCTTCCAGTCCGGTCGGTTGGTTCGGCCCCATTCGAGGTCATGTACAAATATAGCAAGAAACTGGGCAAAGTGTATTCAACTCCGGTGACGGAGCTCGCTTTGCTATTCATGCCCAACATGTATCATCCGGCCGCCAGGTCGGAATGGCCTTCTTGATTTGGTAGAGTCAATGTGAGAACCATACATACGCAAGTGGTCACAGGATGGTGGTGTAATATAGAGAGTTAGATAAGGCGAAGACTGACAGGTCTGATCCACCAGACACTTCATAAGTTGCGAAATACGCGCGGCTATTGCACGGAGTAGGGTGTACGAAATTTTGACCCAGAATTAACAGTGAAGAGGTGGTGTCCTGGGCTTCAAGTTCCATAGAATCAAGGTGTGGTGCTGGTGTTACACGAATACGTACGCAGTAAGATAGTGAGAATATTAACTGGTAGAGTACCCTTCGAGGTTATACCTTGTGAAGCAGGAGCGGATCAGGTACCCCAGATCATAGGTGTGCGTACTCTCTGCTTGTTCCGAAGACTTGTGCCCTCAAGCCCATGATCGCCAATAAGATGCCCAAGAGACTTTGGTAAACCTGTTGAGGAGTATAACGTCACTCCTTATTATTCACTCAGAGAAGAACCGCAGTACAGTCAAATTTCAAGCCTTGTACGGCGCATAGAACCCTCCTTGTCTCCAAGGCAGGGAATGACGCCATCTGTCGTTGGTTGAATCACAAGCCTTCTGGTTTGTAACTCGTCGGCTCGGTCTTTAGAGGGACAAATCCGAAAACGAGGCTTTACTGGTGTTTGTTGCGTGTGCTTCTGCCAGTCTGACTGCAGTCATAACGCTTCTTTGCCACCAACTTATAGCGGTAACCTGCTGAATCAGTCAGCCACTGACAGCCTGAGTGGTGGAAAGTAGGGTACTGCTCAAAGGAGGGTAGACCTCAGCTCAGGAAAAGGAAGTCATCTCTAGGTACTGCTTTTCTAAGAAGGTCAATGGACTACGCACCAGCCTCTCCAAGTTCCAGGATTCAAGAGAGCTGAGAGGCAGACACGGCTCGGGCTTCGCTTGATGTATTGTCCGACCCATAAAGCCGTTCACCCGGTCTGTTGGTTGACCGTGCTGGAAGCTTTGTGCATACGAAGTAGAACTAATTGATATCTTGACCATTGACCGGATTTAGAAGGTCGATGTCAGGGTATAAGCAACTCACGGTTATCCGGGCCTGAAACATGCAGGCAATATGACAGAGTAAGACAACGCATCCGTCATCATGATTACCTTGTGAGTCTCTCAACAGCAAACAGAAAGTGATGGCTTGCGGAGACTTAAGAGAGGCAAGACAGCCGTCAAAAAGAGCTTTCCCCTACCGTTATGTTAGTTGGTTAGCTCTCTTTTGTCCTCACTTTCGGACATCCCAGGGTCCCTGGATCCCTAGATGTTTGACCACGGGAAGGGAGATGATGATGGACCCCCGAGCACGTATGTAATTGTACCACAAGGGCGTTCCCCGTCCACTTTCAAGCTGTGGCCTCACGGCGCTGGCGTAGCCTGGTAGCCCTGTTGTGGCACCTGGTCTCGGGAGCTAAGAGAGGACCGGGGCAGCCACGTGTGATGCCAGTGGGCAACTTATAGGGGTTCCGCGTCTATTAAATATTAAATGCACGGAATCCGAGGTTATCCCATTTTGGCTGTGCCCCCGTTCCTGCATTGAAATGGAGAAGGATGGCTTACTGTCTTTACTGTACATATCAGTTAACTGAAAAGGTAGGTGGCAGGGTGACTGCTTTTGAGTTTGTGGAACATATCGATCTCCAGATTACTGACCGACCTTATCGCTTTCATTTCGACCCGTGTGGACATAAGATTGAGGGGATTCGTGGATCTTGGCTCACTGCGGTAGTCTTGATTCGATCTTGAAACGTCGAGTTCTGGTGATCTGGACGATCTCCTTGTGATCTCCGGTTGGCCAACCATCTCGCCCATGTGAGAAGGAGCAACTGCCGAGACCAATCTAGCTCTGGTAAAGAGGTAACATTGAGGTTGGGTATTTATGGAGAGACACCCGGATCGACACGCGGTTTGACCTAGTCAGGCAGGAGCAAGTGTCGTTGTGAGTCGCATAATCCAAGACGAGTCGAGTCACTCTGTCAGCACGCCCGGTGAAGCCCCAGGGTTGCCGACACCGGAGAGACAACCCGTTCCTGCCTCTCACTCGAGTCGTTGACGCCAACTTAGCAACAGGGGCGCTTGCGTGCTTTTGCTGCTATCGCGGGGAAGGAAGGATGGCAAGGGCACTCCCTGAATATGAAGTCGCTGTCGGGTTAAAGCCCTGATCGGTGAGATGCCCGGTTCTCCGCCCGGACAAATGATCAACCGCTCGGAGCTTCTTCATTCTTCCTTCCTGTTTCCGATGGTGAGAGCCGGGGATCGCACCGGAACACCTTGACGGCCGTAGTCCCATCAGCTCATGAGGGGTGCCGTCAGGCATTGAGGCACGGCGAGAGCAAGTTCGCAAGGCAGCAGTCGTCACGCAATAATTCATTCTATAACGGAAATCCCAACTATCTATCCCTCTGGCCTTTCCTCCTCTTTGCCTCCCCACTGCATGAGGTGTCTGGAGTGACCGCCTGGCTGTCCTGGTCGCCTCAGAGAACATCAGAGTCCAAATTTGATGGCAACTGATCGATGGCAGAGCAGATCTTCTTGAAGTGAGCGGGCATCCATACATCATAGATATTTTTCGTAAAGCGATATGCTGTCCATTTGTCCTTCCCGTCTGATTCGGTAAAGAGAAACTTCTGGATTGGATGGCGGTAATACTTGGTATCCTCCCCATTTATACCTATTACCGGGTAGTGGCCGTAGATGCGTACCAACTCATGATTATGTGAGATGGAAAAGGCGAGAATCTGCCGGTTAATTTCATCCTCGCGCTTAACAGCACAGAAGAGCTCGACGATAGCCCGCACCGCAAGGGTCATACTATGGGCGTTCTGCCGGTCTGCAATATCGAGCCCAGCGTCGCCATATTTTACTTCGCAAGTTAGGAACGGGAAGTACATATAGTACGTAGCCATGAAGAAGGATTGGTCCCCGGTAGCAACATCGCCAATAAATGGCGATAGCTTATCGAGCTGGTCTTTGGTAAATGCGTCTCGTTTGAACCCAACGGAGTAGTCAGGTTGTGGGCGGGTACTAGTAAGGGGGATCGAGTTGTTCCACCCTTCGTTGACGCTTTCGACAAGGCACTTACAGGTTTTATTCCAGAGTGCGAGCGATTCCGCCGAAGGAACGATAAGCCTTGAGACGTCTTGAATAATCCTCGCCTCATTCTTATTCTCGAGGTTGCGGCAAGCATTCACAAAGATAGGATCGTCAAAGAGGGTTCCCTGAGGAACCGACTGCTTGCCGTTAAGAAGGTCCCTAATAAGCTGCTTACTCGTATCGGTAATACCAAGCTCAGAGATATCCATGTATGAGCCTTTGGTCTGGAGTAGGAGTGTGTATCGCGCATCCCTATACGGCGTACTCTTCTCCTCCCTCGGCTTCTGGTCGCTAGGGGTCGTTGATACCGTTCTCGAGGTCTCTTCTGGCCAGTCGTGCTCGTTTGGCCAGCGGCCTTCCTTTGTCCAGAAAGCAACCGGGTCAGCAGTATGTTTGTGGGCGCTGCTGCTAATCGCTGGCTCGCCAAATGCGTCTTTGATAGGGTGTGGAGGGGATGTCCGTTGTCGCTTTGGGTCTGAGTCTGGGTTGGCCTCGAGTGCGTATTGCTTGCGCTTGCGACCTCTGCTCTGGACAGGCGCCGGTGGATTTCCTACAAGTGTCAGCAAAACATGTCCTTTGGGCGCTGCAAAGAATAAGTACCTTGATTATTTGACGCCGGCGATGGGAGCGCCTTCTGGGACGCTGCTTGGGCTCGAGTGCGGGCCATAGCAATGAGAACGGGGGGCGCGAGGTCCTGGTTATGTGCCTGAGAAGATCTCAAGATCGAGTGACGTGTGGAGGAATGAATGGCTGCGAGCGCGCGGGAAATGGGATCCACCAGTGACAACTATCCCAAAAGGGATGTTCGTCTAGGCTAAAAGCGTCTCAAACTCTTGGCTAAATATCAAGAGTTTGGTAGAGCACCGCAAGGAGTAAAATCAGAGCAAATAGCAATAAAATTTGGAATGCGGGTGACCTTTGGAGCACAGTAGTGACGGGACCGTCATGGGTCAAAATCGATTTGATAGAGAAGCCGACATCAAGGTCCTCAGGGGTCCACAGCATCCATCCCTGACCATCGTGTCAACCTTTGCCAGCGACTGGAAGTGACAACTGTAATCGAGAACCTTTATGTCCGCCGCGACGCTGAAAAACGGCACCAGCATTCAGAGGAGTGGTTCAGCAAAGTGAAGGCGAGAAAACCGTGCCAAGCATTGTCGCAAACCCACACTCCCACCTTCCAAATCGAGAACGACACTGTTGTTTTAACCAAAACGAGAAGGTCTGGCCAGGGGTCCCACCCCTACCACAGTAAAATGGGCAGCCCTCAGCCCCTCACTGGTTTCCAGCAATTCAGCCTTATTCGGTCGAGCCGGCCGTCAACACACATCGACTGCAGGAGATATCTCTCACTTGATCCAACACTCCGACTCCGACCTTCCAGAGACGAATCTTGAGAGAATCGGGACGGGGTTTGTTTCCCCCTATCCACTTGTTTGGTAAGACAGCCACAGAGGGCCTCGACTTGTCAAAAGACAAATCCACAAACCCCAGCCTGAAACAAAACCCTTTGGCTGCCTTCTCGATTGGGATGTTCGTTTTCTGGCGCAGGTAGTGTAACACGGCCGGGGTGGCACAGAAATTGCGTCCAGCTTCCTTCCAGGGTGCCGCCAAGAGATGTGAATGTGGATGGCAGCAATAACAAAAAGACACTTCAGCCCGCAACACCTGCGATGACGGATGCTATATTCTCAGGCTTCGATGACTTCCCAAAGCGAACAACAAGCCGAATCCTCGAAAACGGGCCGTGACCGTGGTGACGGAATGCAGTGAGCTCCCGGCGGTGGAAATGCTGGAAATGGCTCGAGCGCCCATGTTCCCTTGTTGGTAATGTCTTTGGCGTTCCCTTCAAAGCACCTACCAGGAACAGCCTAGCGTGCCATGCGCAAAGTGGCCCGTCCGCTTAAAGCCAGAATTCTCATTGGTTAGACGACGGTGTCTCCAACGATAGACGAACGGCCAACTGTGGAAGGCTAGAAGGGAAGAGTGCGGTGGGGCCGAGACGCAGGCAATGCGAGCTAAACGATCGTTCAACATATTTTCTTAAAACTTTCAACTAGACGAGCTTGGAAACAGCGAGAGGACGACCATTGTTTCGCTGCTACATGGCCGCGTCATGCGTCTCAGAAACGAAGTCCCTGTTGTCCGATCTCGCTTGGATTCTTTTTGTTTTCTCTTTTCTCAACGAAGCTGAGGCGCATATGTAGACGTCGGTCAACGATCGATGTACACCTGCAACTGCATGCCAGTTGTTGCTTTATGCTTATGCTCAACATCACACGTTTGAACTCACAACTCATGGCTATCCTCTCTGCTCGCTAGAGTCATCAAGATTCAAAGTCTCAAGCATGGTTCCGCTGCCTTGGTGTGCATAAGATCAGATCATGATGGCGGTTAGCGTGGCCCGGTAGCTGTGGTCAAAAAGTCAATAGTGACTGTACGGCCGTTGCGAGCCGTTGATGGATCCTCTGCCACAGGTGCCTTCCTTGCCTGGAAAAAGAAGAAAAACCGCGAACCTCTGTCGCACTTGGCCATGTTGAGCTGAGATGGAGTGGAGGGGGGGGCCTCGAGGGCAAAGAAGTAGGGGGTGAGAGATTCCATATTGGGGACCGTTTTCCGCCAGACCCCCACCCCTGTCTTTTGCATCTCACTCAACCCGGACGGTTAGCTAAGAAGTGAAGGTTCGTTGTGTCCAGTTAGGTGGTGGTGTGAATGCCTGCACTACCTAGTTCGTGGTACCTTCCTCCACCACCTTCTTCGTGCTCGCTCCTCTCTCAGCTCCGTATTTCGCACGAACACAATCCGAACAGCTGCCCGAATCCCGTCTTGCCCGTCTTTTTGCCCATTCCCGTCTCTCTTTCGCCCTTTCCACTCTTCCCGGGCAAGCCCTGACTCTAAGAAAACTTGGCTTACCACTGCCCTCTTCCTTCTTGCAAGAGCCTGATTTTCAATACCATTTCACCCCTGCCACCACACTATACTTGGCTTTGGATCTGACCGTTTCCTTCCTTATTCCTTCGATACTCCGTACCCTCCTTTACACTGACTTCAGTTCCTTCTCTGTCTGCCCGCGACCTCCGTCTTTCTCTTTCGCGCATCTCAACCTGGCTTACCTACACAAGCACACACCCAAACTCTCAATTGTCACCATCCCGCCAGCAGCGCCGGCCGCCGAGAGCACCCTCTCATGCGCCTCCACCCTCCGTCGGACTCGGCCTTTCTATGCTAAGCTTTTCCCACCCTGGCGATCACTCCACAGAGTCACACCTCCCCACACTGCCGCCCAAGCTGAGCGACTTCACTACCCAGGAAGCAGCTTGAAGAAAGGCGACTGTCGGTCCCGACTTTGTGTATCTGTCGCCCTCATCCACCCTCCAGGTCCCTGCATCAACTACTCATTGGGTTCCAATCTCAGGGAGAAAGGACTCTTGCCAAGTGAGGATCCGCTCACGACTTTCCTTGTCTCACCTCTCTTTCGCTTGGATCCAATTCTCTCTGGCCGCGAGTTATCACTACCTGGCACGGGGCTGGGCAACATGCCAAAAAGCACGGATTAGGAAGGAGGAAGCTACCAGCGAACAACCGACGAACGGATTTCTTAGATCGCTTCCAGGCGGTGACGGCGGCCCCTTGACGATACCGATTCAGCAAACGCCGCCGACAGACGAATTGGGGGATTTGGGACTTATAAGCTAGAGTTGAAGCACACGTTGTGCACCCGCCCACACGGAGAGCGGGGAGGTGTCGACTCATGGATTCCAGCGATGCCTTCTCGCAGCACACCGTCGGCGATGAGGCGTCGCAGCGCCCGCGCCGTATGTCGATGGAGGAGGACTTGTTCTATCGGGAACTCATGACCTCACGACCGGCGAACCCACCTAGTTATGAGACGGCCATGAAGTCAGCCATGGCCGCGCAAAGGAGAGCATTGGCTACAGCACAACAGGGTTCACAACCGGTCGCTCCTCCAGAAGATGTGCTGCCCAAGTACTCATGCGATGTGCATGCCGAAGGTGTCTTTATGAGGAAGATGGAAATCGAACATACGATCAAACGCGCCGAGGTCCGAAATTGGCAGATGGTTTATGTCGAACTGAGGGGGACTGCACTCAACATCTACTCGGTCAAGAAGGAACGCACATGGTTTTCGCCGAGACATGACGGCCCCGATATCTCGCCAGATAGTCCTCCGTGGGTCAAGAAGGCTTCTTTGGAGAAGAGTTACTGTCTACAGCATGCGGATGCCGGAATCGCCGCTGATTACAGAAAGTGCGTTAACATCTCTTGAGGTTCTTGATGTTTTGATGGCTGACACAACAGCAGGCGGCGCTATGTGATCCGTTTACGAGCAGAGACGGACCAATTTCTACTATCATGTGTCGAGCTCAAGACGTTTGTCAAGTGGCTTGATTGCATCTTTGCCGCCATCAACGTCGCGGCACCTATCGATGAGCGAGACTTCCCTCGAGATCAGAGTATACCGCGGCTTCAAAGGTTACGATGGCTTCGTGGGGAAAGGCCAACTCCGGAGGACAACATCAGCGGCTTTCAGAGGTTGAACGAGAGGAGGCAAAGTATCGCGTCAAGTAGGAGTGGTGAGGAGGATGAGGAAAACGACAGGAATGGGCGAAACAGCACAGCACGGCCACCGACGATACATGAAGAAGAGAACGAGCGGGGAAATCAGGGGCAGGACGACTATGCAGCATTTGGGCGAGGAGGCATCGGTCAACACCCGATAGTAGGTCGGCTATCGACAACATCGTATCCGAACGAGAATGTCGACCCAGACACGGGAAAATGGCGGCCGAGGCAGATATGGACCGAGACGCACGACCATCTATACGCTAAGCTCTGTTATTCGGTCTTGCTGTTCAAGAGTCCACGGAAAAGCAACTACATTATCTCCAACGGCAAGCGATGGTACGTGGACTGGGCAACAGGGCGGATGGTACGCGTGCTGCCTCCGGCATACGGAGAGGTCGAGCTATTCGGCCCATGGCAGATCATCCGGGCGGAAAACAGACTGCTCTAAGGGGCCATCAAAACCAAAAATTAGGGTGGTTACGGGCCCGGTCCCCGCTTTGGACTCGGGTTGCGGTGGGATGTTGTTGTGCTGTTGCCTTACTTTTATCAGATACCCATTTCCTTTGTCAATTTCCATTTATTATCATCATCATAGCTTGGGTTAGCGGGTTGACCGGAGCGGCTAGAGTGGCATATACCTGCATTGGTTTTGATTGGATCCGTTTGCATTTTCTGGAAGCATAAGAGAGAGACTGCGAATCCAGAGCCCGCTGTTTCGACCACATTTTCCTTACTATACCAATACCATACATATTCTTGTTTCTTGGAAAGGAAAGGGGGGTTGGCTACTGGAGTTTGGCATCGTGTTTTGATGGAAGAATGGCGGATGGCAGCATGACAGCAGCGGTGGGCAAAGGGACTTCATGGTACACGATAATTATCTGGCCTGATCCTGTCTGCTTGTCTGCCAGTCTGCATTTCGTTGGTTACCGGCATAACTACGAGACATCAGAGAGAATGCTCTCGTAGATGGGTACCGCAGGAAGCGGTCACCTAGATGGCTGGACAGGTGGTTGGTTCGGTTTGGTTGGCTATGCATATATACTCCCATTCATACACGTATATAACTTGATATATCATTGTTGATACACGTTCTTGGCTACATCGATTGAGAGTTTTCAAGCGAGTGTGATACTTGTGTCTGCACGGAAGAAGAAAAGATGAGCATCTTTCCGAGACCAGGCACCATCGGATCAGACAGTCTATATAGACTAGACGGACGTGGCCAGTCGCTACTTAGTTTGTCTCGTAGTACCAACTTCATGACGGCCCAAAACTGGATGCCCTAACCCAGATGCCAAGGTCGCCTCAAGTTGAGAGAATAGAGGATGCATGCCCGTGATCGCCTTGGCTTACTTCGAGACAAACTAACTCCCTGACGTCATGTTGATATACCGTACCGCGTCATCATACTTATCGTGATGAGCTCCTGTTATGTTCACAGCAGTCCGAATCCATAAGTAGGCTTCCACAACCTCTTCACTGCCACCCTTCTTCTTCTCATCCACAGTTAATTCTCCACTCCCTCCCTCTCTTCTCTCAGTCGCTTCGTTCATCACATTCTTTCTTTCCCCCTCTCTCACTGTCACTGCTGTCGGTCCAAGTCGGCACGTCTTAACTCCTTCAATAACCCACGTAGCCAGCCCAATGCTTCCCAGACCAGCCCACTTAGAAGAAGCCGAAACCAATCCATAAACCCTTTTCCCCCTCACCTCACCTCCCCTCCTCCCTCCCTTCCTTTCATGTCTGTCTCCAAAGGATGGATGAAATCTCACCTACATAGAGACACCCTCAACACCAACATTTTTAACTTTTTCATCAACCCCCCTAATCTCCTCCACCAACCCCTTCTCCACCACGCCCTCCAATAACTCATTAGCCCCCTCGACATCCTTCAGCGCTTTTTCTACTACGGCCAGCAGTTCTTCGATTTCCGCTCGTTGCGCTTGGATCTCTTGAAACAGCTGGTGGTTTTCCGATTGCGTTTGTTGGAGGGTGGTGGTTAAAGAGGAATGGGTGGTGGTGAGGTGGGGCGTGAGGTGCGCTGAGAGGATGACGGGGGGTGGGAGGGTGTGTGGTCTATGTCACATCAAACAGTCAGTATTTAGTTATGGGCGAATGGATGGATATAAAAAGGGGGGAAAGGAGGAGGGAAAAGAAAAAAAAAAAAAAAAAAAAAAAAACTTACGGTACGGGCGGAGTGGCATCATCACCACCACCAGCTTCTCGTTTCCTCTTATTCGCTTCGCCGACCAGTGTCTCGAGCTCGTTGAGTTTGGGAACCACTTGTCTTGCTTGCAGGATGGAGTTGAATTCTTTCTGTTTCCGCCGTGTTTCGTCAGCCTCAGTTCTGTTCACTTTCTCGGTTTTTTTTTTTTTTTTTTTCGTTTTGTTTACTCCCAGCCATCTTCCCCATCTTTATCCCCCGCTGCTTCAACACCTCCCTCGAAACCCCCCCCCCCCCCCCCCCCAAAAAAAAAAAAAAATCAAATGACCTCCCACCCACCGTCTGTCTTCCTCTTCCACTTTCTAATCCCCAAATCTCAACTTCCCAACTTCCCAACTTCCCAACTTCCTCCCACCACACAAAGCCAAACGAAAAAGAAAGAAAAAAAAAAACTCACATCACACTGAACCCCCAACCGCTCAACCATCTGCCGTTGCACAAACTCCAGCGTCCCCGGCGCCCTTGCCGCAATGGTCGGGTAACATGCCGCAAAGTTGTCGCGCGAGATCTTGTCGAGGGTGTGCCGGAGGGTGGTGGAGAACAGCTGTTGGAGGCGGGTGGCGCGGGGGCCGGGGGTTATTTCTTGTTGTTCGGGTTGTTGTTGGGGTTGTTGGTTTTGGGCTTGATCGGATGAGGGTGGTGGTGCTGGTTGGGAGGAGGGTTCGGAGGGGGGGTCGGCTGGTTGTTGTTGTTGTTGTTGTTGTTGTTGTTGTTGTTGTTGTTGTTGTTGATTTTGTGTTTGGTTTGTGGTGGATTGTGGTTCTTGTTGCTGGGTCTGGGATTGACCGTGACCGTTCGTTTCTTGGGCTTGTCCTTGCGGTTGCGATTGCGACTGAGACTGCGGTTGCGCCGACGACGACGGCATTGCTTCTGGTTGTTGTGTTTGGTCTGTTGACATGTTGCTTTCTCTTCTGTACTGCTGCGCTGACTTGATGGCGTCGCGGTTGCTTCGTTGGCCGGTATCAATGATCGCGTAGTGCGGTTGGTGAGAGTTGTCTTGGTGTAGTGGTGTAGAAGATGGAGGAAGCGCGTCGCGTGTGATAAGATATAGCGATCCTCACCTGTAGGGAACCTGTACGAACCCGATCCGATGGCGGGGAATGCGGGGCAGCATGCCCGGGGCTTGGCCTGCTTTTGACAGCCCGCCTACAGCACATGCAGGCCCCTGTGTGCCCCTAAAATGACACACACCCCTGGGGGTCTCTGGGTGTGCGCGGGCATAATTCCGCAGTCTCGGTTGAGTTTGAATCAAAGTTAAAGTCAAGGTACAGTGACGTATCTTGAAGGGCATCGAGACATCACGATTCTGTAACCATGTCCCACTAGTAGTAAAATCCCATTCATCATTTATCTTGACAGCAAATATGTTATGTACAAGACTCATCAACATTTCTTTTGAGAATTGGTCCAACTGATGGCACCAAAACACCCATGATCCAGGTCATATATCCACAGCATCCATCATCCATCATCCATCATCTCATGACCATCCATAAAGAAACCCAGACGCCATGCCGGCATGCATAAAAACACAAGCCAGCAAAGAAGAGAGAAAACAACCCACGCAAAAGGGGGAATAGAAAAAGCCCAGCCCATACAAGAAAAGCCAAAACAGCCAAACAACCAACCCGATACAGCGGGCTCAACACAAGTCACTCGCTAACCTCCAAGCGATGACTCCGCAGCAGCTCGTTGCCTACTTCCCTCTCTCCTCTCAAACCTCCTCCTCTGCCTCCTCTCCGCCGCACTCGACACCTCTCTCTTAACACCACTCGGATTCTGGCTTGCAACACCACTCGGATTCTGGCTCGCTCCGCTCGGGCTCAGCGCGCTCCACTGCCCGGGACTATCCAAGCTAGAAATGGTCCCCGCGGCATTAGGCATCTGGCCCGACGGTCCCGCATACGGCGGCGAGTCCTTCCCACTAATCGGCCTAGTCCCCTGTCTCGCAAACGCCGGATTGGGCGGGGACAGCGGGTCATCGAAATCCGGCGGCAGCCCGCTGCTTCCACCGTGGGACGCCTGCTGCCTCGGTGTACCGCTACCGCCCGTGTTAAGAGGGGCCGGATATAATGGGTTGACAGAAGGGTCTACCCTCGCCTCGGCGGCCCGCTCGGCTCTTCCTCGCTGGCTCGAACTCCTGCTCTCGCGGCGATCCGACCTGCGATAGCGCCTGCCGCTGCTCGGCTCCGATTCCGAGTGGCTGCTGCTAACCGAGTCGCCTCGGCGGCGCCGGTTGTTGCCGTTGTCCTTCCTGGCGTCCTCGTCCGTCATCCTACGCAGAGTGATGTTCCTATCCCTGTCGCTCTGCAGCTTGACCTTGACGCTAGTAACGGGTTGGTCAGAAGGGCCGCCTTTGCGACGCCGGTCGTCTTCTTGTTGTTGTGCGGCCAGGAGACTGGCGGATGCAGCTGCTGCCGCGGCCGCCGCCTCAGCCTCTCGTCGTCGCCTATCAGCATTGACATCTGTCAGGTCGCTGCTGCTTGTATCGGTCGGGGGTCTCAGTGGGTAGAAAACGCCGCGCGGGTCGGGAGGCATGGGGGGCATGCCAATTGGGCCATTTCCAGGAGCTGGGTTACCGGAGGGTCCAGGGGTAATGGGAATAATCGTAGGCGGCGCACCAGCACCTCCTGCAACCGGGATGGGTGCAGGTGGTGGTCGAGCTCCACCGCTCACGGTCGCTGGATCGTAAGGGGCATGTCCTCGCGGCTCCATGGAAGAAAACTCGTCAGAAAGAAGCGAAGTTCCGGTCGTGCTGGTGATGTCTGTTGGCGCTGCTGGACGCATGGCAGCTGGGCGACGTTGAGAGTCACGTCTGGATGGACTGGGGTAGCCATCACCAGTGTACTTGGAGTTCCGACGTCCAGCTCTGCGTTCTTCCTCTTCATATCGTCTGTCCTCTTCATCCCTTATCCGATCCTCTTCCTTTCCTGCACGGCGATCCACCGTCTTTTTGGCGAACCAGCCAAGACCAAGCCCAGCGAACAGACCCTTCCCAGCCCCGCTGTTCCGTTTCTTCTCGGGCTCTTCTCTTCTAGAAGGGCTAACGTAGGAAGAATAGTCTGAGGCAATCGTGCTCTCGAATCGCGAATTACGACGGCCAGCATGCGAGCGCGGTGGTGTGCCAGGTCGGTAAGGACGTCGGTCATCTGCAGCGCTCTCCACTTCGGAAGGAAGAATAACCGGGTTCTGCTTGGAATTTCGTCGATTGTCCGTCCGCGTGAAGTCGGTGTAATCGGTATAATCGCTTTCGGTTGGTGCCGGACCTCCCCTCCGCGGAGGAACACGGCTGGGTGTTTCTGTTGAGACGGCCGAATATTCGTCATCACGGCGGTCATGATTCTTCTTCAGATACTTGGCAGCCAGAAGACCGGCGCCAAGCCCAGCCAGCTTACCCATCCACCCACCTCCTCCACCTGTGTTGCGTCGCGAAGATACGTCGGTATACTTGTCGTCGTGATAGCTGTCGTGCCTGCCATGTGAAGAGATGACTTCAGTTTCCCCATCGTGGGGAGCATGCGAGCGATATGGGCTGGGACTGCGGTCCAGGGCCATTTCCTCGTCCCGGTTACGCTTGCGACCACGGAGCATAGCCAATGCGCCGGCACCGGCTGCGAGACCGAGCCATTTCTTCTTTCCGTGGTGGTGGCTCTCCGATTTCTCATCCGTGTATCCAGTAACCTCAGAGCGGGTGCCACTTGCATAGTACTCGCGACGGTCCTTGTCTCTGTAATCAAAAATGAAGTACAGAAAGAGAAGAAACCCCATCCAAACGGCATAGAGAACGAAGCAGTACTTGGGCGAGCCATAGAGCGTCAGACCAAGAGGCACCTGCGCGATACCAAGGATGGCAATAGCGCGGCCCATCCAACGATGAAGATGTAGGCGGAAGGAATGGCCGGTAATTTTGCGAATAAGACTGCCACCAAAAGCTTGAACAAGAATCATGACGTAGATGGCGACGCCGATGCCATGGTGTGGGTTTGTGAGGTTTCGGGGAGGACCGACAGCGATGAAACCGAGAACGAAGACGACAGTGCTGAAACCGACAGTGAGGACCTGAAGGTATGCATGATATCGGATGGCGTATCCCGGCTTGCGGGAGTAGAAGCGGGCAATGAGGACGGCAATTGGGATGATAAAGAGGAAGGTGATGGCAGCTATCACTCCGTGGCCGAGAATGAGACTGTGATATTCGGTCAAGGTCGAGAAGCGATTGCCCATGCCTGTCATCCATGAGAAGAGCATTGTTAGTTCCATTCTTCTTGTTCAATGGACGGATGGGTGAAAGGAATGGAAGGCTTCAGTCGCAAGACAGTCAGTACATACCATTGTATCGCATAGTCTCAAAGTTGAGACCCTGGAGATTGGGAAGCAGGAACGAGTTCTTCTCAAAGTCCCAAGTTCCATCGCCTACCGTCATGGTATTGGACGAGTAGGAACTCGACCCGGGCGGTGAAAGATTGTTCGCCATGGCGGGCACGACTTGCTGGAGACGGCCAGCTCGGAGCAGGCCGAGGAAAGATCAAGAAGTTGCTCAATCCTCCGTCTTCTTGCAAAGATCAAGAAGTTGGATGAAGAATTGGCGAAAGCTGTTGTGCGGCGGTTCGCGCCTGGCGACAAAAAGATTCGTTGCCAAGTTCCTGGGACCTGGACCGCTCCAGGAACAAACGGGGGGGCTGGCGTCGATGGCGGGGCAGGACAGGCGCTGACAGGGCAGCAGTTGCGAGCTGAGCTGAGCTGGGAGGGCTGAGTCGGGAGGGATTGTTTACTTCAGATAGGGAGTCGCTGTTGTCGCTATTCGCTACCCACAAAACCTTCAAGGTGGAGGAAAGACTTGTGTCTGCACGAGTTGCACTTGCACTTGCACGGGAATGCACATGGCGATTCTTTCTCCCGTCGCTGCTGGTCGCCCTGGAATCGTCATGGAACCTGCATTCGCGCTTTCCTGTTGCACACTTGCACCAAGATCGAGTGGACAAGACAGCGCTGCTTCAAGATTACGGAGGCTGGGGAAGCGCTTTCCAAGGCGGGTCACTTTCAGGGCGTCACGGTTGGTTGCTGGGGAACCGAGCTTGGGCCACCCATCCCCAGCCCCCTCACAACAGCTTCTCCAACCTCCATCGTCATCTCCACTCCCGCCGTTTTGGGACGCCAGGAACCGGTAAGGACCGCCAGGGCAGCTGGGCGACAGGGGTTGCGCTGTCTTCAGCCCGAGTGCGGGGACAGGGGTTTCCATTCTGCAAACACTCTTTTCTCTCTTCAACCCACATTTTGTCGTGATGTTTTGAAGTTTGAAGCATTCAACATCTGAAGAGAATGTGCAGAGAGGATGAGAAGTCAGAGCTAGAGGTGACTATACTTTTATACTGACCATTATCTCTAGGGTCTACAACCAATCCCTTGTAGACTGTATGGTACAGAACAGCAAGTATCCATAAGGTAAACCCCTCCTCCCTCTCACTCTCCGTCGGTATCTTTTGTCAACTTGGGGCCTCAGAAGTGAGAAACCAGCCCTATGAGGCATCGCTTAAGCTTCAACGCCTAGCAATGGCTTCATATCCGAGCTTGGCGACAATGCTTAGCTTGACTTTACATCGCTGCCTGACTCTTTGATCACAATAGCAGGTAAATAAAACCCAGCAAGTCTCCCTACGAGGAGGTCTGGCAATATCAGTTGTTCCAACCTCAAATCTCCTTCAACCACCAGTCCAGCCTCACCAAAACCCACCATGTCAATGATCCAGAGATCCCTCCTCCGCATGTCTCAACAAGTGACAGCCGTCATCAACCTCCCTCTTCAGCCCAGCGAACCAAGCATCTTCGCGTCACTCTCCCTGCATGGCCAAGACCGCATCCGCCTCCAGTTCCCCGACGATATCATCAGCGACATCCGATCCATCATCTCGGCCGCCTGGGAATTTGGCATAACTTCCAGTGGCCCCTAAGGCGACGAGGCCTACCGGTACGAATTAAAAGGCCGTCCGTTCGGAGGCCACCACTTCCTCACCTCACACGAAAAAACCGAGGCCGTACAAGCCAGACGACTGGTTCGCGACATCCTCGCCTTCCTCTACATTCGCTCCTGGCAGCTCATCTGTCCGTTCAACTGAAGTATCCACGCCAGCGCAAAGACGAGCTCATCTTCCGTCGCTTTCCCCCGGACGCACCTCCTCTGCCGGCGGTAGAATGGTTAGCTCTGGGCTTCTTGTCTGACAATACTTAGGATAAGGGTCATTAATGATGCTGAGAAAATGGACGGTGTCGATACGGACGCTGACTACATCGGGGCTGCCATTGCAAAGATGAGGGACGTGTTTCAGTCATTGGACTTGTTCGAGAAGGGCGAGTGGGATAATGACTGCTATGAGTTCCGGCTGAGAAATCGTCCGTTTATACAGCGCGGCGTGGAGGCTAATAAGGTCCGGCTCATGAACTTGAGGCTTGTTGAGCTGCTTGACGAGCTGGGATGGACTTCTCATGCGACCGTTTGTCAGAACTCGGGAGGTGATGAGTGCGGGATGCCGGATACTTGGTATTTTGTTAAGCCGAAGGGGTCTGGTGTGTGAGGTTATGGCCGTGATGATAGTGGAATTCTTCAAGCTGGAAGACGGGAAAGAGAGCTGTGGATCATGGTGGTCGATTTCGGTGCGCATGCCGACGATGCTACCCTACTTGCACACGAGACTGTCTCGTATTCCATTCTAACTGGAAGACGGAAACAGTTTTGGCTGCAGTAAAAGCGCGAGAAGGGACCGTACCGTCATCGATCGATCACTGCACACAGGTACCTGACAGGTGTGAAGAGATTGAGAAATCCAGTGCGTGCAATCGATGCCGACCATGGACTTACGTCACCGATCCGGAGGAAATTCCGGTTTGAGCCTAAAATGAGGCTTTTGGGGATCTCAGAGCGGAATCCAATGCTGATGTCTTGTTGGCTTGGTTCTTCAGAGAGGCCTTTGATCAGGCTCAAAGGGTCATGAAGAACTCGAGACACCTTGAATCAAACCAGAACATTGGAATGAGTTTAACAGAACTATCATATTTGTTGAAACAGAGCACACAAAGCCGGAGAATCAAACCATCAGTTTGAAGACACCATGAAGTCCCGCGCTAATGCGCCTCCTTTTCAGGGTTATTCTGAGAGGTGGAATATCTCGGCAAGTTGTATCCGACCACCGACCTTCCTAACCGCATTGTCTCTAAGCGTCAGCTAACTTTGGATGCAAGAACTCTGTGAAATACGAGAACAAATGGATAGCATGGCGGTGACGATGGACATCTCACGGTGTAGGTAGCAGTTGTCCATCGACTGAGACTGCAGCGACCGGAACGTTACCTCTACAGAAGGAACCTGCCCTCCGCCACAATCTCAATGACGGAAGTGGGACTTTATTCACGTCACGGTTCTTGGCGCTTACCCTAGGCTCAGTTGGTAACTGGAACTTTGAAGCTCTCACTCTAGTTATCAAGACTGACTTACAACGGTGAAAGAGTTTCCATCCCATGTGGGATCGGTAAAGCCGTCCTTTCTTCTCTCTCGTAAAGCTTATACGAGGGGTCCTTACTCGAACAAGCTCACAAACAATGGATACTCGAGCGGGGACTGCCAATGCAACCAAGCAATACGTGGTTGCTCTGGTTCGTTGACCGTCCAAATCCACGATAGCTTCGTTCTTATCCTCGTCGCCGACCCACCAGCCATGATGCCGGATCGTCCCAGCAATGGGGCCATCATCCCGAACCCGCCGGCCACCTTCCGTCTTCCATGGGTGTCCTTCGCCAGGGCCAGAACTCGTGATCCTCATCGGCATTGGTTTTCCATGCAACCTTCCTTCCCTTGGCTCTCCAACTGCAACGTCAGGTAGGAAAGAAGTCCGTGGAAAGATTCTGTCTCTGGATGGTTATATAACCTCCCATCCTCTGTCCCCCATCGACTCTGATCACTCTTCATCTTCATCAACAGCATCACCCGCAGACACCACTTATCCAACTTTTTGGTTAAACACACAATCTGTTCCAGTCTCTTACCCATTCACCCCTTCTCACTCTCCACCATGAAGTCTTTCACCTTGTCCGGCGTCATCGCCGCTCTCACTGCCACCGCTGCCGTCCAGGCCCAGACCTACTCCCAGGATGGACCTTTCTACCTGAAGCTCAAGTCCAACGATACCTCCCTCGACGGCAAGTACCTCTACGCCTGCCACGCCGGCGCCGCCATTGAGTCGCTGTGCCTTGGCAGCACCCAGGATCCCGCCGGTGCCTCTTCATCCTCCTTCTACTACAACTACACCGTCAACGACAACGTTCCTTCCAACTCCGGTCTCTTGATCTGGAACCTCCAGGCCAGCGGTGCTGATGGTCCCATCACCGTCTCTTCCCCTCTGTCTTTCAACTACGACCCTGGCTCTAATGTTGCCACGACTCTGTTCATGGTACGTTATTCCCTGTCATCCCTCCTCCACCGCGAGTATCACTTACTAACATGCCCTTCACAGCCTACTGCTTCCCCGAGCCTCCAGGTTGCCTTTGACAACGAGAACCAGCTGTTTGTTCCTACCTACACCGACGACTCCAAGTACGTTGCGGGCCAGTACCCCGAGTACCCTGGCACCATCGCCCTTCAGAACTGGCAGGCATGCTGGGCGCAAGTTGGAGGCTACTACTACAACGTACTCGCGTGGGTTACTAGCGGCGCGCCGAAGAACCCCACTTGCAAGGCTGTGAAGGTCGCCAAGGTTAAGGTTGCGGCTTAGGAGGCTCAACAAGAGAAGCCCAAGGGCGACCAGGTTGGGGAGGCTGCTGCTCAGATCCCCGACGGCCAGGTACAAGACACTGAGCAGCAAAACCCGGAGGATGACCATGCCGAGAAGGGCTCTGAGGAACAACAGCCCGAGGGTGACCACGCTGGAGAGCCTGTCGCCCAGATTGGTGATGATCAGGTGCAGAATGTTCCTGCTCCGGCTCCGGCTCCCCCGCCTGCTCCTGCGCAAGATGGACAGGACGATGAAGAGAATCATGACCAGGATGACAATGAGAGCTCCAACGAAGAGTAAACGGACTGGATTTCATGGCAAGGAAGAAGAGACCGGATGGTTGGCTGATTTGGGCAGAACATGCATGATTAATCGCTAATGTTTTCTTATTGAGAGTAATGACGGACGAATTTCGATGCTTTGGCGTTGAGGACAGTTATGGTTAATACATTTCATTTCATTGACTTTATTCTCTCTACTCCGTCTTTTGGTGACTGTAATGACCGAGATCTCGTGAAACGCATGGCAGATGTCTGGTCTGAATTCCTTCATCTTATATGTACCGAATACGTACAGACATGAGCAAATTGACATTGAAGTAAGGCAACTAACCATATAAAAATCATTCCGTACATAAGCCCGGCGCCGATATCATCAGTCCTGGCATTGGTTAACCGACTGTGTGGGCGGTGGCGCATGGCTCAGATCTTCGTCCCGAAAAGTTGCACCTTTACTGCCTCTTCAATGCTTGGACGAGGCCCTGCATCGCGAAGATTGGCTGGATATACATCGGGAGCCTCATCATAGCCCAAGTATAATGGTATGTAGTAGTTCAAATAATAGTAGTGGTGATGGAGGATTGGTAGTCGTTGAGAAGAGGGCTTGCATGGTATCTGCAGGCTTTGGCTCGGCTTTTCGTGCCCGGCTGCCCGGGACTTGAGGGACGTGGGTGGTGGTAAGCAATGATGAATGGATATCGTTGGTCCGATCTCGATACGCAATGGTATCCAAAGCCTGGCCGGGAAATTCGATAAACTTACAGATGATGGTGGTGTCGATCCGAACCGCTTCTCTCATACAGACTTCAAAGGCGGCTGACGCGGGGCACCCGGAATCGAATCCGGAGTGTGCACCCCAAACCATTGAACAAGTTGCCCAGCCTGAGAGAATAGTTGCCTTATTTTTTGGGGGGGTTTGAGTTCGTGGTTGCTTGCCTTATTTTCTCGCTGGTTGGCTTGAGAGTTGAGGCTGCAGGTCCTTGTCTTGGGATTAAGGCATCCAATCTAGTGTCGTTTTATGTGTGTGAAACCATTTTTTTGGGCTTTAAGAGACATCATGGCGAGGTACTGGGTGGGGTGTTGATATCGGAGCCTTGTTCCCCTTGTTCCGGGGGGTGGTAACGGTTGTTTATGGTGTTGGGTGTGGTATATCTTCTTGTTAGTCTGCCCTTTTTTACCCAGGATTCAATCGTGGAATCCGGTTTTACTGACTCGAGAAGTTGGGCTGGTAGGTGATGAGAGGTTTTGAGATTTATCGTTTGTTGGTACCGCAGTATCTTACACCTTTGGAAACGCCAGAAGAAGAACATCGATTGTGATTGTGAGAATGGAAGATCAGGGATTTGTGTCGTTTCCGATAGGGACGATTGCTGGTCAGCAGCAACAACAACAACAACAACAACAACAACAACAACAACAACAACAACAACAACAACAACAACAACAACAACAACAACAACAACAACAACAACAACAACAACAACAACAACATGCAACAGGGCACCAGTTCTCGGCTTCACCTATTGGAACCACTCAGCCCGGACAGAATGGATTCTTTCCACCGCAGAGTATGGACTCAACACCTCGCCCTCCTCGCCATACGCAGCAACTACATGTACCACCCCAGAGACAGCCCGGGATGGCATTAGCGTCACCACACCACACCACTCCCAACCTGTCCCATCAAGCTCCTCCTGCCCAGCACATCGACCTCCCAAGCAATATAGAAAGAATGACCCAGACCAAAGCCGAGGTGGGGAAGATGAGGGAGATGAGGGAGGGTGGTGAGAGGCATAGGCGAGCAGGATCTCAATCCCCTTCCTCCTCCCGGAAGTTCGTCAAACATCATGGCCATTGGTACTGCGTCACGGGAGAGGGGAGCAAAAGGCGGCATTCACGGCATAAAGATAAGAAGAGGGGGAGGGGGAGGGGGAGGGGAGACATGGGGCAAGAAGCTGCTTGTGATGTTGCTTACCATAAGCGGTCATCGAAATTGGGTGTCCATGCGCTTGCGCTGTACAGCAGAGGGTTGGGAGGTGAATCAAGGAGGGGGAGTTCTGAAGGGGTTGTTGTTCAGTTGCAAGGGGGGAATAATTTGCAACATCAACAACAACCTCCTCGACTTGGACCTCCTCCTTTGCTGCCACATCACCCGGTGCATCATCAACCACAACCTCAGTTCCACCCACAGCAGCAACAGCAGCAGCAGCAGCAGCAGCAGCACCCTCACCAGCATCACAATCTTCAACAACAACAACATCCTCCTCATTTTCAATCCCAACAATCACATCCGATATCTCAACACGGCTCCAACCCGACATTCCCAGGTTGGAAAACACCACCTTCCGGGCCTGGAGGACCAGGAGGGTTGCACCCGGTTGGACCAGTTCCTTCAACTCAGGGGCAAGTCCCGGCAACTTCAGCAGGATGGCCAGCAGCAGCAGCAGCAGCAGCAAGACCTCCAGCCGGGCCGTCTATGCCATTCATGGCAAAACACAATGGACCACCAGTTGGACCAGTTGGACCAAGCCAACAAGGCCTATTCAATGCCCAGCAGCTAGCCCACCACCACCCAAGCCTGGCCGCCCGTGTTGCTCCCTCGTCCGGCACTGGCAGCTTGAATTCTTCTTCTTCTTCTCCCACCACGCTCTTCTCCAGAGCGAGAGGAGATTCGGGGAGTGAGTCGACGGGGACTGGATATACTGAGCAGTATACTGATTCAGAGTCAGAGTCCGAGTCTGAGTCGGACAAGGAAAGTCGTAGCGACAGAGGTGGCTACCACCACCACCACCGTCACCATCGCCATGACGGCGGCCATCGAGACTCACGCTCACGCGCTCATGGTGCTGCTGGTAGTAGCCGGGGTTCTTCACGGTCAAGGTCTCGGTCTCGTTCGAGATCGCCAAGAACCTCTTCTGTCTCTCATTCCAAATCCAGAAGGAGGACTTACGACAATCGTCGACGGCCATCACAGTCGCGGTCTCGTTCAAGGGATAGGGCTGGTTCAAGGCCGCCGCGAGGGGACTACTCGCACTACCGTCGACAGCGATCAGGGTCCTCCTCCGAGTCGCAATCAAGGTCGCAGCACTCAAGGTCGCGATCAAGGTCGCAATCAAAGTCAAGAACGAGGAGGGTCTTCCACTCTCGTCGACGGCCACGCTCCTCCTGCTCACGCTCCTGTTCCTGCCAACGATCTCCATCATATCGAAACTACCAACACAGCAACAAGAAACATCACCCCTGCCACCGCCATTGTCAGCGTTGCTCCTCCAGTGCGATTATTCTGTCAGACGGGACGACGAGAAACGAGGAGTTCCTACTACGACGGCCCCCGCCGCCCATGCCCATCCATCAACAACAACAACAACACCGACGAGCAAATCCAGCAGACGAAAACCTCCTCGATCGAAAATTCCAAAACCTGCAGATCAGTAGAAAGAAGAATTCAGAGTACGCAGCGGCGGGCTCGTATCGGTATCTACCAGCTGATAGGGAGAAAAGATGGATTGGGTCTGGGTCGTTGGTGAGTGACGTCGATAGTCCCGAGCCAGCAGAGGTGAGGAATTTTCGACTTGATGCAGGTAGTGGTCGTGGTAGTCATGCTGGTCGTGGCGGGTTGAGTATAAGGGGTAGTAGGAGAAATGATGGATGGGAAGATGAGAGGCCTCGTAATAGTGATGATAGGGGGATGAACTTCCCACTTGGGAATCAGGGACATAGCAGAAATCCCTTTGATCCTTTGCCGAAGGGGTTTCCTGGACGTTAGTACAAAGGAAGGAAGCAGCCGCAACGTTTTGGGTTTGCTAGTGTTGGATTTCCAGAGCCGGTCTTCTTATTCAGTTTCCTATCATGGTATGCAATGAAGCTCCCTTTGGTCTTTTTTTTGGGAGCAACTACAGAAAGATGTAATCAAACATAAGATGGGGAAGAAAAGATGTTGATTTTTCCGCGGCCGCAACCCTATCCTGCCCCTGTCCAAGAAACCGTGAAACGTGTACCGCTAAGCCAAAGCGAAGCTGTGACGGAAGAGAAAAGGGAAATCTATGATACACATCCCCCAGACCATCGATGAATTGTAAAAACTGTTAAACATGCTCACTCCTCTACTTAATATGATTCCTCCCAGTCCCATGACCAGTGACGCATCCCGTAGCTTATTCTTCCTGACCGAGTGCGCTTCCCCTATTGCGGCTGCTCAGCTTTTGTCTCCTGATCATCGGTGTCATTAATGGTCATCTCGACGTCCTCCTGTGTCGCCCGCGGCGTGCCCGTTCCCTCATCGGCGGCCTTGGCGCTGCTGCTGGCTTTCCTCTCATTGGTGGTAGTCTCGGCATCGGCATCACGATCAACATCCATCTCCTCGGCCATCGCACCCTCAGCATCATCCGTCTTGTTGCCGGTATCGCTTTTCGCGCCGCCGCCGGGTTTGTTGTCCACTGTCTCTGCCTCTGCCTCTGCCGATGCTGATGCTGATGCTGCCGCCTTCTCCGCCGCTGCCTCTTCTTCCTCCGCCTTGGCCGCCGCATCGTAGGCATCTTTCTCCTTCTTATATCGCTCCGCATCCCGATCGGCTCGGTCTTGGAACTCTTTCCTGCGGTCTTCGGGGAGATCTTTCCACTCGCGCGACAACGCCTCTTCTTCGACATCGGTATGATCGCCGTCGTTCTCGTTGTCGTTGTCGTTGTCGTTGTCGTCCTCGGGGCTGCCGGACCCTTCGGCGGCTTCCTTGCTGGCCGCCGCCGCCGCCTTTGCCGCAGCTGCCTTCTCTTTCGACGCGGCGCGCTTATCGTCGCAGTAGAGTTCGAAGGCGCTGCTCGGCTTGAGGGGCCTGAAGGTGCCCTTGTGCAGACCGTTAGTCGGGTGGGCGGCCGAGAAGGCGTCGGAACTCGGCGACTGGGTCTGAAGGTTCTGGTTGATAAAGGTGGCGCCTGCGGCACTAGGCAGGTCGAGGTTGGACATGGCAGAGGGCTTGCGATGTCCCCGCTTGATACGCAAGGGCTTCTCCTTTGGCTGCACGGTTGTTGCTGTCAGCTTACCGACCCGACCTGTGCGTGATTGATGAAGGGATGTATGATGATGTTGATGATGGCGAGTATGTCCGCCCGGAAGAGGTGATCCTGGGGGTGATGATATGGCGTCACGTACTGTGGGCGGCGGACTGGGGCTGCCGTCAGAGTCCTCCACGTTAGTGCTCGTCCTCTTGGCCAACTGCTCAAGAAGGAACGCCCGCTCCAGCCTCATCTTCTCGACCTGGCGCTTCAGCCGGGCCAGACGCAGGCGAGCGGCATCGTTGGCCTCCTCGACCTCGTTAGTGCGCTGCTTCAGCTGGATGCACTTCCTGCGGTAGGCCTCCTCGACCGAGGGAGGCAGCTGGGGCGGAACTGAGCTCGCTGATGGGGGGCGATGGGCAGAAGGGTCAGTAACCTTTTTCTTCATTTTGAGGATGATGGAGGAAGACATGATGACGGGGAATGATGGAGAAGGGAGGATTCGCCAAAGGGAAAGGGTTTCAAAGGGAAAAACGGATGGAGGTGGCCAGGGCAGAATATGGAGACGTGTTTAGGTTAATGGGTGTATGGGAACCTGGACCTACCTGGCGCCATTGTTGGAGTGGTTACCGTGTGGTGGTGAATTAATGATTAATAGTGGAGTTGTTCGTGTTTGCGATCGTGAGTCGTTACGAGAATGACGAACGAGGAAGAGGCGAGGCGACTTGTTGTTTGCGGAAAGAAGAAAAGGGAGCGTAAAAAGTCATGCACTGTCTGTCGGGCGGTCACAATGGAATTGAAAGTTGAAGTTGGGACGGAGAGAAGGAACAAGTGAATGGATGAGGTTGACAAAGTCCCTGAAAGTCACGAAACGACAGAGACGCCTGTCCACGTACCGCTGTAACAATCGCGACGGGACAAGGCTGATGTACCCAAGTACAGTACAGGTCCACTATTTCTGAAAGCTGGAGGTCCCGCAGCTGCTGTCCTGGATGCTCCTCTGAAAGTCGACGATTCTTGGTCGCCAGATCAAGGGATATTTTGGCATATGCGGATACCTCTAGTGTTAAACGCTTAGGTCCATGCAGTAACAAGTTTGCTGCGGTGAGCTGAGTGGAAGGTCTAGAGCTTCCCTATTCGCTTATACCAGACCTTGCCTGCCGCCAGCCCGCCACTGCTGTCTTCTATCCGCTTCATCGACTTTTTTTGTGGGCCCCGCCCGCTGGGGGGAGCTCCTGAGGAGGGAGGTCCATTTGGCATTTGGCTACGGCCAGCGAAGACACCGCAAGACGGAGGAAGCCCGACCAAACAACAAAGATTCAGGAGAAACACCAGAATCGAAGCCCACCATGTCCTTGAATATCCCCAACGCCCCGAACGCCGGCTTGTTCAAAGGCGGCTACAACAAGTAGGTTTTGTCTCTTTTAATAATTCAGCTTGTTGCATCACTGTCCAGTTCTACCCCGCCAAACTCCCCTCCATGGCTTGCTTGCGCCTATCCTATGCGGTCCCAAGGGGTTCATGATGCGTGACCTTGATACACAAGCTCTAACCATGTCCCAACCCCCAACAGCTACGATTCCGAGGATGGCGCCGTCCTTCGCAACATCGATGCCTGCAGGGCCATCTCCTCGACCGTCCAGACCTCCCTCGGTCCCTATGGACGCAACAAGATCGTCATCAACCACCTCCAGAAGATGATCCTGACCTCCGACGCCGCTACCATTCTCCGCGAGCTCGATGTCGTCCACCCCGCCGCCAAGCTGCTGGTCATGGCCAGTCAACAACAAGAATCCGAGATGGGCGATGCTACCAACCTTGTCACCATCCTTGCCGGTGAGCTCCTGAAGAAGGCCGAGGACCTGTTGCGCATGGGTCTCAAGACTTCCGACATTGTCACCGGTTACGAGCGCGCCCAGAAGATTGCCCTGGATACCCTGGAGGAGCTTGTTGTCGACAAGGTGGAGGACTTGCGGTCGCAGGCCGGCTTGAGCAAGGCCCTCCGCACCGTTATTGCCAGCAAGCAGAACGGTAACGAGGACTTCCTGGCCGACCTGGTCGCCGAGGCCATCCTTGCCGTTCTCCCCAAGAACCCCGCCAACTTCAACGTCGACAACATCCGCGTCGTCAAGATTATGGGTGGCAGCCTCGACCAGAGCCGTGTCGTCAAGGGCATGGTCTTCCCCAAGGAGCCCAACGGCACCGTCAAGAAGGCCAAGAAGGCCAAGGTAGGTGTCTACACCTGCCCCATCGATACCAGCCAGACCGAGACCAAGGGCACCGTCCTACTACACAACGCCCAGGAGATGCTCGACTTCACAAAGGGAGAGGAGAACCAGCTTGAGACGGTGGTCAAGGAGCTCTACAACTCAGGCCTCAGAGTCCTCGTTGCCGGTTCCACAGTCGGTGAGCTGGCGATGCACTACCTTAACAGATACGGCATCCTGGTCATCAAGATTCTTTCCAAGTTCGAGCTCAGGCGCGTATGCAGAGTTGTCGGTGCCACTCCCCTGGCCCGTCTGGGTGCGCCCATGCCCGACGAGATGGGCAGCATCGACGTTGTGGAGACTATGGAGATTGGCGGTGACCGCGTTACCGTGTTCAGACAGGAGGATGAGGTCACAAGGACAGCAACCCTCGTTCTGCGGGGCGCTACTCAGAACCACCTCGATGATGTTGAGCGTGCCGTCGATGACGGTGTCAACGTCGTCAAGGCTATCACAAAGGATGCTCGCTTGGTCCCCGGCGCCGGCGCCACTGAGATCCAGCTCGTCGAAAGGATACAGGCTATTGGCGAGAGAACCCAGGGTCTCGCGCAGTACTCTATCAAGAAGTACGGTGAGGCGTTCGAGGTCGTTCCTAGGATATTGGCGGAGAGCGCCGGTCTGGATGCCACCGAGGTGCTCAGCAGGCTCTATGCCGCCCATCAGAAGAAGGACACCTGGTCGACGGGTGTGGATGTCGAGGTATGTTTCAGCCGTGTATACACTCGCGTGTTATGCAGTGACTGACAAGTTTACAGAACAACGACAACTCCGGCACCCTTGATGCCGTGAAGGAGGGTATTCTCGATCTCCTCGTAACCAAGCAATGGGCTATCAAGCTCGCCACCGAGGCTGCCAGGACGGTTCTTTCTGTTGATCAGATTATCGTTGCCAGACAGGCCGGTGGTCCCAAGCCCCCCGGTCCCAACCCTGTAAGTTTTCAACAAGTCCGCCCTTTCTTGACTGACTCGGAAAATTTGTTGCTAACTACTCGTCTGCCACAGAACTGGGATGAGGACTGATCTGTTAGAAGAGCGGAAAACGTGTAATTGAGCCAAAGGGATAGATACTGCGGCTTGTGAAATGAAATGTTGATATAGACAGCAAGGTGACATAGCCGTGTACTCAAAGTAATACCCAAATTTCGGTCTGGCAAAGATCTGTCTGCCCTTCTCACACTATCTGGTCTGTGTGTATGTCGGTCTCTCCGAGATGTCCCAATGGCCACGCTTGCGCTTTGTCGCGGTATCAACAAACACTATCTGCTTCTGTCCCGTCTCCATCAAATCGTATGGATTGAGAAAGATTTCAGTGTCATGGGTACTCGTCAGGCCTGCAAAATCGCTAGTCACCGCCGATTTTGCAAGCCTGACGAGTAGCTGCTCCCTCCCTCACTCAGTGACCAACTGTCCACGGCGTGACCTTGACATCTTGAACAACCTGAACTCTTTAGCTTTCAACCTTCAGGTCCAATGGAGGGAGTTTCACTTGCTTACGCATTTGGTCACTCGGCTCGTCACCTTGAATCACATGCCATATCTATCTTTCCGATGTTGATATGGCCTTCTTTTTTTTCCCCATCTTTTCCTTGAACATCAGTAGTAATTGCTCGATCAGATAGATGTCTTTCAAAAGTCCAGTTACTTTATTGCCCATACCATCAGCTTCTCCCCTCTTGGTGGTGCCTCGTAGTCATACTCTGAGGTATCTATCTGCCACGCATGTTTTCCTGCTACCATGTGTCTCCCATAGTGAGTGCTAGAATAAGGAAGGCATCGACTTTATTCTTCCCGGGTTCACCTTCAAGGAGTACTGCATTTATTTGCTAACTGCTCAAGTAGTTACCTACAGCTCAGTCACCAAGTGTGACGCACGAAAGCAATCAGTGAGGAGCTAACTAACATCATAACTTCCACGTATCTGCTGTATGTCCCTGTTAAATTCAAGAAAAACTGACGTGGAATGACTGGTGCATAGTTGTAGGTAGTCGAGCAGTACATCATAACCAGAGATTCCTTGATGGCAATTAAACTGAAAGAACATTCAACAAGGACACTCTCCTATTGTCTCGTTTAGCCTATCATTTTCCCCTTCAACACACGCACGTATTACCTACTAGTTTCCTTGAAACCTCCCTCCCTTCGTCTTTGCATGATGTATGCGGATAGGATAGTTTTTCCTCAAAAACGGAAAACAAGCAAAAAAGCAAAAAAAAAAAATGTGTGGATGTCCCCGTAACGGACTCGAACCGTCATCTTCCTGCGGCACGTATGCAGACGCGGAATTTCCACGCCAGGAATGTTACCATTACACCAACGAGCCATCCACGGGAAGGGAGCTTGTGAAGGGAACTTATATATCCCCTAGAAGGGGCGGGGTGGGTTGTAACTTGGAATGACTTGGGATGAGGGATGACGCGGGGTTGGCTGGGCAGGTGGGTGACGGAGGTCGGAGGAGGCAGGTGCGGCGGGAAAGGAGCAGTGGGTAGACGGGATGGAAGAAGCGGCAGGAGCGGCCTCATTTCGAGCCAGCCGTGAGACATTGGCTACTTGGGTAGTCTATGCTTTCCGTGTGTCTTGTCGACTGAATACGGCAAGTATTCTGCCATACGTGTAAAAAGATGGGAAAGAGCGAGAGCGAAGCATGGCGGAAACAACCAAGCCGCACAGCAAAGGAAGGCCCGTACAACCCGAGTGTTGCAGACTTTCCCTTCACTTAAGTTCACTTCCTCTCAGACAACAAACCTAGGTAATGCTTGAGAATTACAAGATAGAGAAGGTATGGAAGAACTGGCATCATGATGTCAAAACCGAGGAGAATACATGGATGGTCATCATGTAGATGCGGGTGTACATTGGTGGAGCCCATTGTCGAGTGTCTTCCGCACAAGTTAATCCATGATCTGTCGCAACTTCCATTTGTTGCGGCGTCAGTCTCGCATTAACTCAACTCCGGGCGGTTTGGCGAAGAAGCTGGCTCTTCTGAGTGATGAGTGAAAGAGTGACTACCTATCTACCTATATACCTTGGACACGAAGAGATTCGATACTAGAAATGTGAAATCCTTGATACTCATTTCCTACACTTTATTCATCATCGATCTACACATTTCTCGTTGTGGGGATGTGTGATAATTCACGTCTTTGGGCCCTAAGAGGCTAGGATCGACATGCGCGTTTGGTTTGCTGAACACAGTAAAATGAACATTATCTAAACGACACCGCATGGTTCACGACACCTGGGGATTGACGCTCTTTAACCCAGATCCTAAACTAGACGGATGATTGTTGAAAGACGGAATAGATTTAAGGAAACTGGATGTGTGTTTGTTGAAGGGGGGAAATGTGAGTCTGCTGACGATACAACAGGCAAGTGTCTTCCCATACTACAAGTAGTATAGATACAACTTGATTTTGAGTCTCCTCTGCAAATGTAACAATTAACTGCTTCCAGGCTAAGCCACCGAAGCAGTCTTCTTTCGTGAGGCTTTTTGCCCGTCCTGTGAAGACAGATCGAACAAGTTATTTTGTACGTTTTGGAAGCTTTTGTGATTGTAAGCGCAACGAACATCGCCAAACGAGGAAAAGATATCACCGAGGCCCATCAAGCGGCCACTCAACTTGTTAAGGTCCAGTAGTTGAACATGACTCCATCGCTATGACACTTGATGTAAGCCGATTATCGGCCTGAAGAGACGGTGAGAAGTAGAGAAATGGTTCCTGTTTGGAACAGAATGAGAGAAGTCTCGGACACCGCGGCTATCGTTGGCTCGATGCTGATTCTGAATATAATCATGGTCTGTGTGTACACATATAAGGTCAGTGCGTCTGCATGTCTTTTACTTGAGGCGGGGACCAATATCTGTTGAGCAAAGAAATGTCTTTCCGCGAATTATGATACCGGTTTGGCTTTCGAATTTCGCATCACGAGGCTGCGCACGGTCGCCGTGATGATGTAGTCGATGGTGTGATAGAGGATTCATCTTGACCAAACACCCCTGAATGGCAGCAGTTCACCCGCCTTCATGGAACAAAAGCTTTTGCAAGGTGATGCTGGAAATGCGGGGGAGATTTGAGAGGCTATCCATCTTGAAGCGGCGACGGAGTTTTTACAAGTCCGTTACGCAACTTACGAGCCTTGGCTGTCTCTTCGCGTCACCAGCTGCAATAAAGTTCCTGAACATGGAACCGGTGTCCATGGGATCGCTCGGACGCACAAGTCCCGGAGGGTGTTATCATCGCCTTCTTTCTCTTGGTCCCCATGGCTGTTACGCAGGTTTGGCCATCACATCACAGCGGTCCGATACCATGAGGCTACTAGCTAGTGTGTGGTGTCGTTGAGGAGCTTCATCGGCCGTGTCCCGTGTGTGCTACCCCGGATGTGTTTGAAGAGGAGTTGAAACGTAAGCGAGGCAGGGGATGAGCTTCTCAAGCAACTGGGACACTCAGCTTCAGACCACTGCAGCGACGTCCTTGCCTCCCCCAGAGTCCCAGACGAACCAGCGTTCGCGTCTTTCAAAGCTTGAACCCCCGCGAGCCGCGATGCTTTTTTGCGGCGTCGCGCCCATCTGCAATAAAATCTGCGGGATGGGATGCCGATTTGCTTGTCTTTTTCTTGGCAGATGAAACTGGGAGAGGGGAGGCAATTACCATGAACCGTTCCTGAGCTAGATCACTGACTCAAGCCGCGGTGCCTCATGAAGGCTGAAAGGGTCCCGCCCGACCTAGAAGCAGTCGGTTATGTGTCTGATATCACAGCGATCTGTATGATTTGGCTTTTTGTCTTCCCGTCCATGCCGTTCAGCCGCGATGCCGACGAACGGAGCGCACGGCCACATGGACTGGCCAACCAGTGTCGTGGGCGCGAGTAAACCTGCCGTTCCGAGTTCGTAGGCGGCGTTGTATTGGACCGTTGGAAAAGGCCATCGTAGGTAGCAGTCGCTAACATGGCCATGGTTGTACCTTATCGGCGGGTGCAGACAATATGCGGATTCGGCCAGTCGCAAGGATTCGGTAAACTCTGGCGGTCTCGATGTTGCAGTCGGACGCACGAGATCACAGACTTGGGACCAATGTTTGTTTTTGACCCTGAAAAGCTTCATTTTACCTTGCAGATGGCGGATATAAAGTTATAATAGGTCGGCTTATAGCCTTATCACCTGTATTTTGTGCGGGAGGACAGGTGGAGCCTGTGATAGGCGGAAGCTACCTATTGAGTTCCAAAGGTCTGATAGTAGTTTGCCATCAGATGGAGAGGTATGATCAACGATACCAGTCATGGAAACTGATGATGACTGCTCCTTGAGCTTCATTCTTGCTCTCTCCAATATTGGAACTGCTGTTGAAAGTGGAAGTTGTGCCACTCGATCATCTCATGCCGCCCAGCTGAGAGAAGTGGATCAAGAGCCAGAACAGTGCCCCACTTACATACAAGACCCCACTCCTAATTTCCAACAAGTTATGCCTTTCGGAAGGTGCGATATTCAGTGTCATGAGCTTGGAAGCAACAGATGAAAATTTTCGTGTTCAGTTTTTGATAGTCGTAGGGAAGGTGCAGCTTGAGGATGAAGAGATTTTCGAATACTTGCTAATCACAACCAGCCGCGGCATCCAGGCAGACAAAGAATTCCACAAGTGTTGTCTAACCTTCCTCTCCCACCAGGCCATCTCTCGTTCCTCTCATGGACCATGGCATCAACCCCGCGTATAAGACCAGGTAGGATTTCGGAATCACCACCTTCACTTGTTCGCACCCACATCATCTCCAGCTCGACCAGGCCACGCGGAAAGGCCGTTCTAACGGTATCAAGGGTATCAAGCAGATCGCTGCTAGTACGCTTCAAGAAGGTCTCTCGTCTTTCTGGTGTGCATGAGCAAATCTTACACTCTTGCGGCGCCTGAAGAAGCGCCACCCTTCCGCGCGCTTGGCACACTCGCAGACTCGACACCATATTTCAGAAATACCTTCCAGAGCAGGGAACTCCTGACAAGACGGGAGATCAAAGAAGCTTCCCAGGCCTCCTCAGTCTCTGCTAATCTCCGGCCTTCAAAATGCTGACAGCTTCCCAGGTCCAGAAGCCCAGCAACAGGTGGGGGCGATGAGGTGATGGCCAGGGGAAATTCGGAGGAAAAAGCAGGACAGACAAGACACGGAGGGGAGTCTACCAGGACGTCGGGCCTGTCAGGGAACCTGGAACACTCCTGGAAGCATCCGCGACACTATGTATGGCACCGCCACGTGCTGGCAACGACACCAAGGATGCCTCTAGAGTTTCGGGTCTGACCTGCCCCTCAAGTCCCCCCTGCTCCCACCTCTGCTCGTCTGCCCCGAAGAAGACGCCTCGACTTGACTCGATTCGGCTGTTGCTTCAGCCTTGCAAAGCTTCGGTAGCCAAGTCCGGTGGTGGACATGATCAGTTCGTTACTCTGACTGCGAACATGTAGACGGCCGAGGTGGTTTTTTTCTTGATATCCTATGCGCCTCCATCAATAGTGTCCAAAGTACGTCGCATCGCAAGAAATTCGGGTTCTGGACCTCGGAACTTTTCCGCGGGCCTTCCCGTCTCACCCTCACCCTCACCCACCTACCAACATGCTTCTGGTGGTCTCACAACACGGAGGTTGGCCGGAGACAATGTACCGCTCGCACTTTCATGATGCTAAGAACAGATGTTTCAGCCATGATATACCGGGTCCTGAAAATCGAAATTCGACATGGCAGTGCCGACGATCAGTTCGCCGTTGTCTTGCTCATCGTTCCCTTGGACAGGGGGCTCTGCAAGCAAATACCGAAGCCTCGACGAAAGAAAAGAAAATTGCAAACAAAAAGAGATTATATCAGGCGCAACATAATAACCCCTGATGCCCCTGGATGGTGGATTGTTTGGTTCACCACTCAGAAAAGAGTTCGCCCGCGCGGTGGACAGCGGAAAATGTCCTTCACTGCAGGTCCTCCTTAGCGCACGCTTGACCCGGTCAACTCCACTATCAGAGTAACGATACAAGGAACAGGGTCAGAACTGGAAGCGTCAAAGAGACGCCCGTGAGAGGTTCCCTTGGAGTCTTGGTTCCCCCTAGAGCGGGACGCCTCCGATCGCTCCCATGTGTCTATGGGTCCGCCCTCCCCCAGCTTGCGTGATGCAGAAGCGAGGAGCAGCACGCTGGCGACCTGCCTGGGTGGTTCATGTGGTTCTGTGCGATGCGAACCGCCCGGCACGTTAAAATCTACTGGAGCCCCGATTTTCCCTTTTCCTCCAGTCCGCTGCCTGTCTGTCACGTCCATCTCTAGCCGCCCTTCAGTTTGTTTCTAGAAAGCCGCCCTTTTGTTGGTGGTGGTGTCACGACCCTTCCTTTTCCCACAAGCCCACCATATGCACACACGTCTCTCTAGTGTGTACAAACAAGTTGACGTTGGCCGAATAAAGTACCCCGCCGCCGAACGCATCTTGACCTCAGAGACACTTGAACCCGGTCAAGAGCCAATCATCCAGTCCTTGCGCGCGCGCCATACTGCTGCATCGCGCAGTCACCTGCAGAACCGCAGAAGTCGAACCGACCCGTACCGGAGTGTGGAACGAGGAAAAGGAAAGCAGGAAACAACCAAGCCGGTGCCGAGCAACCAAAGCAGTCGACGACTTCAGCGATATCCTCGATTCCCTGTCATCTACGTAGCTGCTCAACGAAAGGTCCCATCGACCTCATACCCAGCCCTTTCTGCTCGCCAATCCGCCGATCGTATTCTTCTACAGACGACCGATTGTTTGCGCAGCCAACCAACAAAACAAGATATCTTGCACAATCGCGTTGACTGGCCTCCGCTGGCTTGTTTTCTTGCGGTTCTACGGGTTAGGTGGCTGTGATACTATATTAAGCCTCAGGTCTTGGTCTTAGAGTCTCTGGAAGAGTCTTGGACGAATCGGCATTGGTGTTGGACAGACTTTGCGGCTTTCTCACTGTATCCCGTGTAGGTGCTCTGCGAGGCTAACAGCCACGAGCCCGTGTGGTGAGGAACTGGACCGTTGAGGACAGCAAACACGTGTGGGAAAACACACCGGCCAAGGCTTCGCATCGACAACTACAGGAGGGTTTGATTAACATCGGCCCCCCATATTGGCTGGTCTTCAACTTCGAAAGAGAGAAACGGAGAGGGAAAGAGTATAGGACGGGAGTCTCTGCTTTTCAGTCAGCTTTGTTCCAAACAGCCATGCGCTGGCCGCCATCCCTGGGACTGTTTCCGCATTGTTGATACGACCCCTGAAACGTACTCCAAAGGCTTGACCCAAGCGTTTGTGACTTCGTACAGCCTTTCCAAGGGCGACAAGCAACGAAAGGGGAAAGAAGACCCTAGGGATAGGTTTCCGATCGTCAGTCTTTTGAAGGAGATCCCGCAGAAAAGCCCAAACACCCTAGAACTGTTCGGCTGCAGGCCAAACTTACCCCCCAAACACCCCGCCGCGGCCGCATATTAGCTCAGCCGACATTCGACGTCACTTCGGTCGTCGAAAACCATCTTCCACATGTTCAGCAGATTGCACAGCAAGCATAAGGGCCACGCCAAGGAGCAGCAAAACAGGCGGCCACACGACCATCAGGCGTCGACGTTGCAAGACCTTGGCCTGCGTGGGCCCTCTTCATCATCCATTCCCTCTGCTTACCACAATCACTCCGGCGTTCCTGCAAGACAGTATCCCGCGGCGTCATATTCCGAGAGAGGTAGGTCATATCTTACGGTTGAGTCTCAGACCGGCCACCCCTTCTCTCTCCCTTCCCTTACCGCAATCTAGCTCTGGTGTCTCGGGAGCAAGGACTCTTAGGTACCATGGATGCGCCTTCAGTTGAGCTGGCTGCTAACCTAGGCTTCGCCTAACAGACAGCCGGATCCCTAACGGACACTTAGGCGCGCAATCACACTACTCACCAGTTACACCTACTTCACCTTCTCACTCACGAGAGATCAACAGCATGAACACTAACGGGAGCCGGGGACGCCGGGAGCGCACGTTTGTTGGAAGCGAGTGTGCAGTTTGTGAGGAGCCGCTGGAGCATACCCTGCAGGGCGAGAGGATATTACAATTCTCGTGTACCCATGTGTCACACGAGGCTTGCTTTTACGAGTTCATCCGCGAGTTTGAGTCTCAATACTGCCCAACATGCGACGCGCCATTGCATTTGGACACCAGCCGTGGCGGAAACGTGCTAGATATCGGTAAGGGAAAACAAACCTTCCTGGCGTGAATGCTCGGTAGCGCTAACCAGCTCAACATCAGAAAAAATCAGCAACATGGTACGCTCAGGTTCCGTAAACGACACTCGGTCACCACCAGCTCCAAATCCAGCTTCATCGCAGCAGCCATGGGATGATCAGCTAGCACGAGCACCAAGTCGAGGATCGAGTGCTCGGCAAGATGGAGGTTTGCCACCTCATGCCATGGCAAGGGGTAGCCAACGCGACAGTCGCGACGCCCCTTCGTCGTCAGATCCTCGTTACACGCCAAACTCGAGACACGCGCGTAGCGATAGTGATGCTACAGGGGCCACGGGCGCTACCGGAGGAATGGCCTCATCGGGAGGATATCCGGAAACGATGCAGAGTGGTCCACCGCGAAGACACGACTACGATGTCCAGGCTATGGAAACGTCGATATCAAGTCCCCGTGCGATAACCCGAAATCCGATTCCAGCACCGACCGTTACCATCCGGTCCGAGTTCCCTACAATTAGCAGGTCGCGGCAACAGCAGACGCTTACCTGTCTGGTCACGGTTGAGGTACCCGACAACAAGTGGAGGCCGGATCCCGAGGACCTACAGAATGGACCGCCCATGCTACCGCCACCCAGAGCTGAAGAGCCATATCCGCGCGTACCGTCGCCTACGAGGAATGCGCCTCGCTTCTACCCCTACGAATCACCTGAAGTGTTGGCAGAGATGACCGAGAATCTGCGCAGCCGAGTCGACAACTGGCATGGCCTCGACTTCAGCCGGTAAGTGAATACTTCATTTGGTTAAGCACTTCTCTTTAGTATTCTTGCTAACACCATATTTAGCTTCGGGAAACTCCGACTGTACGGCACACTCCGTGTAGGCAAGGATAAGGTGTCATGGCAGGAGCTGGAATGCTTTCTCTTCGCTGAGATGCTCATCTGCGTAAAGGAGAAGAAGAATGCGCACCCAGCACCAGGACAGTGGGAGGATGAATCGGCGCGCAAAACGGGTCGATGCACGCTGAAGGGATCGATCTTGATCAAGAAGCACCTGAACGAGGTATCGGAAACCGGATCTGTCGACGAGAATATCCTGACGCTGAACTTGTCAGTGAACGAGCTACCGCAGTTCCACCTTCGGTTCGAGAATCGCAACCAGCTCAAGCTGTGGCAACAGGCCCTGTTGGATCTGAATGCCGTCGAGACATCACCAATGCGCAGTCCCGAGTACGACCGCGAATTTTCCGAGGCAGAGGAAGACGAATGGAACAGGAGCGCTGGTTCGAAGCAGCGGGTATCATCCCAGGCGTCATCCTGGGGCGGGGCCAGGTCTGCCACCACGGCCCCGACTGAGTATACCAATGTACGAAGCCCAGGGCTGCCGCCATCGATCCACGTCCCGGTTGACGTCGTCGTTGTTGTTCCGATTTCGGCCTCCATGCAAGGTGTGAAGATCAACCTTGTCCGCGACGCCCTTCGTTTTATGGTCAGCTCCCTAGGCGAGCGTGACCGCATGGGTCTCGTCACGTTTGGATCCTCGGGCGGTGGTGTTCCAATTGTGGGCATGACTACCAAGGCGTGGCCTGGCTGGAGCAACGTTTTGGCATCGGTCAAGCCCGTGGGGCAGAAGAGCCATCGTGCGGATGTGGTTGAGGGTGCGAACGTGGCTATGGATCTGCTCATGGGGCGCAAGTACAACAATCCCATTGCCACTATCATGCTGATCAGCGATGCCTCGACTTCCGATGCGGACAGCGTCGACTTTGTGGTGTCGCGTGCGGAAGCTGCCAAGTATGTCTTATCACCATACCAACCTTTATATTTGTGACATGAAACTAACTGCTATTTTAGGATCACGATTCACTCATTCGGCCTGGGAACGACACACAAGCCTGACACCATGATTGAGCTCTCGACGAGGACCAAGGCATCATATACTTATGTCAAGGATTGGATGATGCTCCGAGAGTGTCTGGCAGGCTGCCTCGGTGCTATGCAGAGCTTGTCTCACCAAAATGTGAAGCTCAAGCTCAAACTCCCAGAGGGGTCGCCAGCCAAGCTGGGCAAGATCAGTGGCGCGCTCCAAATAACGAAGCGGGCAACTGGGCGCGATGCGGAGGCCAACTTGGGCGACCTTCGATTCGGCGACAAGCGCGACGTGCTTGTACAACTGACGATTATGCCTGATACGTCGTCTGAAGAGCCACAGTCGCACGCTTACTGGGATACTGTCGTTTCAGGACTGGAGGCAATAGGCGGACCCATGGACGACGAGGACCAAAGGGCGATGTCGGTGGAGGAGGTTCCTTTGATACAGGCCGACCTTAGCTGGGGGGATATTCTACGCGAAGGCGCCACGCAGCACACGAGACCATCGCTTTTGGCAATTACAGTGCTGCCGGCACCAGCAGGCTCGAAGAAGCCGTGGGCCAACTCGCCAACGATACCACCTCACCCGTATATCGTACAGCGGCGGATGGAAATTCTCACGTCGGACATGTTGACTCGAGCATTAACCTTAGTCAGCAGAGGCCAGCACGATCGCGCCCATACGCTGTTGAGCGAGACGCGATCCATTCTCAAGGGACTTGGTAAGGGCGGGTTGCCCCCTGTGCCACCAGCACCAGGAGGACCGCCCACCAAGTCGCTCCCGTCCACGCCTCACCCGCACCGCGCCCACTCGCCGATTCCCGGCACTCCGGACCGGATGAACTCGCCGTCCCCTACGATGGCGAATTACCCCACGGCACCCGGAACCGGCTTGACCATATCGACCCGGCGATCCAACGATGCTCTTAGCGCCATGAACACCGGGGCATCCGCCATCGACCCGACTACCGTGTCAGCTCTTGATGCGGAACTCGAGTCCAGTCTCGAGTGGATCAACCACCCTGCCATCTTTGGGCGCGACAGCCGCAAGGCGGTGCTGCAGGCCATTGGGGTGATCAGCTCTCAGCGGGCATTTACGTTCCGCACGCCGATCGAAAGTCTCTGGGCGGGCCGGGTCAGTGGCATCAAGAAGCTTACGGAGAAGAGCCAGGAGTGGACGGCGGAAGGAGGAGGGGAGGGCGGCATCATGGAGGAAGCATAGTGGGTTCCTCATGGACTGCTAGCTTTGCTCTTCTTCTCGCTAACATTGCCAACCGATAACGGAACATACTTTGTCGATCGGTGGCAGTTTTTATTTTCTTCTTTTTGTTACATGGTTGGCTGGTTCGAATTGCGACCTTTGGCTCGATGATACCACTTTTACTTCTTGTGTCGCACTTTGTTGCACCTGGTCATCCTTCTTCTTTATTATATAACAATATCTTGTCACATTGGTGGTGGCTACTTTTGGTTTGCGGTTGGATATCTTTGGGGGGCTTGCTTTGTCGGCATCTATGGGCTGGCTGCTGTTGAATTTGTAGTACGTACATGTGAGATGGATTGGGGAGGACTGTAAATGAATAAGATTTATGTACGCGATAATTTGGAATGGGGGAGGCATCGATCATGATTCTCTGGTTGGGGATAATGGGAGGAAGGGAAGGGAAAAGCAGAGGAAGAGTTGAATACCTAGGTGGAATACATCATCACCATGATCCTTATACTGTATGACATGCATCTCGCAGTATCTGACTTGGGTACTAACTCCCAGCTGAACTCTCTTGATGATCACAAGCAGCTAGCCGCAGCGATAATGTTGATGTTGATCGTAGTGACACCCGACCACAGTGTATCACGGCATTTGAACTGAAGCAAGTGGTTGGCCGTCGATGGCGTTGATCAACAGCTTCCGACCTCGCCGAGATCCGGACAGACCACTAGAGGCCGGAGATGCAACGGGAACGGGGCTTTCGGGGCGGCCAAGAGCGGCCAAGCAATGCACTGACCGCAAAGGCTACATAGCTAGTATAGAATTCATACGTGGCTAGTATAAACCCACTTTTATGGGTGTGCAGCCAATCTCTGGCTCCCAACCGCGCCAACTTCAATATTGCCAGCCAAGTGCATTCGCGCGCACCCTCTTTCGTGCTGCCATTGATTTGAAGCTATCGCCATCTCCGTCGCTGTCGCTATCAATATCAATGTCAATGTCAATATCAATGTCAATATCAATGTCAATGTCAATGTCAATGTCAATGGGATCGTTGTTAACGTCGTTTACGGTTTCTCCGTGATCCGCTATGACGCTTTCGCTTCTTGGTCTGTTGGTCTTCAGATGGATCGTAGACCTGCTCTCCCTTGTCTAGTTTGTTGAGAAGTGTATTCTACTTTGTCCAACTCTTCGTCAAGATAGTAATGGCCTCAATTTGAATACTCAAATACGCTAAATAACGAAGATTTGGTGATGCGCCTTGTAAGTTTTTGCACGGCTGACACAGATATGGTTGCGCGGCCAGAAAAGTGGCTTTATACTAGCCACGTATGAATTCTATACTATACTAGCCATGTAGCCTTTGCGTGCACTGACGGGAAGCGCTGGATGGGTTTTCCTTGAGGGGAAAAGGGACCCAAAATTATCAGATGCTTTGATAATCTTTGGCCAATCGGGTCTGAGTATGGGATGTATCAAGTGGGGCCCAACCTTGTCACAGACTCCGTCACGAACCCCTCGTCAACTGGAAAGTGGAAAATCCTCAGGTCATTGGCTCTATTTTCATTTCTTCAAAAGGGCAGCTCGCTCGTTGCTTCCCCTCCTCTCTTCAGATGGACGACCCACAGAGCTTCATCCATCAGTACCCGGATTGGGCTGATGATCTTGGGAAGTCGGAACTGAGACAAACGCGGCCACCACGAGAAACAGCCTCTGAAGCGGAACGGGGGTGAGACAACTGGAACCTCCCAAACCCAGAAATTGCAAAAAAAAAGGCAGCAACGAACCTTCGGACTCTGGTTGGTTTCTCACCTACCCAACCGACCCAATCCAACCCCTTCCCAGCGCGGGAGAACCTTATGATCCGAATTCCGAACAGCCCGGGTTGGCTGCCTTGTTCTATGGTCGACCTATTTCTACGTATCCCGTCCGTCGCTCAAACCTAAACCTCCTGTTCTCACTGGATCGATCAACTGAGGTGACCTGAGCCGATCTGCATATCTCAGGCTGCGTCAGCTTGGGTTTTTGACCAAGAGTGACGACCAGACAACGGCACTATCTTCGGCCTCGTGGATACCCTCTAAAAAACTTACAAGGGGTCCAGTCAACTATCCCGTACCTACGCCGAGAAAGCACACAGCAAAAGTCTCCATCCTTTGGAGTGCAATCCTACGCTGTTCGCCGCTGTTACCGCTACCGCCCTAAAGAACTTGATACCACCGAACGGGTCTCACCTCACCTCGGATCATCGTTGCCTACTACTCATCTTTTCTCTTTTCTCTTTTCTTCACCTCTTCACCTCTTTTTTTGCTTCACTTCATTTTCGTTGGGGGTGGTTCTGTGAATTACCTTTCGTCGACATCCTACCCGTTCTCCGTCCGAGTATCCTTATCAAACATCTCTTACGCAACCATCAAACGGGTACATGCAAACATCTCCGGACCGGACACATGTGAAAGTGAAGAGGTGGATTCAACAGTACCCTCAGTTCACTATACCTACAAATTTCCCTCAGACCACCAAGAGAGAACTCGAAACGACACCCGCCTTCTCTGAAACTAGCAACAGCATTCATGAACACCATTATTCGGCAAACATAAAATTAGCGCAGCGGCAAGATGAGGACCGACGACGACGAGATAGGGTCGCCCCTCTTACAGGACCACTTCTCGACGGACCGTCTCGAGGTCGGCAGTGACGGAGGAGACTATGGCACGGCGACCACCCCTCTCTACGAGAGCGACTGCGCTACGCCGGGTTCCGACATTCAGGAGGGAGTGAGGCAGATTGAGGCTGTCTCGAGGGCGTGGACCAAGTCTGCCTTGATCGTAGCTTATATGAGGTTTGTTACATCCAATCGTCTGGACGAGTGCGTGCTAACACGGCTTGCTTGAAAGCATCTTTCTCATCGCTTTCACAACCTCACTCGAGGGTCAGGTCACATATGCCTTGACGGCTTTTGCTGTCAGCTCTTTCAACAACCACTCTCTGTTGTCGACTGTTTCAGTTGTTCAAAATGTTGTCAATGGTGAGTTTAGAACTGCAGGATGACTGGACATCTTGAGGCACAGAAAAACTAACAGTTACCAGCCGTCATCAAACCTCCTATGGCCAAGATTGCCGATGTCTTTGGTCGTCTCGAGGCCTTTGCTATTTCCATCGTCCTTTGCGTACTTGGCTACATCCTCATGGCAGCCTCCAAGAACGTGGAAACCTATGCTTCCGCACAAATATTCTACGCGGCTGGCTCAACGGGACTGCAGATTCTCCAGCAGGTCTTCATTGCCGATACCAGCTCGTTCCTTAACCGAGCCCTCTTCTCCAGTCTACCGGACAGCCCCTTTCTGGTCACGGTTTGGATCGGTCCGCTGATAGCGTCAGCCATTCTCGCAACAACAACCTGGCGATGGGGCTACGGCATGTGGGCGCTCATCCTGCCCGTTGCCTTTCTCCCCTTGGCCTTGAGTCTGTACCTCAACCGCCGGAAAGCAGAAAAACTAGGGATCCTCAAGCCAAAGCACCATCACAGCAACAACGACGACGGCACCACCAAGGCCAAGATTCGCAACATCCTCCTCCGCGACCTCGACATGATCGGCACCCTCCTCTTCAGCGCCGGCCTTTCGCTCATCCTGATCCCCCTAACCCTCATCTCCCGTTCCCCCCAGGGTTGGCGCGACCCTAAGCTCCTTCCTATGATCGTCCTCGGCACCTTCCTCCTCATCCTCTTCCCCCTCTGGGAATCCCGCCCGCACCTCGCTCCCCACCCCCTTTTGCCGTTAGACCTGCTCAAATCCCGCACCTTCGTCGCCGGCTGCAGCCTAGGGTTCTTCTACTTCATGATCTTCTACATCGCAGTCCAGCCGTACTTCTACTCCTACCTCCTAGTGGCTCTCAACCTCCCCGTCAACCGCGCGGGGCAGATAACCCAAACCTTCTCCTTCTCCTCCACCATCGCCGCCATCCTCGCCTCCCTCGCCATCCGCCAGAGCAAATCCCCCCGCCCAAGACCGTTCATCATCGCCGGCGCTTTGTTATATACCTTCGCCATCGCCATCTTGCTCATGACCCGCACCAAGGGCGTTAGCATACCCTCGCTGTTCTCAGCCCAGGCTACCCTCGGCGCCGGCGCCGGGTTGATGCACGTTGCGACGCAACTGGCCGTGCAAGCATCCTGCGGGGATAAACACGCGCACGTCGGCGTCGCTACGGCCGCTTTTCTTACCTTGGTAGAAGTTGGTGCGGCGGTGGGGGCCGCTTTCAGCGGCGTCATCTGGGGCCGACTGATTCCCCACAAACTAGTCGCCTACCTCCCCGACGCGCTAAAAGGCGAGGCAAAGAAAATCTACGCCAGCGTGGTGGTAGCGCGGAGTTATCCCTGGGGGTCGGTAGAACGGGAAGCGATTGCCAGAGCGTACCAGGAGACGGTTACGGTACTCCTAAAGTGCGCGCTGTTTTGGTGCGTGCCGCTGGTGGTGGTGGCGTTGTTTGTCGGGGATTATAGGCTTGGTGAGGGAGGGCAGTGGGAGGTTTGGAATGGACGGGGACTGGTGGTGGGGACGGGGGAGGAGGAGATTGATGAACGGGCGAGGAGGATGGAGGAACGGGTGGAGTGGTGGAGGTTTTGGGTTTGGATGGGGAAGGGGAGCGGGTATTATGGGAGGAACAGGAGGAGGAGGAGAAGGGTGGTTGTTGAGGAGGAGGAGGAAAGGGAAGAGGTTGTGAGGTGATGAGATTCTATTTTTGGATGTTGGATATGAACTGCTTGTGGCTGTTGGATGGTGGATGTTGGAATGGGATATACCAAAGGGAAAGTTAAGGTGGAAGGAATCTTCAGCGTTGGAGTACAGTATTGGATTGATTAGTTAGACAGCGTGTTGTTGGGTTGAAGGATAGCGATGATACCATGACTGACTGATTGCGGATATGTTCTTAGTCGTGTATAAAAGGGAGTTAAGATAGATTTCCAGCTTCTGTAGATATCAATCATTTCTGAGTGATAGATTATCAACCGGTGAATTCATACCACGGCTCATCTCGATGCTCACTATACAATTGCCACCCAGGCGAGCGGTCGTAAGAATAAACCGAACACGGACAGTCCAATACCGCTCGTTGTGGTTGGGAAAGGCCGTTGACAAAACTATGATCGGGATTACAATAATTTGGAAAAACATCAGTCAAAGTCCATTAGAGACTTTTCCATCCAGGTTCCAAAGTACAATAAAGACTCTTTAGATGCGTGATAAGAGTATACCCAAGGTCTGACATAACTGACCGTGACGCGTTCGGTTTATATTCTTACGACCATTCGCGCCAGATAGAGTCACGGAGTTCAACCTGAAGCAGTCCCATTCATGAGCTATATGCTATTAATAACGCCACAACAATGCATCCCACGTACATACTTCCGTGTGACACCCTCGAGCAGCAGCCTCAAACTACCCATAACAATACCAACCGCCTCCCTACTCCTCCTCCATAATCTTCGTCTCAAAACGGAACCCAGCCTTATCCAACCTGTCAATGAACGGCTGACCCAAGCAAGCAGGCGTATAGATCCCACCACCACCACCACTACCACCAAGCTGTTCCTCCACGCCGCTCTCCTCCTCAAGCAACGTGGCAGCCGCCTCAGCCAACAAAACTCCGGTATCTGTTTGTTTGAAAAAAGTCAGCATATCATCCATCCTCTCCATGCCACTCACTAATGAAGGTACTCTCAACCAAAGGGGAAGGAAGAATAAAAAAACTCACAGTAATAAACCGGCCCCCGAAACCAACACCGTCCAAACGCCACCCTCTTCTTGGTATCCTTGGTATCCGTATCCCCCTTCCCCTCCCCCTCAAAATCCGGCTTCGCAACCCCCCAAAACTCCAACTCATCCCGTCTCGCCACCTCCTCGTCCGCCCCCTCGCCCGGCTGATACACAAACTTTTTGGCAATACCCCTCAAAACGGGCGTGGCCATCACCACCCCCAACACCATCAGGCCAAAATGGATAGCTATTCCAGATAACCAGTTACGGGGTTTCATGTACTGCTTAAAGCTAAACCTCGGACCGTACGAACTCTCCTCTTTGTTTTTGGAGGACTGGGATTCAAACAAACCCCAGGTGCGTTCAACGATAGCCGCGTCGGTCTTGGCTGCTACGGAGGTTGTTCCCAGTCCCAAAATGGGGGTGGTGGCTAGCCCGGTCAACTTGGTAGTCCACGACGTCCTGCTTTCAGCCAGGTCCGGGTTCGGGTGCGGGACGGGACTCAAAGCGTAAGGTTTATGCGCCTCGCGCAATTCCTGGAGAGAAAAGTTTTCGAGAATGGTGAAGACTGTTGCGAGAGTGCCTCCCGAGGGGGCAGAGCGCAGGGTGTGGATGCTCAGCGTCACCTCGCCCGTTTTTGTCTGGGGACCGAACTCGCGCTTTAGCTGTTGGACGAGGGACCAGGTGAGTAAATCGGAGGGGGCCGATTCGATGCCGATTTGGGGAAACATCTTTGCTCCCGATTGGGCGGCCGCAGACGAGTATTTGGTGATCATCTTGTGCACGAACGGGACTTCGCCGGTTACGTCAAAGTAGTGCGTGCCTGTGGCGGCGCAGGCGGCGAAGGCTGGCTCGCCTAAAGAGCCGTAGGGCCCGACGGTCGTGAGGAGGATGAAGGTCCGGCGGCAGAGGAATTCGAGCGCGGTGCGGTCGGTGGTGGAGGAGATGATCTCGATGGAGGGCGGGAGACGGTCCGGGTTGAGTTCCTTGAGGCGGGAGACGACGGCTTCGAGCTTCGAGCGGGAGCGGCCGGCTACGGCCCATTTGAGGGTGGTGGGGAGGTGCGTGGCGATGTGTTGGGCTGTGTATTTGCCCGTGTAGCCTGGGGTGGTTGTTAGTTTGTTGTTGAATATGAGCTTTCATGTTGGGCCAGGTACTCACCTGAGGCTCCAAAGACGACAATGTCGTAGTCGCGGCCGTGTTGTTTCAGAGGCATCTTGGGAAGGTGAGGAGTTTCGCCTTTGTGTTGAACTAGTGAAGGTTAGGTGAGACTATGTCGATGTCCGAGACAGGTGAGTCTTTACACGACAAAGATTGGGTCGTTGAAGTGGACAAGAGAAGAATATGCAAGTCCGATGTCTCGACCCTTCAGTTCTTATGGGATCCGGGATACCAAGAGGAAAGAGCGGAGTTAGAAAAGTCTTCTGGGCTTTGTTTAGGTTGAGACGATGCATCATTTATATGGAGATTTCGACCACGGGGGACCACGGCAGCACCGCACCGGCGTCATCGGAACACCAACCCTTTTCCAAACATGTCCGTGTCTTTTTGTTTGGCTTCCACCGTATGTCACTATTGCAACCGCTTATGCAGACACAACAGCAGTTCCGTTGTTTACTCTGGATGCCATCCGAAATAGGCAAGCACCGCCGTCTCATGCGGTCAAGAGAGACGGAATGCCTCCCGCCGGAACACGGACCAGATCTGGAGTGCGCCCGAGATCGTCGATACAATATCCGGTGCAGTTCAAGCAACCCCGGAGACTTCTCCGGATGTCGGATTCATTCCGCTCAACCAAGATGTCTGATGGTATCTCATTGGGTAGGGTTACGGCTGTCCAAGGGGGAACGAACCATTGTTTGTTGACAGCGCTTGAAAACTGATAAAGTTTACCAAAGTGTTACCGCGCAAACAGTGCGAACCTTGAGGGCCATTGCGGCACGCTGTAAACTGAACCTGAAGCTAGGGCGCTGCATGCTGTGAACAGAAACCCACATCGAGACTTGTCTGTAGTCCACCAGCATATGCGGAGTAGCTGTCATAAGTGGACACTGAGTGAGTACGAGGAGGTTGAACGAGATCTTTCATGTTGTCAGAGAAGAGTTTGTACGGTGTTTGTAGAGCTGAGCACGAGATGATGTTGGCTGATGTCACACAAGCGACGGGCGCGGGCCAGCTGTCAATTCGGGACCTGACAGCGGGGTCAGCTGCCAGTGTGGGCAAAAGCCCCGCCAATGCCAAGAAATTGGTCAGGCACACACTGGCACAGAGTCGGCAAAATGGTTCCGCCTAGGGTCCGAAAAATGTTCCTGGGGTGGGACCGGCCGTCGCAGCGCTCGCACACCACACAAGAGAAAAAAGCCCTGGCCTTTTGTCAAATTCGCACATCGCCAGCAAGGACGGTAGTTTCCCCAGACAACGACCACCTCAACCAGCCAAAATGTCTAAGCGCACCAAGAAGGTCGGAATCTCCGGCAAGGTATGTAACTCCCCATTTCCAGAAAGAATGCGTTGCGGCGAGATGGCTAATTTTTGATTGCGAAAATAGTACGGTACTAGGTATGTAACGACGGTTTCCTTCGAGTTCACACTCCCTTGATCGACGAGATTCACCCGGGACATTCGACGACGACACCAACGGCGACAATACTACCGAGAACGAAGGAAGAATTACACGATTTAGAATGACGAGCTTCTCTGGGCGCTGGCTGCGGTGGACGTGCTGAAGATGGAGATGAGGGGGGCATTCGACATTGGAACATGACTCGGCAACCAAAGTCAACAATCTGTGAGAGCGACACTCGAGCCGGATCAATGTCGACCTCTTGCACCTTCAGAATTCCATGCGCGATCGCGAACACCATCACCTGGGCGTCACCTTTCCACGGACCTTGGATATCCTGCTCGGCTCAATCAGTTCATACCGGAAGCACTACCACCACGAATCTCGTCGATCTCGCACTCAAAAGCAAATGAACCGAAGGAACAGCGTCACTAACCAACAACCACAACAGATACGGTGCTTCGCTCCGTAAGCTGGTCAAGAGTCAGTACCCAACAAACTCCTACGCCCCGTCGCTCATCAGGTTACTAACAACCCCACAGAGCAGGAAGTGTCCCAGCACGCCCGCTACACTTGCACCTTCTGCGGCAAGAACACTGTCCGTCGCTCCTCCGTCGGCATCTGGTCTTGCAAGGCCTGCAAGAAGACCCTGGCTGGTGGTGCCTACACTGTCTCGTAAGTTTTCATCGACAAGCACGCCCTCGACACGGCATCTCGAGTCTAACATGATATTTCTAGCACCCCCGCCGCCGCTGCCATGCGCTCCACCCTCCGCCGTCTCCGTGAGATCACTGAGGTTTAAGGTGGTCGTTTAGCTGGCATTTTTGGTCTTTCGGGTTAGGTGTCATGGAAAAGGACAATTGGGGATCTGCGGATTTACTATGGGATGAACCAGATTTCCTTCAATAACGACTTTGCTGCTACCCATTGCGACATGACCATTGCGTGGTCTGGATACGGGGCGATCTAGACAGGGAGTTATACCGGCGTCTCTTTCCTCACATGAAGCATGGCTTGGGAAGATGTCTCAAAGATCGCCAGGTTTGATTTACGGTAGACAATGACCATGATACCCTTTCCTGTTGGCCAAACCCGGCGACCCTCAGCATTACCGTGATCAGCTGTCCGCGACCTCCTGTGAAGAAACTCCTCCTCGTCACGCCCCCGGTTCGCGGGTTCGTAGATTCGAAAACCGGTGACGGCATTAGATGGGGTACGTAAAGTGTGAGCGTGGGAAGAGGACCGGTCAGATGCGATTTGTGCTACAACCTAGGCATAATGACCACAAGCATGGCGATTCCGATTTATAACCACGCTGCAGTGTATACCCGAGCGGATATTGCGTTGCCACATCTCATGGGCATGCTCGCAACCCATGGGCCGAAACGCATCCTGGTATCAACTTGATGGTGAACATGATTTCGGATAAGGAGTCTCTAGTCGACTTGCCATCTACACTACCCCTGTCAACGAACGAGGTCCCGAGGACTGTCCCCGTGATTGAACTCCCGGTGGCCTTTGCACTCATGAGTGTCGGGTGGCACTTGTCGATGCAATCAAGGTGACATATTCCCCTATGCAAATTTATCCTCGAACAGGATCTTAAATCAGGAAAACCTCGAACGGAGGCTATCGACTAAAGGGACAACACCACACCCCAACGACAAAGTGCCAGAAAGCGTCATCGTGAGACTCGGTGATAGTCCGCTAATCATGGCCGAAGATAACCTTTGACCATCACTGCTGCCTACTATGTATAGTCATCCTACCATTTTTATCTTGAAAAAATCGAAAGTTGTGAACAAGTGGTCCTCAGTCATCACCATTCACCAACCATAGCAGCAGCCTATCAAACGATCCTGACTGCTTGGCGGTTCTCACAACTAACCGTAGAGGTACCTGGCATCTTGAGACAACCCTCCGTTATCCAAATCCAGACCTACAGCTTTGGGCAGGTACGTATACCAAAAAGCGTGGGTGACCTATCACGCATCGAGGTTCTCATTCCATAATCGTTTCACTGTTTGTGCCCATCACGATCTTACCTCCCCGCCCTTTTCATCCCGCGGGTTGTCCTTCCTCAACTAGAAACCAATTTGGTTGTCCCCCTCTGCCTGCCCGGACCAGGCGCTCGTTACCTCCTTGCTTGGCGTTCGAGGCTTGGGAATTCAAGGTTTTGGCAACCATGATCTCTTTAAGCGTGAAATGCGCCATTCTTTTCCCGGCAGGGGTCTGGAGCCAATGACGTTTCGCAAACACCAAAATGCAACCCTTTAGCTACTTCAGGCTACTTTCTGGGTATCTTAGCAGGACGCTATAAAGCCTCTGACAGAGCCACTAGCTGTTTAGGAGCTGGGTACTCTGAAGTTTTTATGGGCCGGGAAAAAATGGCACATTTCACGCTTAAAGAGATAGTAGGTAGGTATCTAATGTTCAAGCCAAACCAACCGTGAGTCAGCTGGTCCATCTTTTTAAGAGCAGTAGGCGGAACACACACCTGCACGCGGATGTGCTTTATCAGTTGTCCAGTGCTGCTACCTCTCCTCCTACAGCTCTATTTATGACCTCCGACCCTGTCCCTGGCCGGTGAACGTTGGGCGGGGCCTCGCGTGGGATTGGTCCATGTCTCGGTTGTGTTAACACGGGGCTTTGAAGGCGAATCTGGAATCTTTTGGCAGGCATCATTCTTCCTTCTCTTCTTTCTCCAACAAGCGTTCTCCAAAAAGTCCAACGCTCGACCCTCCAAACAAACAACGCCTGTGCAGGACAAGACCTTCTCTCGTCTGCTCAGCTCAGGTTCTCAAGTCTTACCCCTCTTGTTACTACCTACCCATCGACCCTCCTCGACCTCCGGGCTTCACACACTTTCATCCGTTGTAAGCTTTCAGGTTCCAGGTCCCTTGTTGGCTTCCACCTTCTCTCCCGCTCGTTCGTGAGTGGCCCGTTCATAGTAACCTTGAAATTCCACTTTCTAGCTTGAGTTGCTTCCCTTCACCTGCCATCCCGTCACCATTCACAAAACGGCGGGGATTCTACCTGCACTTCGGCCGTCTTTCCCTCCCGCAACCTCACCTCACCTTTCCACACTGCTTCCTACAGCGGCAAACTACCCACCCGCACAAACCCAAACCCACACCTGCTACCGCAAATCACTTACACACGGCACCATTACCACCACCACCACCAGCACCGCCAACCACAGCAACAAAAAACACCTCTTTGCTAGCCCTGAAGTGACCTAACTACGTTATTTCATTTCGGACAGGGGAGGCTCATCGTCGCTTGCTTGGAGTGCTTGGTCAGGTAACTTCTTTAGACGTTGCCAATCGCGCCCTGCACATCTCATATTTTATCTTTTGCATGACTTCATTACCCGTCTTCTCTATATACAGCATCGCGCCACCATCCCAGTCGTGATGGCTGATCAGTGCATTGTCTGTCTAGAGACTCTAGACGTCCAACAACCCTCAGACCCACACCCGTCGTCCTCCGTCAGCGCTCCTGCCGGCCCTGCTACAGGGGATTCAAGTGAGCCCGGAGCGCCCGCCGCATCGATCGAAGTAGACGCAGTTACACCCAAGGACGATGCCGACAACAGCCCCGTTAGCACAACCGCCAGCAACACAGGTACCAGGAAACACGACAACAAACACGACCATGTAGCCGAGATTCAAGTTTGTGGCCACGCGCTGCACGATTCTTGTCTACGATTATGGACCGACAAGGCCAATAGCTGTCCCATTTGCCGCCAGCAATTCCACCTGGTGCATGTGTACGACAAGATAGGAGGTGAGTTCATGGTTCCCAAAAATCACTGTGCATGCGGAAAGGAGCAGCATTGCTAACCGGTTCTGTGGCAGGTAAACTCCTGAGTTCCTACCATGTCGAAGATAAGAAGCAGGTAGCCGAGTTCGACCCCCAACAATGGCTTGACGAGAACCCCGAGCCTGAAGAGGATGTTAGCCTACCGTGCCCAATCTGCAACCGTTCAGATAACGAGGAGGTTCTGCTGTTGTGCGATGGGTGCGATGTGCCATATCATACACATTGCATCGGCCTGGAGAGGGTCCCGCCTAGTCACTGGTTCTGCATGGAATGTGCGGACGTGCTAGGTGAGGATATCAACGCGCAAGATGGGATGCCCGAAGACTTTGCGCCAGCTCCGAGGACCCGTCGTGGCTCTCAGAACGCCCAGCGCGAGCGCGGCAACTACTATTTCCCAAGAACCCAAGGCAGCATGCGCCGGGCCAGGATAAGGGCCAGATCTGACGAGTGGCAAGGTGCTTGGGGTAGGATCGCCGGCAGAGTTTGGGATGCCCTGAGCTTGGACCTTGACTATCAGGATGACGATGGCGACGATGGTACACTCGAAGACCTAGAGAATTACCGCCGGTCGCAGCGGCTTAGGGAGCAGGAGAGGCTAGAGCATGAAAGGTGGCAGCAGCGTCTCATGATCGCCACTAGACTGGGGGCTCGAGACGTCTTTACCACCAACATGCCTAGTGTGTTCCAAAGTCGGTACGTCCCGCGCGAACCGTCGCCTCAACAGACTCGGGAAGAAGAACAAGCATGGGGTGCTTTTGAGCTGGCCAGAGGTGCCCAGGAGGGCTCCGCAAGTCGCAAGCGCAAGTCACGCTCTATTAGTGGTGAAGTGGAGGCATCCAACCATGAGCCGGAGAGGAAGCTGAAGAGGCCTCGAACGCGGAGGCTACACACAACTCAAAACGGCGAACCATCTACCTCAGCGGCGAACCAGCCCAGCGCATCCACCACCGCCGGACCATCAGCATCCACCGAAGCAGCTCCGTCTTTCTTATCGTCTTTGCTCAAGGAAGTGGAGATGAGCACGGCTTCTGATGAGGATGGCTTCCGAGATGTTCCTGAACTTCCTGTTCCGGGAAGCATCGACACGGGGTCCCCGGTTCCTACCTATGTCAGTCCTCGGGCGACAACACCGCCGATGGTCATGAGTCGGCCGAGTTCCCCGGGCCTCAGCTCCTATCTGGCCCCTGTCTACGCTCCGGCAAACTTCTCGCTCAACCGATCAACATCACCGACAGCTAAAACTTCCCGGTCGTCCTCGCCGAACAACAGACGTAGGAGTCAAACCTCGCCTGAGAACAGTGACACGGAGCAACAGCGCGGTCGTTCTCGCCAGCAAAGTGGCTCAGCAGCCGCCGGAGGACCATCGTCGTCGGCATCGATTACTGTCCAGGCATCGCTAGTGCGGCGGCCTCATCCCAATGCGCCACACAGGTCCCCCGAGACATCGCCATCACGACCTGCTCTGCCACTCGACGTGAAGCAGAGCATCAACAGTATTGTTCGGGGAGCATTGAGGCCTCATTGGCATTCGCAGAAAATAACTGCCGAGCAGTACGAGGCTATCAACCGGGATGTGTCGAGGAAGCTTTATGAAGAAGTTCAAGATCCTGCAATGAGTCTAGGCGAAGAGCTGAAACAGAGCTGGGAGAAGCTTGCGGCTAAGGAGGTCACTAGGGCGGTTGACCAGTTGAAGGCGTGAGATGACATTTTGCTCATTGGGAGCTGACCAACATCATGCCCGGCCATGGCGATGTTCATGGCTATCGGCTGGCAAGGCGATCCGGTGTTGGGAGCCGCAGAGCTCTGTAAAGATTACATTTCAGGCACGATGAGGGCATGGAAACAGAAGGCAAAGTTGTGAGCGCAGAAGAAAGCGTTGAATTCTTTCCAGCATCCAAGTGGTAGCTGGAACTAAAGCTTTGCATCGGTCGTCATCGATCGGGTTGACGCTTGTGGACTGGGCGTTTTATGGATTTTCGGTATTCGATGATGGAAAGGAGAAGCACTTTCTGATCACAGATGTGATGTATATGTTAGATGGTGTATGGTATCAGGACCGGCTGGGGCGAATCTGGGTAAATATCCTGGCGGGCAACTGGCGCGCGGTAGCTTTTATACATTAGGATCTTTGCAATGAACAGACATGACTACTTTCAGGGTTCGGAATTCCTTTTTGCTTTCTTCGGGTGTGTTCTGGTCGTTGTGGTGCAACTTGGGCCAAGTTCATGGTGTTCGGAGGAAAGGGCAAGGTATGTTGAAGAAGTCATGTCATAAACTTGATGACTGTTGATTCCATTCTTGTTCATCTTGTTTGATATTACTTGCTTTCCATTTCATATTGTACGTAGCCTTGTTGAGACTCAGAAAAGCGGATCAAACGCTGGCAAGGAGACGACTCCAGCGGCATAGTGAGGTGAAGCACGCATATATATATATCGCGATCTGCGACATGGATAATTGGAATGAATCTTGCGAGCAAGTAGGGTAGTGATGTACATTCGGCGGCGTAGCTGAGGAGGACATGGAGGCGGGGGTAGCGAGTTATCCAAGTGTTTGAGGCCATGCTTGATCGCGACAGTGACTGACGAGACGCCCCTTGGATATCCTCAAGACTCCATGATCATAGCGACAACACGAAATCATCTCGACAGGACGCCCGCCCGCCAGACAACATGCGCGACGACACACACACAACGACGAGGCCAGACAACATCAAGACGGAGACGGGAGGCAGTTTTTCATGAATGAAGCAAAATAACACTTCAACACTGCAACCAGCCCATCCTCGGTTCGTCATCCCAAGCTCGTCAAATCATGACAAGATACGATAATCAAACAACTATCACAAGATGGCATGGCAAAAAATATGTAAGCAGATTCTATCTAACAGCAACCCGGTAGAGCGTTTTAGAAGCAGGTACCGCTAGCGAATTGGTCTGCTCATGGTGGTTCCTCTCGGCACGGACTAAATGATCAGGACAGTTTTGGAGGAAGAGAAACGTCGTGATGATAAGGAATGGTGCCTTGAGGAGAGAAAGAGGAAAAGAAATCCGAAAGAGGGAGGGGGGCAGCAGGAGTTTTATTTGATTGAGGTGGGAAAAATTGGGGGTCCGCTTTGGTCATGTGAAAAGTCAGGTGGGGCTAGGAGTGTGAAAGTTATGGTGGGGTGCGGGGAGTTTGGGACTTTGGAGAAGGGAAGCTTCGAAAAGGGAAGGCGGTGAGGAAAGCAAATCGGTTGCCAAGACTCAATTGTTCAATCGTCGCGGTACGTACGGACGACCAGGAACCACGAACGAGCAGGGACCGGTGCGCGGCGGCGGCAGGCGGCCTAGGGAAAAAGTGGGGCTGCGGACATCGAAAAAGTTCACGGGTTTCCATTCCGCGCTGTATCGCCCGTCCGCTCTGCCTGCCTGCCTGCCCGCCCGCCCGCCCGCCGCCGCAGCGACCGACCGACCGACCCCGTCCCGAATCCACCCCGAGACTTACGAGAGAGAGTTGAGTTGAGGACTGGCGCGCGCTGCAAGATTCACCCACCCGTAGCTCCGTTCTCCTCCCTCCCTCCCTCCCTCCCTCCCCCGTCCCGTGTCCGTTGTTTACACACCCAGGCCCCGTCCAACAACCAAGTCATATATACTGCCCATCATGTCGGCGTCGAGTAGGGGAGCTGCTCTCCTTAGGAGTATGTATTCCCTTTTTTCTTTTCTTCTTGACCTGTTTACCCTGTTGTAGCGAATTGATGCTTCTCGTTGCATACCTCCCCTCCCTCCCTCCCGATCGCAAAACTTTAAGAAGACACCATAACTAACCGTCGCATCTGTTCTCTCTCCCTCACCAGGCCAACAACGCTCCATCTGCCTACAATGCCGCACCCAAGCCCGAGTACTTGCGCCCGCCGCCGTCTTCAGCAACCTCGCCGTCGCCGCTCCTAGACGCTACTATTCCGCCGAGGCCTCTGCCACGACAACACCACCCCCTCCTCCCCCCGTCAACCCCCCCGTCACCACATCAACAGGCACCCACGCCGCCACCTCGACCTCGTCGCAAATCTACCGCATCAAGTCCGGCGTGATCCTGACGCGCCCCCCGCTCCTGACGCGCGACCTGACCCCCTTTGAAGAATCCTTCTACTTCTACCAGAAGCGGCTCAACGAGCGGCTGACGGCGCCCTTCCGCAAGGACTTCTACTTCAAGAAGGACACGGCCTCGGACCTGGACTGGCGCATCAAGCTGAAGGAGCGCCACGGCGTGCCCGCCAAGGACATTGGTCGGTATAACCCGCGCGGCCGGATGGCGTGGAACGACGAGGTGCTGGTGGGCTCGCATACGTCCAGCAGGGAACAGATGGTGGAGAAGTTGATTGCTGATGCGGAGATGAGAGTGTCGGAAGATGGTGAGGAGATCCCCGCTGAGGATCGGGTTCCCGTCGAGAAGCCGATGCCGAGACGGACGGAGGCGGATGAGAAGGGGGATGTGAAGCGGTTGGATCGGGCGCTGGATAAGACGCTTTATCTTGTGGTGAAGAAGAAGGTGGAGAACGTCGAGGGCGGCGCTGAGAAGAAGGCGCAATGGATGTTTCCCACGGGCGTGGTTCCTACAGACGAAGGTCTGCACGAGGTATGTGTGTCTTTTTTTGTCTTTCCTTCCTTCCCCCCACATTCATTCTTATGGTTTCCATTCACTAACATCACATCCAAACAAACAGACCGCAGCCCGCATCCTAGCCGAGTCCGCAGGCGTCAACATGAACACGTGGATCGTCGGCCGCGTGCCCGTCGCGCACCACGTCGTCCGCCCCGTCTTCGGCCAGAAGGACGGCGCCCTGCTCAAGAAGGGCGAGAAGATCTTCTTCCTCAAGGGCCGCATCATGGCCGGCCAGGCCGACCTGACCGACAACCTGCATGACCTGGTCGACTTCAAGTGGCTCACCCAGGAGGAGCTGCGCAGCACGTTGGCGGAGGAGTATTTCCAGAGTGTTAAGGGCATGTTTGCTGAGAGGTGAACAATAAACGACCTGGATCAAGCTCTGAAGTGAGAAAGGCCGGAAGGCTGGGGGAGATGAGTGGAAGAGAGACGGGAAGAAGCATGTGTACAAATGTATTGATATCAAAAGATGGGTTTGGTTGTTCGGTGGTAAGGTACAAGTGTTGTTTATGCGCTGAGTGGATCTGGACCCCTTCCTAGCCGAACACGATCAAAAGTCTCGAGAGAATGAGAGATGGTTTGGAGTTGAGCTGACAGGTCTTGTAAGCCCTCGCGCCTCAGCATACTTGACAAGGCCAGGCCAAGCTCGCATGCCACGTCTAAAGAAGTAGGCAATGGCTGGCATAAAACACAGGGACGAGAGGGGATGAGGACTGAATGAGCTCTCTCGTTCCTTGTTGTTTTGTAATATAGAAACATATGCTATGTATAGAGATTTGGGTTGAACATGATCATGTCACGTTTGTCCTTGTCCATAGTCGATGTGAGAGATGGCTTGTGATTACTACGAGACATCTGCTGATTTGGTCATTCCGCTATCTTCAGTTGAAGTCTGATACTAACATACACAAACAGAACAAGATTCCTGAGCTGACTACATATCCGTAGGCCGATCCTGCACTATAGACCACTATGGCCGTTGCAGTGATCTCTTCAAGATCCAGCCTTGATCTCCAATGAACACCGGTGCTCCCGGCTTGAGACTCAAAGCTTGAGCCGGCGGCAGAGCGAGCAACGGTATTTTCAAGCTGGCTGGAAATCCTACCTCATAACGGCCTGTAGGGGATCTTCACGCGGCTCCCTACGCCGCCTCCGTCACCGTCATCCTCCTCGATCATCCATCCATGTGAGCCCGTTGGCTTGCTCCTCTAGCGGGAACACCTCGCGCGCGCGTACTCCTCCAATCCCCGAAATTGACCAACACATTAAGTTGGCATTACCACACACACACACACACAAGTCGAGTCTCAAACTAGTTCCCATCTGAAGAGCAATGTGAGCAATATACAAATCGGGATGACAGTCCAGACAAAAAGGAACTCATCCTAGAGATCCCGATCATCATCCTAGAGATTCCGGACCCTGGTCTTTCTGAGTGGAATCGAAGCAGCAGTGAGCGCCAAAACTTCACCGTCGTCGAGTATCAGTTTGTTTCCAAACTTCTCCCAGAAAACCGCCTCCCACGGCGGAAGACGATGGATCTCCGGTACCTCATGCTTCTCCTCCTCCTCCTCGTCACTTCCATCACCAAAGACACTGGGCGGAGTGTCAATGCTTCCAGTCATGCCAGAAGCGACAGAAGAGCAAATACTTGACCGACGACTGATTCTGTCGGGAGCAAAAGGGTTGAGAGTGAAGAAAAGCTTGCTTGGTTTCTTGGCTTTCATTCTCATGCTCCCGTAGGTCTTCTGGGGTCTGGTCTTGCTCAGCCACGGCTCCTTCTGCAGCTTCTTTGCTGCGACCTTGAGGAACGCGAGATTGGAGTACCAGCCGTAAAGTCCATGTTCTTCAGCCATCTTGTCCTTGTATTCCAGTCCCCGTACCTGTGTGGCACGAGGTCCTCCCTCTTCCTCTGCAGCAGAGATGAACTCGATCGAAGACTTGCGCTTGTGGGGTGAGTGAGATGGGTAGTTGTCGGGGGGATACAGGATTCTGGTGTCCACGATCCGAGGGAAGATTTGGTGTATTCTCTTTGTGAATTCGTCGAGTGTCTCCGGAAGTGGGCCCAGAAACGTCGAGTAAAAGTAGCACAGCATGTCGAGCTGACCGTGTACGAGCAGGATAGGTCGCCTGAGCCTGTTTCTGTATTCAGCTGCTTCGATTCGGTCACGGAAAGCCGAGATGAGTTGTTCTCGCGAGTCGCGATCCATATGCGATACGTAGAAAAAGCACAGTTCGGGCTCGATGTCGTCGGCAAAGTGTCCCCCGAGGAGGGCCTCCACCACGTAGAGAAAGCCTGTAAGAACAAGCATTAGTGGAATCAGGAAGGTCTGGGTTTTATGACGTGCTATCGGAGTGGCTTACCTGATTGTTGCGTCAGTGCAGTGCGTCGGCTCGTCAACTTCTGTGAGAATCGATCAGTGAATGGTCCGAGACTCGTGATTTGTGACTGTTTTACTGACCTCCGTGATGAGCTCTGCGCGACTGAGCTTCTTGATTTGCATGATTCGGTTGTCATCTTTGGGCGTTGCGCGACACTCATCAAAGCAGGAGTGGACAAGTTGGCAGATGAGTCCAACTTGAAGGCTAGTGAACCGTTCGCCTGAGGGGGTCGCTAAGTCGAGGGTTTTGTCCTGTAAAGGAAGGCGGGCATGAGCTTGACGAGCCAACAAAGTTGATAGACAAGAGCGGAAATGGTCACCATACCTCTTTTGTCAGCCAAGATGTGATCTGCGCATTGGCCCAGGTCCGAAATGTCTGGGACTCAACGTCTAGTTTGTTGATGTCCAACGGCTTCTTGGACTCCCAAGGCTGGAGGAAACGTTCCTCGACTGTTTGCGCCTCCCAGCGGGTCAAGTAAGGAACACCCCGTTCCCAAGCTTCGTTGTAATCCCAGCCGTGTGTCCTCAACTGTTTAAGGGTGTCGTAGGTAAAGGAGAATGTTCGATTGACGGTCTTTGCGATGAGTTCCGCCTGGATGTTCGCAGAAAGGAACCAAGGGGTGATGGCAAAGTTGAAGCTACGAGCAGAGTATTCTGAGACTCGCCATGTCAGTTACCTCGTTGAAATGGTCACGTAAGGGGTGGCCATCGCACGTACCCTTTTTCTCCTCGTCGTATTGGAAACAAGTGAGGCCAATCTTGGAGATGTGGTAAATCTTGGAGTGTTCTACCAACTCGCGATAGAGCTCCTCCTTGGTCTGGTCAGCTTTGGTGATAGCATCGGGATGACCGATGACAGAAAGCGAGATGTACTCGGCATCGGCAATCGCGTCGAGGACAGTGGGTAGGTGGCCCCAGAAGTTGTTGTTGTCGACTTCCATTCTGAGAGAGATCTGAGCCGCGATCTAGATGCCCATCAACGTAAGTCCCGGACCTGATGCGAGCAGATCTTGCGAAGATGAGGGACAACCTGGGAGAAAGGATGAGGGTAGGAAAACAATATTCAAACTCAGAAGTGGGGTGAAAAGGTAGGTAATGAAACTCCCGCGAGGAAAATCCCAAGTTTCGTCACTGCTCGGGCAACGCGGTAGACGTGACTTCCGCTATCGGCTCGCCTCCCTATCATGTCTGACGCAAGCCCATCCGTCGTACCTTCCTCGCGAGCTGGAAGCTGGAAGCTGTACCTGCCACTTCCGTGTGCTGCAGTTCCTTCCTCGTTTGCGAACGTCGCCGACGGGCACCTGCCCAGTCCTGCCTGTTTGGTGCCTTGACCGAACTGAAACATGAATGGCTCCATAGAGGTACCTATTTGCCGGAACATCAGATGAAGAGTAGGGGATGTCACAAGACCAGGGAAAGATACGGTAACGGGTAGCACGTTTGAAAAGATAATGAAATGAAGCCTTACTGGTATATGGTCTATCGCGGGTAGTCAAACCAGATCGGGAATATCGTTGGCGCTCTTTGATCTTTTTCTCAGGCATATCAATGTCCTCTGCTTTCGTTGTTCATCGCCGACCCTACGAAGCGCCATCCCTTCTAAATGCTGTCCACCAAAGAATCCAGCCAGACAAAAACACCGTCACAACTCATTGCTCTTAGACCCAGAACTCCTCCAGTGCTCAAAAAGATGCCCGTCTCCATGCAGAAAATGACTAAAAGGAAAAGGAGCGAGTTACGAAGAAACCCCCCTTGTGTTGACGCCATGTCCCAAGTTGTTGTCTCCTTCTAGTCAACGCCCGCATACAAATCGACAACGATGTTTACGGCCGCCACAAGAATCTCGGCAGCAATAAGGACAATCACTATGAAGCAGTTAGCATGGCCCATGTTCTTGAGGGTTTATGTGTGCATTGCGACTCACCAATCCATTCTAGTTTCTCTCCGTGGCCGTGAGTTAGCTGGTCCTTGAGAACAGCCAACAAATCGGCAATGACATCCATACGCTCTGTGAGCAACTTGACACGCTGGTCCATCTCGAGGTAACTCCGCACGGCCTTGTACAAAGGCTCGAGTTGTGGCTCGACCCAGAACAGCTCCGGTGTATCGAGTACGGAGCCGTTCAGGTGAATGTTGACGCGGAGAATGAAGAGCTCTCCGATTTGCATATTGATCTGTTGACGACTGAGGTCGATCTTGCCCGTCAGCGCAATCTGCGTTGGGATATCCTTGCACGTCTCGATGGTCGACGCGATGAGTTCTTCAAAGAGAGATGTCTGTGTGATACGGTTAGCCGATGGCTTTCTATCGCGGCTTTCAGTAGGATGAGGACCAACCTTGACACTCTGAGCCAGAGCGTGAGAAATGGCCAGCTTCGTCATGTAGTTGTTCTTGTCTCGTAGCGTGATAAAGTCGTTGTAGATTCGGGCCTGGTATTCGTGTGTGTAGTAAAAGTTGAAGTACTCGGTCTCCATATCGTCCGGCCCCAGCTTTTCCAACTCGAACTTCGCAATCTCCTTTAGGAATCGCTGTTCTTGGGCAACTGACATGCCCCATATTACCACGACACCGTACTCGAAGAGGAAGACTTCGGGAGTGTGGACTTGAATGTCAAAATCAGCCAGCGGGTCATCCGACACTGCGTTCTCGTCGCTGATGACCCCTTGGGCCACCATATCCTGAACACCTTCCCTAGAGGTGCTGCCTCCATTGAGGTTGAGGCTGATCAGGTCCTCTGTGCTTTGATAACCACTGCTGTCACCTTGGGGCACCTCACCGGTGGAATGCCTGCGCGAATGTATGGGGTCGAAAAGTCCCAGCTGTTGTTGCTCTTGAGCTTCTGCCTCCACTCGGTTGTTCTCGGCCGCCTGCTTGGGGTTGTAGCTATAAGGAGTGTAGATGCACTCGTCGATCAACTTTGGGTTTGCGCCACGGCTCTTGGATCTGCTTTTGAGGAACCGCATGAGACCGTCCATCTGGTACCTACTAGCTGTGCAGTACGCCGTCACTCTGGGCAGTCTGTCGCGGTCCGCCTTGCCGAGACGCGCAGCATCACGACGGGCCGTGGGATCCTTGATACGTGTGTACTGCGAGTATACTTCGCGACCGCTCTCCTCGTCGACGCCATCCTCCTCCAGTTCTGGGTTAGGTAGTAGCTTGAGCTTCTGGGCATTCTTCGTGCTGCGCTGTGGACCGATCTTGGGCAGGTGAGTGTTGCCAGCGGACGTATAGGGGAGGCCAGAATTGTGGTTGAAGCCGATGGCACCGCCGCTGTTCCGTCGTCGCAACTTGCCATTCAAGGCCGATAACATGGGAGGGCCGCCGCCGAGACCGCCAGTGCTAATAGCGGAGGAACTTGAAGGTGACATTGGCGGATGCGGCAAGCTTGGATGCGAGGCGCGGGCCTGGCGATAGGCTGCCTCGGGCTCGATGGTCTTGGTGACGGGATTGGGGTTGAATGTGACATTTCGTTGCGGTCTCGCGGGACGGGCGACGTCGGGAGACGATGGCGTCGTGGTGGGGAGTAGCGGTGTATTCTCTGATGCTGTGGTGTTCTCCATTGTGTATGTCGTCGCGATCGACTGGTTGGTTGTTGTGATGTTGAGGGGGTGATATGGTGTTGCTTTGTGGCAGGCCTGGGTTTATGTGGCTCGTGTGTTTGCTGATTCACCGATGGAGGAATGGTCGCACGGAACAAGCAAACTGGAGATATCGACAAGGCCACCACCTCAAGCGCCAACGTGGATTTTCTGAAGAAAAGAAAAACAATGGGTATTTATTCTGTATATCAACACACTCAAGCGTCCAAAATCTGATGCTCGCTGGTTGGGCTAGAAGAAAAACACCAGAAAACACTGATCGTCGGCCGTTGTGTTGACGGTGATGGAGGTGTCTGCCGACTTTGTGGTGGTTGTTGTCTGGTCCGTGTCAAGGATCAAAGGCAAGATCAGTGACGTCTTGTGGCCGGTGGTCGTCCGCTTGAAACTTCAGTGGTGTGGTCGGCTCCGGGGCCGGCCAGTGGACAAGACTGGCCCCCACCTGGCCAAATGCGACAAAGGCTAAAAATGCGGAGAACGGACGCCAAGGACATTCCCGGTCTAGCCCACAATCGGGAACGCTCCAGCGGGCACCAGCTGCAAGCTTCCCTTGTCTTTCCAAAGAAACAATGTCTTTCTCCTTGTCCAAACATCATCCGTCGTTCAATGTTACACCATGAAATAATGCATCATCACATGATTATATGCGTCGTCACAGATGGGAATAGCTTCAGTTTTGTCATTTCGAAGAAATACACCACCTCCGATGCCATGCGTTCAACTACCATCGTTCAACACTATCGCCATCCTTTGTCCTGGATTGTGCGAGCGACAATGGTGTTTCCATATGGACCGATCAAGATGAGTTCCGCCCTGGGGAGTATCATGGGATGACCTCATCTTATCATCTGGACTCATACGGTGAACTCCATTACTAGATTTGTACCTCTCTGCTGGGACCCTTTTCTAAACATACCACAAACAGTGACGGCGACGGCGAGGACAACACCCTTCTCTTATACCGTGGTATACAATTCCATAATCTCTTCCTCTAGACCTCACTCTTGCGAAGCGTGGACTCGCCGATCCAAGCGGTATTACAATTTGACTTTTCCTTTTACTTCGTCGTCCTCCTTCTCTCCTCCATGATACTCTTCCCTCGACTCCCTTCTTCTCTCTTTGTCTTGGGTCATCCTCCGCTGTTCCTCTGGAGATCACTCAAAGACACTCACACTCCGCATCCAGTAAACTATTTATACTTCGATGAATTACTGCCTCTCTCACGATTTCTTTCCCAGAACATCATCTTGCGTCCGTATTCTAGTGTCTACGGGGTAGGAAGTGTCCGCAGCCGCTGTTCCAACACATTATTAACCTCGACAAGAGGTCAACGCCATTTCATACCTTCCACCCTTCAACAACTTTCTCGATCAGTGGCCTCACTACACTCACTGGGTCGTTATATATCAGTCAGCCCGAAATCACGAGGGTCACGTCGGAGCAAATTGAATATTCCAATACAGCTTATAGCCCAGGTGGTGCTCAGAGTTCTGCAACACAACCGCGATGAACTCGATATTTGGGCCGGCTAAAGCTTGGTTCGTGTCCTTGCCGACATCCAGCCCGGCTTCCGATCCAGAGCCAGCAGCAAGGAGTTCAAGCAACTCAACATCCGGCCATAGCCACGGTGTGTACTCGACCCCATGCAACATTATGTCGACCGAGACAGCTAACAACTTTCCAAGAAACAGCCAATGACGCGTCATCATCATCCCCGAAGAGTACCAAGCCGGACGATGAAAGTAGTTCAGATGATGACTGTTTTAATGCGGCCATCCAGGACCGCCTGCGGCAAAACCCTGTCCAAGAAATCCCGAAAGAGGAAAAGGTAGAGGATAAAGAGCCGTTTGGGGGAAGGTTTGAGAATATGCGCGCAGTTCATGCAAAAGAATCGAAGGGGACAGAAGACAGCGACCATGCTACTAAGTCTCTCCAGCCAGCTTTTCCTATATCGTCGATCAAACACGACAAGCCCACGTCTTCAAATACACAGAGCAACAACTACAACGCCACATCTAAGCCCAGCACCAATGGCTCGAATAAGGGGGAGGGTACTGAAAGTGAAGGCGCCATCAATCTCCCCGTATCGCAAAGCGCCAGTTCCACAAACCGTATCGGAACTCCTATTGCACGTCACAGCAGAGAAACTCCAAGCATCGTCGAGACTGGGTCTTCAAAGAGGCCTCTAGTCGTCCAAGATATTGAGGCCTTGAGCCGTAGTGGAAGCGTCGACAGCGCAAAGAGACGGAGGTTGAGCATTGGACGGCATCAGACGCCATGTTTTGACCAATTGTTCTCCAAAGATCAGCGTCAGCGCTTCAAACGAGAGTCCGGTTCATCTCATTCCCGGACGAGAGCGCCCTCGAGACCTCTGAGTAAAAACTTGGTTTCTCGAATGAGCCCTGGCAGCAATCTAGATAAGGCGAAGTCAAAGGAGATTGTTAAAAGTATCAGGGACACGCCGACTACAGCAGGCGCTAAGGCGACGGAGAAAATCCAGCAAATCAAAGAGAGGGCAAAGGAGGCTCAAACACCCAAACGAACGGAAGAGCAAGTGGTACGAGAATTCACCAAAGCACCCATTGAAAGCTTATTCGGCGGTAAGCCTGCAAGCAATCCAACAGGCACCATTGTCGCTTCAAGCAGCCAACAAAACAAAGCTGCTAAAAGCATTTTCGGTGACAAGACTGCCAGCAATCCAACAAACACCATCGTTCCTTCGAGGAGCCAACCGACCAAAGATACACGAGGAACGCAAGGTGACAAAAACCAGACATCAAGACAACCAGCAACCCATCGAGCAGCTCAGGCAACACAGCCGTCTCTCCCAATAAAGAAGCCCTCACAACCGGGTGATGCTATAACATACGAAGATCATTTCAAGCATATCAAGGACAAGTACCCACAACCGAAACCTGCAACGATCGTTAACAGACTCCCTGACATTCAACAGTCATCAAAAGAAAACGGCAGACCACTTCGGACCCCGACAGCCCGAAAGCGCAACAAGCCTACCGCGACGCTTGCATCATCAAGCAAGAATCCACCAACACCACGAACGAACATCAACGCCGGTCCAACAGTCCTTCCATCGGTGCCAGCGCCCCCTCATCACCTCCCAGCTGCTCCTTCAGCTCCAGAACCAGCCCCCGCTGCTGCCATCCCTCCACCTCCACCCACGAAAGCCGTCCCCGCGCAATCCCTCCTCTCCCCCACCGATGTCATCCTACAATACGTAATCTACCGGACCGACAAATATTGTCCTCTCACCGACCCCAACACACCACACTTCCGAACAAAACCTGTCTTCATTTCCAAAAAGGAAGCAAACGAAACCTGCGGACGACGGGTGTTCGAATGGATCAAGACCATTCCCATTGAGGACTTTCGTAACTTGGACCGCCAATTTATGGGAAATAACCTTTTCCAGGGCACGATCACGTACGAGGATGGCGATGTTCAGCTTTATTATGTGCGTGAGGAGGCGAAGATATTGGGGGAGGTGGTGAAGAAGAGGGGGTTGTGGCTAGATGAGGAGGGGATGGGGATTTATACGAAGAAGATGTGGGCTGTTTGGGCTGTTAGGTACTATTCGAATGGGGAGGAGGAGGAGCACCAGCAGCAGGGACAGGAGGGGAAACATGAGGGGGCCTCAAGTGTGGGAGGGGGAGTGGGAAGTGGAAGGGTTGAGGTGGTGGATGAGGGCAATGAGGGGGATGATGAAGATGATGGTGAAGAGGATGAAGACCTGTTGGGCGATCGGACTGTCAATGAGCAGCTCAATGAAGGGGTTGTGGAGGTGGGAGAAGGTGTGGGACAGGAGAGCAGCGAGGGGTCTGGAGTTATGGCAGGAGAGGGAGTCGACAAGACTGGAGAGAAGATCAGCGACGATCTGGATATCTCCGTTGTTCAGATGAACCTGGATTCACAAACCGAGGGCCATCAAACGCAAACGGAACCCGAGATTCACACTCAACAGGAAGTTACGAGCGAAACCCAGAGCAAAACCCAAACACAGTCGGAGAACCAATCTCACGCTAGTCCCCAGACTCAATTGGAAGGACATCATAGAGCAAACATCCAAGGCCATCCAGAACCTCACAAGACCGGTGTTGAGGGTCATTCAGGACCTCAGCCAGAGCCAAATCCACCAACCAACCTTTCCACCCCAGCACGAACAGAACATAATGTTTCCAACCCAACCCAGCCTCAAACCCAACCCACCAAACCACCACGCCCACCCACACCCCCCCTCCCCTGCTCTTTATACTCCCCTCCTCCCCCCTCAACCATCTACTCCTCCTCATCAGAATCTGACACAGAACACCCCTCCCGGTCCTCCCGCACCAGGGGCAGAAGCCTCCCCAACAACATTCCCCCACCACCCCCTCCCCTCCCCTCGTCCATTCTCCTCACCCCCAAAACCACCCACCACGGAACATTCACCACCCTCCGCCTCGCCAACCTCGAGGTGCTTGAAGTTTTCAAGCAGCTGGCGAGGCCAGGGACAGCGAGGTATAGCGATGTTTATCATTGGAGGGAGGAGGTATTGCCTGAGGCGGAGAGGGTTTTTAAGGAGATGGGTTGTAATGACGATGACGGGGATAATGATAGGGAGGGGAAAGAAGAGGGTGGTGGAATAGAGAAGACACCAATAAAACTGGAGTGGGTGCCTGATGCGCAACTGTTCAAGTGGCGGTTCAGGAAGGTCGAGGTTTGGGTTGAGGAGTTGGAACTTAAGGGGCCGAAGGATTTGGGGGGTTTGGAGGTTAAGATGCCACAGGGAAATTCAGGGAATTCGGGATCGTTTGGGCCATCTGGGCTGTCTGGGTCGAAGACGGGATCAGGCTCGGGGTCAGGCTCTGGTACAGGTACGGCTTCGTCTTCAAGCGCTACCGGTAATGGAAACGTCCGGGCTGGAACGAGAACGGGAACAACGGTGAAAGTAACTACAACCAGTCCCAAAACCGCCCCAGACAATACCCCCACTACCCATGAGCAATGGAAACACTACAAAAACGCCCAACCAGTATTAGCAGCCAAGGCCAAGGCAAAGAAGCGTCGAAGGCCAACAAGGGAGGAGAAGGGAAAGGGAAAAGCTGTTGACGTTGACCCCGTCGTCACTAACAAGGGGACTGGAAACGGAGCAGAACAAGGGATTGTGGATGCGTGGGCGGCAGAGTTGGGAGGTAGCGAGGATGGTGATTTGAGTGAGGAAGATTGAGCACGAGACGAGGCGGTGTTCTATATTGGGTGAATAAGTGTATGTTTGGTTTATGGCGTTGGGGAGGAACAAGCACGTTCGCAAGGTACTTTCCGTTATAGAAAGATGGCGGCAGTAAGGAATACCTTTACAGGCCTTCTATTCGAAGTATAGAGATGCAGCGAAGTTGGCGAGGAGTTTCAACATTCAACAAACGCATCGAAATCCAAATGACATCCGTTACAAAATAACAGGAGAGAGTTCCAACTTCTTCGCAAGGCAGTGTAAGAAGACTTACATCGATATGAGACAACAAACGACGGTGTTCAAGTCGTCACAAACATGTAGCAAGGACTTCTCACACGCGTCGTGAACATATTCCTACTTCACACCACGACCTCAACTCGAACTCCCCATCACCCACATGTCAACTTCAAACCCGAAGCTTCACAGGCACACGACACGAGTCACTGCAAACACATCCCAAAATTATCATAGAAATCCATGGTATTCGATCTACCTATAACCCCCTCCCAGCAAACCCACAGCTTCATTCATTTATGCATTGTACCCGCCCACCCATCTTCCATTCCATGTTAATCCGTTTATCCTTTTTTTTATTTCTCCCTAGTTGCACTACCAGCCAACACCGGAACTCCTCAATCAGCCAGCCAGCCTTTCAAATCAGCAATCACCTCGCCTGCTATCTAGCTTTTAACACACGTCGAAAAAAAAATAGGAAGGGAACTAAAACAAGCACGAAAAGCAAGATACAATGCTGCTATTGTATATATCCTACAGATCGAGAAAGTGATTCAATTCTCTCTCTGGTATTCCTTCCTCCTCCGCCTCACTTATCCTCCAGTGAGCAGATACCACTTTTGTATCTTTGCCCCTCCAGGCGAATGCAGTAATTTCTTTCTTTCTTCCTTCCATTTGTCGTATCTCCTTTGAGAGACCGATGGACTTAACCGTCCTTGTGACATCTCAACGCAATGGCTGTGAGATTGTCCACAGCTTGTTGAAACCCGGAGATATAGTCTCATTCATCCATTACCCCCTTTTGAGGTTTCCATCCAGGCAATTGCTTGCTGGCGAGGTGTGATCATACCTCGAGCCTTATCTTCGTTCTTCCACCATCCACCGCGGCTCGGCACTTGGCACGCGAGCTGAGAGGCTGCGCATGGGGATCATGGGGATAGTCGTACATGACTTGTTCAAACCCACTGCTCATCGATGACTTGCGCAGGTATTGATGTCCACGTGGGCGAAATGTGAGATGAGATAGGCGGAAACAGTGATTGCACTGCCCGTCATTGCCCTAATTTCCTGCCAACGCAGCTGCCAAACCTACTCAGTTCGTTGGACGCAGGTGGGCCATGTGAAGCCTAAAGCTTTCACTGCATGGTCTTCAAGAACCCGTCGAGGTCGAAGCTTTCCTCGTACTGTGAATTGTCCCACAGCTCCCCGAGGCCTTCGAGCCAAGCCGCCTTCTTGCCAGGCTGCCTGACATCGCCCGTCTCGATATCTACCATGTCCTCCTCCCTGCCCTCGAGGTTGTCCTTGTTCTTGCCCTCCGTTATGAGGTTTGGTCCGGCATCGCCAAGGTTGAACAAATCGAGAATCTGATCCGTATCCATGGTCGAAAGTCCTGCATTCTGCTGGTTCACAACCGTGCTGGCGACGTCAATCTTGAAGCGCTGTAGGCTGAGAATCTTCTCCTCGAGCGTTCCGCGGGTGATCAACCGGTAAACATTGACCACCTTCTTTTGACCGATACGATGGGCGCGATCCATGGCCTGCAGATCCTTCTGCGGGTTCCAGTCGTGCTCAACAAAGATAACGGTATCTGCACCTGTCAGGTTGAGGCCAAGACCACCGACGCTCGTGGTGAGCAGCAACACATCGTATGAAGGATCACTGTTGAACTTGTTGACAATGTCCTGACGGCGGGTAGGATCGACGGAGCCGTCAAGACGAAGGTGAGACACTGAAGGAAGCATAGTCTTGAGTACCGTGTTCTGGACCATGTCCAGCATTTCCTTCATCTGACAGAAAATGAGAGCACGATGAGGCTTGATGGGCGTGTAAAGAGGATCGGACGATTCTTGACCTTCGACACCGATACCACAGTCGACAAGCAAGTCTCGGAGTGCCGTAAGCTTAGGGGCATGGACTGGATCCTCGAGGCTTGTGTTTCGCTTGGCCAGGAACTTTTGAGTATCATCGTACTGCTTGTGACCGGGCTTCATGACAAGCGCGGGAGAGTTGCAAAGCTTGCGCATGTACTGCAAGGCTTGGAAAATGTGGGCCTTGGCCTCCTTGTCATCGCGGCCCGCCTCTTCCGTGATCTTCTTCGCCTCCCTCTTAGTGAAGTCTTCGAAAAGCTTGCGTTGAAGGTCGCTGAGGTCGCAGTAGTAGTTCTGCAGAATCTTGGGCGGCAAGTCGTTAAGAACTTCCTCCTTGAGACGTCGCAAAAGGAAGGGCAGGACCTGCTTATGCAGCGCCTCAATAGCCAGAGCGCCTGCTTCTTGTTCCTTTGAAGACGCCTTGCTATATCGACTGTTGGCGATGGGCTTCGCGAACCTGTCAAGGAACACCTTTTCTGCACCCAAGAAGCCGGGCATGAGGAAGTCGAACAAAGACCAGAGTTCTAGCACATTGTTCTGGATCGGGGTGCCGGTGAGGATCAGACGGTGGTTGCTGGCCAGTTGCTTGACGGCAATGGTAATCTTTGCCTTGGGGTTCTTGATCAAATGTCCTTCATCAAGAACCACATAGTTCCAGTTGTACTTCTTGATGACGTCAATGTCATTGCGGCAGACATCGTAAGAGGTGATGACGATGTCGGTCTTGTCCAGAGTGTCCTTCATAGCCTTGCGCTCAGCAGGTGGACCAACATAGGTCGTCACGCTGAGGAACGGAGCGTAGTTCTTGATCTCCTGTTGCCAATGTCCCGAAAGGGTGGGCGGGCAGACGATCAAAGACGGCAATCTTCGGACATCTGGCGCACCGGTCTTGGCAAATTCCTCAGCACGCTGATGGTGGTCACTGGCGACAATGCAAATTGTCTGGAGCGTCTTGCCGAGGCCCATGTCGTCGCAGAGAATACCATGGAGGTGATACTTGTTGAGGAAATGGAGCCAGTTGACACCCTCCTGCTGGTAAGAACGCAGTTCGGCCTTGATGGCGACAGGAATCTGGAACGGCTCAACCTTCTTCGGGTCAAGTAGCTGCTGAATGAACGTTCTCTCACGGTCTCGGCCACGCAGAAGCTCCTCTGAAAGACCGGGAGGATCAGGAATGCCAGCCTCAAGAGGTACGAGCTTGACGAGAGTAGCGAAGGATGTCGTCGCAATAAGACGGATGTTATCATCGGAATCGCTCATGCGACCAAGGACAGGCACGATGAGGAAGATCACATAGGGCAGGATAGCATCTCCCATGACTGCAATCAAGTGGTAGATAACCTCGATGGCGCCTTGGCGGAAGTTGAGATCGACAGGGTTGTTGATTGAGGGCAGAACCTTTTCAACAAGCGCAGTCATACCATCAACAGTGATGACGGAGCAAATGGTGGCCATACACTTGGCAGCCATGTACCGGAAGACCGAAAGCTGAGACTGGAGAGCCTTGATGACAAAGGGCACTTGTCTCATAACAAATGAGTGAAGTGCGGGGTGTAGTGTTGGTGTCATGGTTCGAATAATGGACAGGGAATCCACAATCTCTTGACCAAACGTGCTCGAAGGATCTCTGGCCTCTGCTGGAAGTTCACCCGAGAAGGCTCTGACCAAAGGCTCCTCCATGAAGGCGTGGAGACTAGGGACCCGGCTCAAAAGTTCAGGTCCGTATGTCTGTGACAGCACCTCCAAAGCCTGCTTGGCACCGCGTCGAGTAATGTGAGCTTTCTTTGCTTCCATCGCGAATTTGATCGGATCATCGTGCTCGGCTCTGTCCTCCTCCTTGGACATGGAAAGAATAACGTTCGTCTTGTGGGCGTGCTGAGGGAACTCGGGGGTCTCCGCAGTTTCCACACATGTATACTTGACCAAGTTGGCAACGATCTTGTCGCCAGGGCCACGGCGGCCAGACTCAGTGAAGAGTTGCACCAGACGCGCGACGCTAGTAGCAGAGCGACATTGTAGCAGATGGTTCTCCTCACCCTTGACGCTATCCATGATAGCCTTGATAAGTGGGCTGGGCTTCTTGGGTAGCACCTCCATGGACACCAAGGCGCATGCAGCAGCAGCACGAATACGAGTATGGCGAGCTTCCTTTGCCGCCTTGGCCTCCTCGATAGCAATAACGACGAGATCGCGAGCCTCATTGAGGTCCTTGACAGCGATCAGCCGCTGACCAGGGGCCATGATCTTCTTGAGCCTCTCGAAGTCTTCGTTGACGACCTTTTCAGCATTGGCGATAGAGAAGGCGCCGGGACCAGCTTCGGGCTCGCCCTGTACCACAACAGCGAGAGTGGGCAACTTGCTCTGCGAAACCTTGCCATGATCTCGGCAGAGGTTAAGCAGCTGTTGTGATTGTGATCGTACCCGCTGCACGTAGGTCACCAGGTCTCGGTAGTGGGATGGCCGTTCTTGCTCAATAATTGCGAGCAATGGCTGGACGAAGCGAGCTGACGCCTGACTAGAGGCGCTGTTCTTGGCGTACTCGTCAATGATGATGCCAGCAGTAAGCTGAGTTGAAGAGTATGCGGATGAGAGGGCCGGGATGATGCTGGCATCGTAGGCTTCGACGGTTGATGGCGGGACCAGAGCCATGACTAAGCCCATGGCCTTGGCAGCCGAGACGCGGGAGCGGATCAGAACATCCATGCCAACGAGGTCGACATCTCCCTGCATCATGTGGCCATCGACATCGTGAGTATGGGAGGTAGGAGGAGGATCGTCAACCTTGGTCGATTTTCTCCTCCGTTTGACAGTCCTCTCCGCACCTTCTGGTGGCGATGACCTCCTGTTACCACCAGCGACAACCCCCCCTGACATAGAATAGGTTCCGCCAGAAGGCTTCTGGAACAGGCTTGCATTCATGGGAATGGGGTTTCTGGACACACCGATTGGATGGAGCGTCAGCTGCATGAGCGTGTCCACGTGTGGTCCAAACTCATCAGCGAGTATTGCAGGGTTGTTGTTAGCAAGTGTGCGGACGAGGGCTGCCCAAAGATCGACAGATGCATTCAGCGTTTCCTGATCCCTCTCAACAAGGATGTTTTGGAAGATCAGACGCAGAATCCGTCCACCAAGCCATCCTTGCGTTGTGTCGCCTCCAAGCTTGACAAATGTCATCAAAGCCTTGAGCACAGCAAGCCGGACTGAGGTAATGGTATGACGAAGGAAGGGATAGAGCCTCGGGACAAGGAGTGTGAATGACCGCTCCTCGTCGTGCGACGCCGAGTGCTTCATGGTTTCCAAGACTTCTGGGAAACTACAAAGAGTCGCCAGGAGGTCCATGATCTTGCCTGTAGACGCAGTGAGATCGTCGCCAAGGTTAGAGAGACTTTCCCAAACAATGTTGATAAGATCGGGGAGGGCATCCGAGCGCATCATGACAAATTCCCTGGCCATGGGTATCAGGGTTGCTGCGCTGACCGAGCGAACATCGTCGTCCTGGTTGGCCAGTCCTTCCATGACAGCGAGAATAACGCCGTCAATCATGGCGGTATCCCGCAGCAGTAGGTCCTTCCTCACAGCAACGACATATCGAAGGCCAATCATACCACCGTGACAGATTGCCCACTCGTGGTGGTTGAGTTGAAGATCTTTTTGCATCACCATGCGGAACAGCAGTTCGTAGATGGCATGGACCGTTGCTGAAGGGCAATGGCGAAGGACGGATCCAAGTGTCTGGCCGACGGTCTCACGGATAGGCGCCACAGAGGTATCGGAGCTATAATCTGTGAACCTATCAAGCATCAAAACGCAGCACAGGCGGCAAGCGAGGTCATCCAGCCACTTCCGATTGAGTTCGTTGTTTTCCGAACGAGACTTGGCCATCAGTCTTCCCGCGCCAGCGCCATGGACCCTGATTACCTCGCGCAAGCCCATGGCAGCGCCATGACGAGTTTCCCACTGAGGATCAAAGAGGTCGACCTTGAGGAAATCGCAGAGACGTTCGTATGGCCATTCAACCCCTTCCAGGTTG